TTTTGTTTATGTATAAATCAGAAAATGTTAATTATCGTATCAAACGCCATTGAGCGCACTATAAGTAGATTTAAAATATTGCTATTTAAAACAATTTATGTGAATCAGATTCAAGAAAATAAAATCTGTTCCTAATAGAATTTCTTGATGTGTTGTGTGAATGATACCATTTGATATTATCGACAGATAATTTAGTGGCCTACTTAAATAAATGAAAAGATAACGCAAAAAAATTAACCTGTATATAGGCTTCTGTGACAATCATAATGTCTTATCAAATACATAATTATTGTGAATTATATTATTTCTCCTTTAAATTCTATAATTTATTCTTGTTATTCTTTTTCTCCTATTTTATATAAATAATCAGATTGATGTTATCTGGCTCCATTTAATAGCTAGCAGGAAGTATATTATGCATGTCATTCTCGCAAAGGTTACATTACCAATTATTTCCCATGTTCCACGTTTGAAGCGATTACGTGTAGTAAATAAACGTTAAGTCTATTCTTTGTAAGTAACCAGCCGTTTACTCTAACCTCTTTGTTTTGATATCGTCCATATTAATTTTGTAAATAACAAGTTCTCAAAAAACATTTACCTACATATATGTCTATCTATAGACGCAATATATGAAAAATGCAGTCATAAACTATTGAGCCAGGTATTGAATATTTTTTGGATGTTATAATATCCCTATGTATTTTTGGCTTTGAACTTGTTTGACGTTTGTTATAAACTGAGTTAAATAATGAGATAAGTAGATCAAATATCTGTCGTGTCATCTATATTCTACGTGGCATTGGCGAATTAATCTGTGCTCAACTGGCACGCTTTAAAGCCATTAAACAAGAAAATTGAGATAAGTTGATAATAATTTACTATATCTGCAATGTGGTAGATCTATTAACTTAATAAGCATCACATCCGACAACATCTATACATATAATAAAATTCTAACTGAGTCGAATCTGTACATTAAATATTTTTTGGAAAATCTTCTTGAAATAGTCATTATTATTGATAAAGAGGTTGAATCTATAGTTTTAAGAATTGTTGTCTGTCTGTCTGGGAACGTATCTTGAGAAAACCATGGAACATATTTTGATGAAATTTGGTATGGTGATAGCTGGTTACCCAAGTCAACATATAGGATACTTAAAAAATACTACGGTAAAATATATCATCTCTGAGAAATCTATACCAACAGTTATTATAAAATTATTGATCGTTTATCTTTGATTACATTAAGCGCGTTTTATATTATGATATCACCAACCTACCTACTACAGACTACTCGAATATTAGTTAATACATATTGTACTACTATAATGCGAATAATTATTTTCTGGTCATTGTAAACACATATGTATAATAATAATATATTTATTTTTCAGGTACGCTTTTACTTAGATACCTAACTAAAAATCTCAAAACTATATCTAATATCTATAGATGTAAAAAGACTTAACTAATATGTTGAGTTTAACTGACGATGATGAAGTGACATTCCTTGCGATATCAGAGAACAATAAGATAGCAGTTGTGAAGTACAAATTTAAACAAAAAGTAAGATGTAGTGAATAGAAAAAGAGTAACAAGTTAGATATTTAACATTTTCTATTAAATGTTCTGATCGATTTAATTTATTATTTGTTTTAGAAATTCATACTTATAGCTCTTTTATCGGTGTCTCTACATACCTATATAATTTAAAGGAGGAATTATATATGTCTTTAAATTTTAAATAAGTGTTTAGTTTTTTAAGTCAACTGGTATGAACGTCGGTCGCGTTGATATTGCTTTAAATCCACAAACCCAACAGTTGGTTCATAAATCGAAGGTGTACCAACATTTCACCGCAATTGCAACATTACAAGGGTTGCGTGCAGGGCCCAATCAATTAGCGAGCCTCCTACTAGCTTCCGGTTCCGAGCGTTTAGGGACTTCCGGAGGGGCGGATTGTTCCGCTAATCATGGCGTGAACACGTCACCACGCGACACTCACTTACATCAAACTTAAAAAAGTTGCAAGGAATTTTAAATTCACATTCGTGAACAATAGATGCCTTAATTGCATGCTTATATTACAAGGATATTGTGGTCAGGTGTTCCACGTTTGCATTGGTTTTTATCGATTCCTGATAAAGCATCGTATACTGTCAAGAAAGGAAGTCATAAGCTTGTTAACGATTTAGATAATTATTTTGATATTTATGTTAATACCTTTTGTACATTGTAAGGTTAAAGTTGTATAAATTTTATTAAGTAGGTACCTATTTGTTTACTAAACGTTTAAAGTCACAATAACTGAAATGAAAATTAAAAACCTAACTGAATTAGACTGCTACTAAAAACACATTTACAATATTATTTAGATAAATTATTATAATTTAATATAATATGATATCATTTTATCCTCATATACATTTGACCAGAAAATTATATTATAGTTAAATACAAAGGGGTAATGTAACTTTTCATAGACTAGCTATCGATAAAACTAGCAGAGTAGATAATTCGGCACTCAAGATAAACCGCAAATAACAGACTATCTGATAGCTGATAGCAGTATACCAAATCGTGATATTTACTTATCAAAATTAATTTAATTATTGTTACATCAGGGCCAATGATGTCTAAGGTTTATATAATTAAAAAAAAGTTATAGTACCTACTACGGAATAGCCCAAATAATTGGTGTACGCGTCACAGTTGCAGTACATAGGTATGTATGTAATTTATTCCTAAAATCTGGGATTTACTACTACAAAAACAATATTGTCCATATAAAATATCTATAATTCCATAATCCATGCTAATATTATAAAAATGAAAATGTGTTTATTTGTCCTTCTTTCACGTCGAAACAGAGTGACGGATTGGTGTGATTTTTTGTGTGGAGATAGTTAGAAGGCTGGAGTGTGACATAAGCTACTTTTTACTTCAGGAGATCATCTCTTTTCCACAGGAAAACACGTTACAATACAACCCAAAAAAATATTTATGATCAGAATTACTTGAAACTTGGTATTAAATATTAATGCTCTTCAATACAATTAAATAAATACGTGTTTTAGCATTTTTCGAAATTCATCTCATAAGGGGGGTAAAATAGGGGATGAAAGTTTGTATGAAACCTATCTTTTAATTTATATTTTTGTAGTTTTAGCACGAGCGAAGTCGTGGATTCTGCTAGTAATATTATAAACGTGAAAGTAGCTTTATCTATTGGTTTACTTTTTATGCTTAATTCTAAACAAATTTCGATGTTTGGCAAAGACATTCATATATGGACGGACATAGGTGACCGTTATCTCCGCCTCGCTCTCCATGCGAGTGGAACCGTGTGCAAAAACTAATATAATATTTTGTAGGAAATATAGATACATAAAAAGTAAAAACTTTACAAAGATCGATCAATGTGGTTTTTGGTTTATTTATTTTTTACCATGGTGTCGTTAAGGTTATTGAATTGGTATCAGTCTTCACTTGCCAAAAAAGTAACCTAGTCTTTCCTTTAATGATATGTAATTGTTTTGTAATAATACGGTTAGTCATAAAACTATACTGAAATCTGGATTGTTGCCAAATTGGCGGTAATTTCATAGGAAGTCTGAGAGGTACTCCAATACTGAATACTGACTTGCCTTGCTGGCCGCCTTATCAGCTGGCCTAGCACTTCACTGCCAAAGGACTTTAGCTATCTGCCAATGAAACCTATAAATATCGTTTTGTATTTATGTCTAATATTTATCTAATGTTCAATGCTAATGCTATTTTTACATTCGCAAAAAAAGTGATTTTAAATGAAGAGAACAAGTTGACGAAGGAACATAGTATTATACACACACGCAGCTATTACAAAACATTTACCTATATTATGTATGTACATGTTTTATACATAAAAAAAATTTCAACACAAATTGGCACTTAGAATCCGCCATTTTGATTTTTAATGATATCTCTATGACACTCGTGTTATCAAAACGAATCGAATGACGTGTGAATCATCAAAATCGGTTAAAACGTTTAGTAATTATGAGAAAACATGGGATCGGACACACATACATAGGTACATGCGCATTGTGTACATACATACAGGTCAAACACATAACCTCTTCTTTCGGTTTCGCTGCAGTCGGGTAAAAAGAGTATCAAACGAATCATCATAGTATTTATTTAAGAAAAAAACTATTTTTAAATTAAAAAAAATTTATGGCAGCGAACTAAAAAGTTTCAACATGAATACTGAGTCAATTATCACGAGCGTATAATATTAATAAGGATTTAAAACCTAATTAATACATACTCGGTTACTCATCACATGTAAGTAACTCCCGCAGAGCGTTGTCACACGCAAAGCGATCACATTTTTTGTAAAGACAACGTGCTGGTTCAGTAAACGAAACGGAATATTAAAAAAAAGGGTTTCATGTGAACGCAAAAAACGTGCTACTACAAATGTTTGAGAACAGCTGAGCTGTGATAAGATCCCGTCAACCGTCCCGTGATTTCTTTTACAGAACTCACCCTTTATGTTGTATCTATAGAAATTCGTTATTAACAAGTATGAATGTTGTTACGTTAGTAACGAGATGATATTTGCACAGCAACAATTTTTGAATTATATGTACCTAATAACTTTTTTGTATAGGTATAATTATGTTGCATTGACGTTTATTGTCTAATTTTTGGCAAATATTACTATTTACTAATAGTAGATTATGTATTGTACTCATGTATGTCATAGTATGTGTACTTATAAAAGTCGGTTAGACCACACACACACACATACAGACTTTCGCATTTAGAGCAGTAGTATGATTTCGTATAGCTATATGTGTGTTGCCATGTCATTAATTTTTATAGTTTTCCTTAATCCGAGAAAATTGCTAAACAGTTTTGCTGATAGCATGCAATCGTATTAATCAATCATACATGTGCCTATATCAAAACTAAATTTCATGCTATTTAATGAGTTTTAAATTAATTCATACCTGGGCCCAAGTTTCCTCTGGGCTTAGCTCCTAAGATGGCGAGATTGACGTTTGCTTTTCTACCATCTATAATCGGGTTAGGGTCCTTACAAGCTCTTTCCGCTGCAGCTCTATCACCCATTATTACCTGAAATCAAAAGCATCTTACTATATTGTTTGTCTAAACTTCTAATAAAAGATCGGAATCAATTTACTGTATAATTTTATCATTTATAACTGCATAAATTGTTAATCCATACTAATATTATAAATGTGAAAGTGTGTTTGTTTGTTTGTTTGTCTGTCCTTCTTTCAAGTCGAAAGGAAGAGACGGATTGGCGTGATTTTTTTGTGTGGAGATAGTTGGAGGGCTGGAGAGTGACATAGGCTATTTTTTACCGCGAGATTATCTTATTCCCACGGGAAAACAGGTTATAATACAATCCAAAAAAAATATGATCAGAATTACTCGAAATTTGGTATTAATGCTATTAAATAAAATTAAATAAATACGTGTTTCACATTTTTCGAAATTCATTCTATAAGGGGTTAAAATAGGGGATGAAAGTTTGTATGAAACTACGTTTTTAGATATTTTTTGTACTTTTAGCGCGAGCAAAGCCGCGGATTCTGCTAGTACATTATAATCCTACAGCTTTTATATATTTATATACAAAACATAACATTATAAAGTTGTTTATTATTAATTACACTAGTCACTACCGGCATAGTATGAATTTAGTTACCAACTACAATGTATGAGGGAAACTAAGCTAAGTAAATCGAAAATTTTCCTATACATAAAATTTAAGTGTCTATCTGACGGTGATTTCAAAATTGTTTCCCCCATATAGAACTCATATGTGATTACTTTTGTTCTATTTGTAACCGCTAATTTTTGGGATAGCTGAACCGTTTTTGATGCGATTTCCGCTGGTGGATAGGTTTTAAATGAAAGTGACTACATTTTTTTATCTCGGGAGAGAAAAAGGGTTTCCCAGAATAAAAAAGGAGGTTATAATGTATTTTTTCTGGCGGATTTAGCTAAGTGTGAAAGGTTTTTGTATTTAAACACATGCGTGTTTCGCGTATAAAATATTAAAATTATATAATAAATCGGCTTACAGGCGAAATGTAGCAGAAACGGCAAGATATTATGTAACAATTATTATTGTCTAAATAGTATTAATATAAAATAGTAGGTATATGATCAATGGCCAGTTTTAATTTAAACAAATTATTTTTGTATATAGGTATTCAAGTTTTAATTCATTAAAATTTTATTTTAACACTCTCTATCTCATTTTAAACTCTGTGTTGTATTTTTTATTTTTAAATTTCTTTGTTACGTATTGTTGCTTCAAATCATAAACTACAATCTCTTCACTGTAGGTACTATGCCTTGCAGAAATTAAATAATTAAATATTCTTAGTACTATCTTTGGATAAAGCAAAAATTATAATACATATTTTTAAAACATTATATACAGCGTATAAGTATAACAAAAAACTTAAGCTATTCAAAACATTACCTATCTGAGTTTTATTTTAAACTTTTATTTTAAACGGAATCTCATTTCAGTATATGTTTAAGCCAGCGATATATATACAGACTACAATGACGTGGTTGAATTACCAATTGTAATGCATGCGAGCCCCGCAGGTCGCCACCTCGGCACTGTTAGCCAACCACTGCTAGCTGACCTTATGAATACCTCATATTACAAACAAAGAAATACTGTTTACTGTAAAAGCCAAGGCTCATTCTTTATTGGACGGAATATGTAACATGGAAGTCGCTTGATCAAATCGACAGTTTTAAGGAAACATTAGATAACCTTCAGATATCGAAGGTCTGTTAAAATTTAAATAAAAAGCTTAAATTTTTGACTAGTCTTGAAATTATTTTATATACTTTATTTTATTTGTTTCGATTATATGTATGTATATCTATATCTAATACTTGTTTTAATATTCCGGTAATAGTAAACGTATTAATTTACTTAAATCATACAGTAAACATATTTTAAATAAGTAGATAATATGTATATAGGACCTTTATATTCCTTCGTTGTTACTTCAGTTTTTAATTTTAAATAACGTTTAACGAACTATGGCTCGATGGCAACAAACTCGCGGACAAAGCTAGAGGTCATGGATTCAAAAAGTTTTAAAAGTCACATAATTACAAAAATCAAACATTAAAGATCACAAAATAAATGTGTACAGGCACATTGTGATAGTCCATACTTTACATTTCCAACTAGCGGCTCAACCTCGCTTCGCTCGGGTTCGCCTCTAGGAAATCAAAAAAAAACCTATCCCACGGCAACCGTACTTTTTCCGGGATGAAAAGTAGCCTATGCCGAATTTGTACATAAAATATTTTTTGGAAAATCTTATTCAAATAGACATTATTCTTTATACAGAGGCCGATTGTATAGTTTTTAAAAATTTTGTCTGCCTGTCTGTTTGTCTGTCTGTTACCGCGTCACGGAAAAACCACTGGAAGGATTTTGATGAAATTTGGTATGACGATAACTGGTTATCCGGGTCAACATATAGAATACTTTTTATTACGGGAAAATATTTCATTTCTGAAAAATTTATATTAAACGTTAAAACGTAAGTATGGACGACGAACCCGTGCGGAGCGAGGGTGAGTCGCTAGTTATTTTACAATCATAAACTCATTCCAAGGAAAACCGAGATATAATTAAAAACAATTGCAACTACAATCGGTATCGCAGTACGTGTACTGCGATAAAAAATAATATATACAATATATTTTTGTGTAACAATAGCCTTTACCTTATAAGCTATAAGATTTATAAATTGTAAAATTTATAGAGTAAATGTGAAGCATACGAAGTTATTAATAAAGCGCTCAAATTCGAGTTAGGCAAGGTATCGATAAGAAATCTTATCGAGCAGTAGTTTGTAACACGTTTGTTTTATTGGTTCTTTGAAACGGCCTCCTTAATTTTCTTAGTACGATTCTACTATGTGAAATTAAACTAAAAACCGTGGCATACATTGTTATGTTAGTTAAAATATCCTATTTATATACAAAAAATGTGCTTTAATAGCCACCAATACTCGCATTTTATGTATCTACTAGCATTGCCCGCGGCTCCGCCCGCGTTCAGATGACCAAAAACCAAATTCAGAGGTTTTACATATTAGTATACTCTTACATTGCAGTTTTTGTATTTTTTCTCAGAAATGAGACATTTTTCCGCTTTAAAAAGTATCCTATTTGTTGATCCGGATAACCAGCTATCACCACACCTTTCATCAAAATCCCTCCATTGGTTTTTCTGTGATGCGGTAACAGACAGACAGACAGACAAAAATTCTAAAAATTATAGATTCGGCCCCTGTATCGAAAATAATGTTTATTTCAATAAGATTTTCCAAAAGATATTTAATGTCCACAGTCGGTTTAGTTACAATTTTATTATATGTATAGATTGCGATCATTCAGAAATTTCGCAAACGAAATATGTATATCTCCTATTTTTTTTAATTAGGGATAGGATAGCCTTCTATTAAGAAAATAATTTTCGGAATTATCCTCCCATATCTAAACTGACAAACGTAATGTTATTTGTGTAGATTTCTGTAATCAATATTTTTAATATCCGTGCATTTAATTACAGTTCACAATATACCTACTCGTACATATTTCACGTGCTGCACCTATTGCAAGCGAATACATATAATTATTTTTTTATCGATGTAGTATGTACTTGTAGTTAATGCTATAAATTAAACATAAAATACACGTAAAGGCTGCACATTGTTGTAATTTTATTTTATCTGTAAACTAAAATATTATATTTTTAATTTAGTTCAAAATATGAATACAATTTAGGTCAAGTGTTGCTAGGTATAAAAATTGTGTATTTGATTATAATCCCAATAAGATTAATGTCACATGTAATTTGGATGTATTGTCGATTATTTTCTTTTTATTTCTAAAGGAAAAATGTTAATTGTAAAAATCTTTCCTTCCTACTCAATTTACACACGTGCCTATACCGTTGTAGCATTGCGAGATACCTTTGTATTTAATTAACATTGCCACCACCCACACTGCTACACGATTTTCGGGTCTAGTCCAAGGTGGTAGTGTAGGGGGTAAAAATGCATACTCGTACCGTGTAAATACTTATTTTTTCCGGTCCGATTAAAGACAAAATTACTAATGCAGTATTTTGAATGCTAGCTTAAGTTAATATTTTGACAAATATTGATAGTGGTATTAGCCAAATTCTATATTGGCTAAAATTAAAAGTTATCGTTAATAAATATTTTGAGTTCATCTATACATACTAATATTATAAAAGAGACAGAGTTTGTTTGTTTGTTTGAACGCGGTAATCTCAGGAACTACTAATTCGATATGAAAAATTATATTTGCATTAGATAGCACTTTTATTGAGATTAAGACTATAAGCTATATATATTATATTATAATATATTATAGTCTATCTGTTCCTTACTAACCCATAAAACGAACCAGAACGAAGCGAGGAAGAGTCGCTAGTAAATAATAATTTCCATAATTTATAATTTTAAAATAGTTGTAATATACAGGAATATATGAAGATATATATTTCTCTGAGCGTCGACGTTAGTTTATTATGACTTTTATTTTTATTATCTGTGAAAACTTGATTTATTTATGTTTTGTGCAGGTTGTATATGAAAATGTAAATAATTAAACAAAGTATATGTACGTTAGTATTATAGTGAAAGCAAGATAAGGATTAATACAATAAACTGTTAGTTTACTAACACACATTCTAGTTTCCTGCCTGATAACCGAGCCAATGCGCATAAATTAACCAGCAGTTAGGTTATAGGAAGGTAGGAAATGAAAATAAATGAATGAATGAAAACTGAAGACGAAAGATAGGTCCTTAAAGTATTTCGTTGTAATAATAAAAGTAGAAGCACTTAAAGCTCTCAATTATTAAAAAAAAAATAAGATGATTACGAGAACACGGGAAAATTTACAGGTAACAATCTTATGACTATAGAAAAAGTGCTTGTAATTTATATCTATATACATATTATTATTTATATGTATGAGTAATTTTATTTGTATTTATTCGTCCACTTGCAAGTTGGTAGAGGTGCATCTCGACTCATATTTCCATTTTTTCATCTTATTCGGAAACTATTTACTGATAAATTGATTAACTATTTTACGAAATATTCGCATTTTTTTGTGAATCGAACCCTCGACAACCATCGACAATAATAATAATAGACAATGCATATCAGTTAATTCTTTAATATTAAGATCTATGAATGTTTACAAAATTTTTTTAATTGTGAATAACGAAAGTCTCCTACAGTGCTACTTAATTGCCTTGGTATAGATCACAGCTGACTTTGTCATTGTATGGGCTTTAGACACGTTTGTTAGACGCTTCCAAAATAAATTGTTTCCTTAGTGGCATTACCATTACCTCGTTAAAAATCATATTTAGATAATGGACTAGTTGTCGCTTCACATTAGACGTCCTTGTAAATTCTAACCGTGCTTACTTTAAAATTAGAGAACATTAAGTACTTATTTTTGAAGACATTTTCTAAGGTCGCTAATTTCTTGCCATGTTGTAAGTTTGAGTGCACCAGGCTAATTTAAATTTTAAGTGCATGGCTATTTGAATGTAATATATTTATTTATTCATTAACAGTAAGATTTGATAGGTACCTACTACGTCGTAGTAGTCGTAGCGAGAGGCGTGTCTGGAACCGCGACGCCCAGCATTAAAACTCAGTTCGCATGAGATCACGAAAAAGGCCCCAGTACAATAGAAATAACGTCTATAGTGCGGTGATAATAGTCATATCACCGACACGCCTTTGTAATTAAACGGTTAACATTTAGTTTCAATAACAAAATCTCTTAAAATATGCCTTTTAGAGCCAATGTTTGTTTTTTCTAAATACTACTTCCCATGACAAAATATAGTAGATGGTACTTTCTTATTCTCAAAGTTTACTATGTATATATATTTTAAAACTAGCGACTCACTCTCGCTCCGTTCGGGTTCGTCCATACATACGTTTTAACGTTTGGTATGGATTTCTCAGACATGACATATTTTCCCGCATTAAAAAGTATTCTATATATTGACCCGGATAACCAGCTATAATGACACTAAATTTCATCAAAATCCCTCCAGTGGTTATTCCGTGATGCGGTCACAGACAGACAACATTTTAAAAACTATAGATTCGGCTTCTGTATCGATAATAATGTCTATTTCAATAAGATTTTCCAAAAAATATTCAATGTACAGAATCGGCTTAATTACAATTTTATTTTATATACATTGTACGTACTCGTATAGATGATTTCGTGCAGTAAACTTTTTGTGTGGTCTAGATTAGAAACTAGTGCCTAACGTTTTTCAAACGATGACCGAAGTAATTTTATTTTTTTTTATTTTATTTATTAAGGAAACAAACGGTGTTACAAGATAAACATAGAATAACAAACAATTGATAATACATAACCAATAATAGTTTCCGTTGTTAAAATAACACTTATAACAAAGACATGGATACAGATGCAAAATATTAAAAATAGCAATTAAAAAAGAGACTTACAAATTTAAAAGAGAGAGAGAGAGAGAGAAATGCCATACAATCAATAATTACAAATAATCAATAAAATCCTTAGAATATAATTCAATAAATAACACATTTTTAAATTAATAATGTAAAATAATAAAATCAATAACAGCTTGCATTAATCAAATTGTACATAACACTAATTTTAAATTTATTAAGACAGAGATGAAATATGTCATTACTAATAAAAAGATTATTATACTGATCACAACTTCTATTGATAAATGAATTTTTTGCAAATTTAGTTCTGGTAGCAGGGACATAAAAAGTGGATTTTTGTCTGGGATTAATATTTCGTGGACATTTAAATTGTAGTTTAGACAATAAATACGGCGAATCGATTTCGTTATTCAAGATCTTATATAAAAGGACTTGATCTCGTTGAGCACGTCGTTCAACTGCTGACATAAGGATAGAAATTTTCTTATTATTAATAGAAATGTTTACTGGGAGGTTCTTAATAAATCGGTCATGTATACGTTCGATTCTACAAATATGATTCTTATACTGAGGGTTCCAAACAGAAGAAGCATACTCCAAGATAGATCTCACGAAGGTGTTGTACAAAAGAATGTGTGTTGACGGTTGCTTAAACTCTTTGGATATCCTCAGTACAAAACCCAGCATACGATAAGCTTTGTTAGCTATATAAGCGACGTGCTCATCAAAGAGTAACTTGGAGTCGATTATAACTCCAAGATCTTTAACCACACTAGCTCTGGAAATAATTTCTTTATTTAATTTGTACTGGTAATTAATAGTTAAACGTTTTCTAGTAAAAGTAATAACATTGCACTTTTTAATGTTCAAGAACAAAGAATTCCTGGAACAATAATCACTAAACCGATCTAAATCATTCTGGAAATCAATACAATCATTTATACCTTTAATAATTTTAAATATTTTATTATCATCAGCGTATAGTAAAAATTTGGAGTGCTCGAAAACTAGGTTAATATCATTTAAGTATACATTAAATAATAAGGGACCTAGATGGGATCCTTGGGGTACCCCAGATGGGACTGGAATAAAAGATGAACAGTAACCCTTTATAGTTACTGCTTGACTACGGTTACTAAGGTACGACTCAATCCAACGCAGAAGGTCGCCGTGTACACCAATGTATTTTAATTTTTCTAGAAGAATAAGGTGAGATATTTTATCAAAAGCCTTAGAAAAATCTGTGTACACGGCGTCCACCTGATATCCATTATCCATTGCACACGTAACAAAATCAGTGAATTCGCAAAGATTCGTTTCAGTAGATTTTCTGTTAATAAAACCGTGCTGTTGTTCAATAATTAAAGGTCTAATAACGGGTAACATTGTATCATAAACCATCTTTTCAAACATCTTAGGGATACAACTTAGTTTCGAAATAGGACGGTAATTTTTTATGTCATGCTTATCACCGCTTTTAAAGATAGGTACTACATATGACCTTTTCCATTGAGAAGGCATAGTGCACGTCCGTAAAGATAGAGTAAAAAGAATAAATAAGGGTAATCTAAGGCTCTCATTACATCTCTTCAAGAATATAGCAGGTACACCGTCTGGACCACAGCCCTTGTTTATGTTTAATGATTTTAAGTATTTATCAACAGTCAGCATTGAAATATTAACAGAAGAAAGGTCCATGCTATTACAGCGAGGGTGAACGTCTACTTTAATATTTGGGGTATACTTAATGGGAGTCTGCTCAAAAGAAGAATAAAAATAGTTGTTGAAAAGATCGCTAATCTCTTGTCCATTATCTGTAGAAAAATTATCCAGGTAAAACATGTCAGGTAAGTCAGCGCTTTGCTTTTTAGATTTTACAAATGTCCAAAAGTATTTAGAGTCCTTAGCAATTGTGTTTTCAGCGTATTTCAGATAGTTATTATAACATTCGGTATCAACTACTTTTTGTCTCCTCCTCAGCATCCGAAAAGTACAATAGTCACTATAATTATCATAAGTTTTCCATTTTTTATGGACTTTTATTTTTTCCTTAGTAATTTTTTTTAACGCAGAGGTAAAGGTAATGTCACCTCTCTAAGGTTATTTTTTTGCAATACACAAGACCCGTTCTTATTCGCCCGCACAGTATCAGATGGCGTTCTTTTGTCTTCTAAATGTACTTCAGCACGTCCCGACATACCGGGTTTTGTGTCCATAGAACAACTAACAATTGTTCTTTACTGACTTTGTTGTCACCCGTATTCCTACAGCTATAAGGGTCACATTTACATATGACTACAGATATACAAAGCGGAATCGTAGACTTGATCTAGGTTAGATTTATTATATAGCTCAAAACAAACTTCCAATATCAATATTTCCTTATTTGATATTCTAGACAATTTTTTATAAATTGTTGCCATCGACGCATTGCGATTATTACAGCTATTTAGATGTCACAGCGAGGGTGCAACGACGAGACACGTTCCCTCCGTCCGCGTCAGGGTCTCTACCCTTGTTGAATTGAAAATGGGGTTGTGATTCATTTCCCACGAGCCCCACTAGCACCGCACGATGCCTCAAACTTTATTACGCTAAAAGATTTGTGAAGCAAAATTTTTGTAAATGGTATTCACTATTCAGTATAACTCGATTTTACATGAAATATCTCATTTTGAAACAACACTAATATATTATTATCGATTTGATTGACGCCATGGTTGTTAATATTTATCTTTAATAAACTTTATACTACGTAGGTACCTAGTCCATTTCTCTCGCATCGCATCATTCAAGCACCCAAATTCGTCTATTTGGATTGGTATAATGCTGAAAATCTATTAAGGAATCATATTTGAATAAACACAGCTTTCAGTAAATGGATTTTGTAAAATAAATCATTACATTTGGAAATAGAAAAACGTTTTTAAATGGTGCAATATTAAGTAGTAGGTACACCTGTGAACCGAGGACGCCACTTCCGCGTTTGAGTAATTTTGCGATACAAGCCATATGGATGTGTACTTATTCAGTAGTTAGGTACAATATAGGTAGCAGGTACGATAAGGCAAACACGCGATATATTGTTCAGAAGCCGCGATAGCAGTGCGCACGGGCACATAAAACAAAAGTTTACGTGTCATTTCAGCTGAATAAAACCTCTTTACGTCTTTTTTATCTTTTTTTTATTTGCACGGCCAAAATAGTTTCAAATAAGTACAATTATCCGAATTTCATACGCCTAGTACTTACAAATCCATATCCTCTGCTTTTGCTAGTCTGTCTATCTGTGATGACGACCGCTTCCTCAATGTCTCCGTAGACGGCGAAGTGTTCTCTTAAACTTTTATCCGTAGTGTGATAGGGTAGACCACCAACGAACAGCTTGGTCCATGTGGTGTCCTTCTGTCCGGGCAGGGCTCCTAACGCCAGCAGCCCCTCGGGCTCGCCAGGCAAAGCGCCCGCCATCAACATGCCTTGAACAGCCTCCGTCGCGCCGGCCACCCTTGCACCCGCGAACACTGACTCCGCTTGAGCGGCAAATACGAGAATGATAAACACTGGGGTTGACAAATGTGTGTCGCGAATGATGGTTGGACGCGGACTGATGCTCGGCACTCGGCAGTCGGCGACGCACGTGGCGCTCCGGTACTAATTTCGACCCCCGCCACGCTCTCCCCGCGCGCCCCGCCACCAGATGCAGAGACCATCGCCGTCCGGGCCATATGCGCTAGCTACTCTACAGTCTACCCTCCGCAACCCATAATGATATGCCTCGTTATCATGACTTGCATGCCTGTAACTTATGCCTCCTTTACTTTCACACTTAACTTAAATTCACAAACGATCTTGAGATCAACGTCACATGAACTCTTATAGGTTATAGCCAATATTTACATTCGCCAGGATAAACATCCGCTATCTTATATGTAGGAATGTCTCTTATCTACGTAGGTGTACATATGACTTTTTATAAAGTTTTATGGATCAAAAAGAGATAACACAAACTTTACGTCTTATAATAATCATGTATCTACAATCTTTAGTTTCTCTAGATATCTGTAGCTACGAGACCTTGACACAAAAATATTTTTGTCAAATTATATTCTCTCACCTATTCCAATATAATATAGCAATACACAGCGTTGACGCAAATCGCTTAAACACGCAATTCTACGTTTATTTATATAAAGAATCAGTGCAAGTGACGATGTTTGTTTCTAATCACACCGTAAAATTAAAAAAACTGAATAGAAAATATGCAAAGGGCTCCTCAGAAAATATAATATGTATTTCCATGTATAAAATATAGATCATATAATTATTTTACATAAGAGGGCTTATTAAGAACAATCAGTCGTACGACGGTTCTGCAAATTATTATTCTTTGATAAGTCAAAATATTGATCACATACTAGCGACTCACTCTCGCTTCGCTCGGGTTCGTCCCTAGCTTGATAACTTTCATCCCCATTTTCACTCTTAAGGTATGATTTCCCGGATAAATAGTATATTATATGCTTCCCAGGGTTCCAAACTATCTTCGTACCAAATTTCATCTAATTCGGTTCAGTAGATCCAAAGATTACCCCCTACAACGTCACAAACTCACAAACTCACAATCTTTACCTCTTTGTAATAATAGATTACATGTGCGAACGTTATATGAGTAAATGAATGAATAAATAATGTTTATTTACGCGATAACAGCTCAACAGTTTTGAGTGAAATCTATATGTACAGCATAAAATCAAATTCTGAGTTGAATCTGTAGGTACATTAAAAAAGTACTTTTTGTAAAATCTTATTAGAAATAGTCATTATTATCGATACAGAGGCCGAATCTAAAGTTTTTAGAATTTTTGTCTATCTGGGAACATATCACGAGAAAACCTCTGGACAGATTTAGATGAAATTTGGAATGATGATAGCTGGTTATACGGGTCAATATATAGGATACTTTTTACTGCGGGAAAATACCTTATCTATGAAAATGCTATACTAAGCCTTACAACGTATCTAGGGACGAACCCGAACGGAGCGAGGGCGACTCGCTAGTTCAGAATAAAGATAGGTTATATACATATTTAATAAATAGATTATTTTTGTCGACGTCCCAACCGCGCTATCAATAAATCTGTGGGCAAAAATAAGTAAATTATAAGTTTAACACGTACAATAAACATAAATCAATTTCAAATAATATTTAAACCCATACGTACTACTAATCTGACCGAATTATATAAATTTAATATTCTTCCTTACTAAAAGACCTTTTTAAAGTTTGGAAAATTACTATTGGTTTTTGTGGAAAATATTATCAAACCGCTTATAGTTTATACAATAGCTTAGAAAAAATTTAAACATAGTTTTAATTTAAATTTCAAATATTCTATATAAAATATAACCATGATTTAATTGAAAATCAAATGATTTATTCTTATTAGCTTTTACTAAATTAAAATAATCTGGAAAAAATATAGTAGATAAAGATAAATAAATATCTCTCTTACGTAAAATGAACTATCAATCACGAGGAAATGTAAAATATAATGCAGGTGACAGGATTTGTGGGAACTTTCACTTCCTCTTTAATTCTACCCTCATAACAAAGTTACACTTTATTTTGTACGTTTCCGTTTAAATTTGAATATTCGAATACCTAAAACATTCATCGAGATTAGGTGAATGTTATAGGTATTATTTATGTTTGTACTATGTTATAATACGTAAATACAACTTAAAATTAGAAAGGATGCTTGATTAAACTTCACAGACCTAGGTTGAGAATGAAGATGCAACTAAACACCTAAAACATTATAAACAATTTTGAAGTAGATAAAAAAGAAGTTTTATAAAGGGATCGTAATGTAATACGAGTAGGTATATCAGCTCTACCTATTTCACTGTTTTAGGACATATTTTTGTTGTTTTCTTAGAATACCGAGTTATTAATTGTTAAATGTTGCTACTAACACTGGTACGTATCTTTATATATATAATTCTTCTGTGAGTGTGTATGTCACTGAACTTCTCTCAAACGACTGGACCGATTTTGATGAAATTTTTTGTGTGTGTTCAAGGGGATCTGGGAATGGTTTAGATTCACAATTTGAATAATAATTTTCATCAAAAAAAATATTAAAAAAAGTTTGAAATTTTCAAATTAAAGACGTGTAGACAGGACAACGTCTGTCGGGTCCGCTAGTTTTCTTATAATAATTGTGATAACATACAGTGCTAAGTAATTCATTCAGACCAAATAAAATGCATGCCAAAATGATAAGTTCTTTAAAATTAAGTAGATACATATATATAGGTACAAATTAAGAAACGTTTTAGGTAAAATAGTTATCTAAATGCAAATGATCCATTGTTAAACTTTATTAAAATTAGGTTGAATTGGAATATTACACAAATTGAAAAATTATACGACTCCCAAGTAAATAAATACATATACACTAGCAATACTAATATAGTTTTATTTCTAAAAAAAGCTTTATTTTTTTTCTATTTTCGAAAGGTGTTCCGTTCTATCTGTTATTGTATAATCTTTTGAGAGCATTCAATGAACCTTTTTCGTTGAGTTTGCTAGGTAGAGTCTAGGGGTGGGGGTAGTAGGTTCATTGATCGCGGCTATTGTCACCCGTGCGCGTGCGCTGCCAGCTGCTATACCCTCCGCCCTAGTGTTATAGAGCAGATGGTGTGGTACAAAATGGTTTTTTATTGATCTAATCTGAAATTTTGCGTCACGGTTCAAATGTTCTTGTGACTTACGTTTTAGAACCAAACGCATTATCATATTTATATAAAGACATGAAAGTACCAAGTTAAAAATATGACAAATCACAAAATTAAATCAACCTAACTGAATATATGCATGCGTAATTATTCTGTAAATCAGTAAGAAATTATATAGGTATGCGAAATTTATAAGAAAATGGAAACTTAAAACTATTTTTTTTTAAATACATTTTATATCATAACTAAGGGACATTCTATTACTCTGTTTAGGGCTTAACCTTAACATTTTTTAAACCTCTATGAGCGATATGTTCACATTTTGTATTACCCCATCATACCTACATCTGGTATGCGAAAAATACAAATAAGCGTATTGCGTTTATTACCCTATTTAAAAAAAATATTTATCCAACTAGACATCAAGCATAGTGAAGTATTTTTTTTTACTAGGTATTTAGAACTAATTTAATTAATTATTTTTCTGTTTTTTTTTTAATTTTTTAGACTACCTTCTTAATAATTCAATTATTATTTAAAAAAAACTATCGACTATAAAATAATATTTTAATATAAGAAATATTTTATAAGGTATTTATCGGTTTATTTTACATTATTATGAATTAAATTTGTACTTATTGTTATTTTATTATTCAAAATGAGTGCAGTTATTTATGTTGACAAGCTGTTTATAAAATGGTTTAGCCATCAATTACTACGGTGTTAATGTATCTATTTTTTTTAATTTATAGGCCGCTTATTGTCATGTTATTTTAAGGTTTATTGGTTTAAATAAAGCTAAATATTTAAAAAAAACTAAAAAAAGTCTGGTCCATACCTTGTAATCATGGTATAGAGTCGCATTGATTGAGCTATATTAAAATATTATACAATATACATACATACTTATTATAATAGATGCTTTAGTAGATTAAAACTATTTTTATTACTATGTAAATAGCACTTACTTAAAGGAATCCTATTACACTACCAACAATACCTGACGAAGCCATACATTCACAACGAAGTCATAGGAATAAGGAGATATTTATTTTCTGGAAAGCAGCGCTGCCACTTTCTTGTATTTGGAAATAGTAAATTAATTAGATTATACAATAAAAGTATAGATGGCGTTACTAGCATTGTCGTGAGTCTATAATATATTAATAGTAAACTAGATGGCGGTAGTAGTAGATAAAAATTATTTATATGATGAAATAGTTTATCAATGAACATACAGATGACAGTAAATATTTTGGTTCTTATTTTCAATGAACGTAACCTAGATGGCGCTGTAAACATAATTTAGATAAATTATTTTTGTATTTGTGTTTTTAAATATGGTGATAAAACATAATTCATTACTTTATAAGTATAACAGGCGTAATATTTTAGGTAATTATGAATGCAAAGCTTTGTGAGTAAATAAATGTACCTAAATCCATTTGATACACTGCATTGTAACGCCGTAAAATTCAGAGTGGATACTTCCACTGTTTACTAGTATAGTATTATGTCATATGTTTTAGATTTATCGTGTGCTACTTTTTACCGACTGCGGCGAATCCCAAAGTAGAGTTATGTGTTTGACTGTATGTATGTCCGATTCTGACTTCCCTCGTAATTACTAAACGGCTTAACCTATTTTGATGAATCATTTCGATTTCGACATTATTAGATTCTTCTTGATAACATGATAACACGAGTGTCACTATATATATAGAGATATCATTTAAAAATGAAAATGACGGATAATAGGCGCCAATTTGTGTCTTGAAAAAAAATTTCATCCGAATAAATCGAGTGGGAGTATCAAAATAGTTGTTAAGAGGCGATTAGAAAAATATATACAACTTATATGTTTTAAGGTAATTTATTATAAGAAATTGCTAAATAAAACTAAAAAGGGCGAACTCACCAAAACTAAAGAGCTGTAAATAAAAAATATAGGTATTTACAAAAATAAAAACCGACTGCTTTAAAAAATGAACTAAAAAGAAGAGCACAAGCTAACGAATTACAATGTACATGTTTTAGAATAGCTGCATGTGTCATGTATGTATGTCTTCGACTGCACTTGACTTCAAGTTTTTATTGTCGACTTGAAGCTGCGAGTGAAAATTCATTTTACAAATAACAATACATGACCCAAATTATATTTGCCTCTAATTGAATAATAAATTCTTACCACTGATAGTAGGTACGTATATACATAAAAGCTCTCATATCATAAAACTAAACTGCATAACAATGGTGAATATTTCTGCCCTTTTAATATCGCACTGATGGATGCTCTTAACCTCCCTGTATTGCAAGGGGGCTACACCATGCAATACTTGAGTCACAGAGGGACCAAAAAAAATATCTGCAAAAAATGTCTTTGATATATTTTTAAGGGCCCCCGCACTTCTAAATCCAGCCTCATGAAAATGTTGAAAATGAGATTGACATATTTAAATATCAGAGGTGCAAGAGGCTCAAACCTGGGTCTAGGTTAGAACCTGATTCACTCTGCAAAGCAAGCGTGCTCTCAAGTAGGGTATGATGTCACACAATAGTATTAGTAATAGCTAAAATTGCATAACGATGACGATATATTGCAAAAAACAATGCACAAAATTGTCAGTTGCAAATTAAACAGTGTTTTTAGAAAAACAACTCTATAAATCCTAATAATATGGATGTTAGTTGAATGCATTAACGCCTAAAGCCGTGGTCTGACACAGCGATGAGCGAATAAGTACTCGCTCTGAGTAGCCATTCCGCCCAACGCGAAGCTCCAGAGTCCAGACTACCACCCGTGCTACAGGTCATTTAAGTATCAAAGATTCTCTAAAGTGGTCAAATTACGATATAATTCGTATCTTGGGTGTGCATAGAAGATTGAGGAGCTGTAGGATACAAATAACAGTAATTTTTCCCTGCGTTCAATCCATTTACGAACCAATTTTCGCTTTTTGTGAATTGTGAGCTTAATCAGCATTTGGTTTGCTCACTCTGCACAATTCGCATGCCAACCCAATACACTGTTTTAGACATGTACAAAGATTAGACGACATATTTGTATTTGGGGCATCCACGAAATAAGTATTCGCTGTGTGTGACCGAGGCTTAACTGTATTTGACCTTACATCAAACAAACATGAATCATTCTCGAAACGTCACTGATTGAGATCGAGGACTACTCATTTCGTCATCTTTAATCATAACAAAACATGGTTTATAAATAATATCTAACGTTGCGTGAGAATAATATCAAGGTACTAGGTATAGAGTTATCGACATAAAATTTTATGTTTTAAGATTGCACGAGCAGTAGGTACCTAGTGGCTATTGAACCATTCTTTAAGTGATAATGAAAGTTTACGCAAATGTGATGATTTTGGTACCTACTATGTAAAATATACTGAGATAGTTGTGAAAATTTAGAAAACTGGACATTAAAAGAAGAGACTTTATTAATTCTAACTTCTAAGACAACATGCACGGCTTCCTAATTTGAATCCAGTATACAGATACACGCACGACAGTCGACATGGAGCTTTCGAAACGAACATCAAGTAGGTAACGTAAGTACTAGGTATGTATAAATCGCCTATCCCTATTAATATTGTCGGATATGCAAATTTGTCATTTTCTTTTTATTTCACTAATCACTCTTAAAAAGTCTCTTCTTTTAGTAGCTGCAACAAAAAAATATTTTTTACGAGTAGTTTTTAAAATAGCCACAAGTAATTTTTGTTAACCTAACTTGTACATTTAAAAAAATATCAACAATTCAAACTTTGACGCACTCTCCTGTAAAGTTGCCGATTTTCACATCCGACAATGTTAATAGGGATAGGCGAAATATGAAATAGAAGCAATAAATTGAACATGTGTCTTTTTAACTGAACACCCTGTTGAAAAACTCCAATACAATTTTATTGGTTTCCATGTGGCTTTTGTCGCTTTTGATGGGATCCTATTGGAGTTTTTAATTAGGGCATACACACAAAAATATATAAGTGAATAGAGTATATTTCCTCCTTTTTCAAGTCCGCAAAATAATATAAAAATACGCTTTACTATAAAATTATGAAATCTACATAAAATGTATTTATGCAACAAAGTATTCAATAATATTGTAACTACTTGTACGAGGGCGGATATTATTAGATAGGTCAGAGGTGTTTAATCTATCTCTCATAATAAGCTTATCTGTATGTACGTGTTTTTAAGATAAACGTGCTTTTAGAAATGTGTTATAATTTTATAAGAAAAATGTCTTATTAGTTAATTACTCATCATTTTTTCTTGTTATTTATATATAGATTCGACTAGCGACTTACACTCGCTTCGCTCGGGCGCGTCTCTACGTACGTTTAAAATAAATATATATATATATATATATATATATATATATATATATATATATATATATAATCAACCAAACCAAATTGCATGTGGAGTTTACCTTTAAGCAATTGTTACACTGTTACAAGAATATCAAAGATTGTACACTGATTATATAAATCGTGTAAACAATTGTTGGTGAACCTAAATAATTAAATAAATAAATAAAAAATATTCTACCTTGATTCTGCTCAACACTTTACTGACCGCATCATTTAGCAAAAAAATTCCTTGTTGTTGTATGTTGTTTCTTTCCTTCGTATTTGTAAGACCGAATGAAATATACTTACTGGCTTTTATCACAAGGAAACTACTCGATTGATCGGGATAAAAGTAGGTTACATTCCTCGCCCCTAAAATCTGTCTCTTTTCCTCACGTTATGTTATGCCATATTAAGACCGATAATTAAAAGTTCATTATAATAAATAACTATTTTTTACCCCCAGAACCGCTTATGTAGTTTATTTAAATATGTAACAGTTTTTCAAAGCAGATTTAGTAGTTCCAGAGATAATCGCGTTCTAACAAACAAAAGTAAAATATTATCAGCTTCATAATATTTGTATAGCGACACAAAGGTGGCCTTAAGCTTAACTAACGTGTGACATTTGTAAATAATAAATATTAAGCCTTATACCTAGCGTACTTGTCGTTTTTAACTTCGATACGCTTCAGAGAATATGGCTGTGCCTACACTTTAGTACGAGTATATTATCTTGTAATTATAATTCAAGTCAATTCTTTTATTTCATGGCTTCTAGGAACTTTTGTATAATCACTAAAAATCATGTTCTTATCATTACTTAACCACGGCACGCCATATTATGTCAATCATCCCATTTAATAGAATTAACTAAGTAAACAGTTAATTTAATATACTTAATTATTAATCAAGGTCTCATTTAAAAATATTATATTATATCATTTATGTCCCATATCTCAATCTAGGCATGTATATATCGTTAGTATACCTAGAATCTAGATTGTAATGTAGTAGGTAAATGCAGGGTAGCACAAGCACTAGTGCTGTTCCTTGAAGTAAAACTTTCTTATCGTATGATCTGCTTTTAAATTTTAAATCTAGTAAGTTCCTAGAAACTTTCTCTATTTTTTCCGTGTTATTTTATTGAATAATTATAATTCAAACAAGTACTATAAACATATTTTTGTAGTAGTGTCAGGTAGGGATGACATCATTGCGTTACGTCGTCGGAGTCAGAGTCGGAGGCCGTGGCGCGACCGACTCCCTCCTCAGTCCTCCGTCCTCAGTTGAGTTCGAAGTTTCGTCGAATTAAGAGCTCTGCACTGTTATACAATAAAGTGACTGGAACCTACAGCAATCATGGCAAACATTCTAGGTAAGTTTAGTATGTATGTATTTTAAAGACAAAAGTACTGAAATACTCATGTAAATTTATTATTTACTAATTAAATACTATTTTAAGTGCTATAATTGTTTCTATTGAAATACATTTGGGGGACGACATTTTGTAATTTATATAAAAACTCTTTTATTTGATATGCCGGTTGCAGTAAATAGCCGGTATTACGTTGGCACAAGGCCAAAGCCGGGCGTAGCGACGCGGCGGCGTTTAGAATTCGTTGAGATCGATAGCAAAACAAATTCATTTCGGCAAAAATACATATATACATATTAAATATATGCACTGCTCACTCCACTTTGAGTATCTTTTACAACTTTTAATGTTACATGTTAAGCTATAAAAGGTATTTTGTTTCTTTTCAAAAGCAGAATATAACAGGACAAACAATAAAATTTGTATAATTACAAGAAGATTGCGCTTAATTGATCTTGTTAGACGAGTAGGTGTTTTGATATAGTAGAAGTACCAGTCACTGAATCGTATCGAGGTATGAGATCATTCACTATGAATTGTCCTCCACAATTATGTACTTACGAGTACTGTGGTCGGTCCAACGTATTTCATTGTCCACTTATATAGTGGGAGATCACAGTGTCATCATACAAAATGTAAATAAAATTATCTAAACTTTCCGCTATAAACAACATTGAAATAATATACCTACCTATTAAAATTTACATTCTTGTCAGTTTTGCTTACAAATTTTAACGATGTATGAAAAACTTTTTAAAAATCACCACAGGTTAAATACGTTAAGAAGTATTGTGTAGCTACCTTCGAAATTACTCGTATATTAAAAGTAGATATCTAGTTCAAAAAAAAATGCCTTTTTATAAATAAAATTTGTATCAATATACGAGTATGTTCTAATTTCTAAACAATTTGTTCTCGTTCTCGGGATGCAGAGAATTTCCAAGACTAAAATACTTATAAGATAAACAATAAGAAACAATAGCTCATTAGTCAGCCATGAATAGGTTTGGAAGCTATCAAAATATTTGTAATTACTTAATTTATCGTTTAAATTACACTAGCGAATTAACCTCGCTTTGCTCGGGTTTGTCCGTACGTGAAAAACAAAAACAAATGTATCTCACGGAAACCGTACATTTTTCCGGGATTAAAACCGTAATCTATATGCTATTCCAGACTATAATCTATCTCTGTGTCAAATTTCATCCAGATCCGTTCAGCCGTTCTGGCGTGAATGAGTAACAAATCCATCCATACAAACTTTAGCATTTAGAATATTTATGGAATTTAAAATGATAATATGTTCAAGTAGGTAGTTCGCCTGGCACAAATATTTATTTAAAATATTTCGATACGTGTTTGGTTTGATTACTTATATGTACGCAAATAACAAAGCCATTAGCCATGAGGCATTAAACAAAAAAATCTGACCGAGTTCCTATGAAACTTTGACTCTATAGTATGTGGTAGTAAATAAATATTTATGTACAGATTCAGTTACAATTTCATTATATGTATAGATAGAAGTTATGTACACATAACATGCTAACTTTTACTTGTTAATTGAAATCTATTATATTAACTGTTTTGAATGCAGTGACTAATTAAATTCAAGGTAATTAATTGACTAATTTATTTATGTATATCGAGTCAACATTTATTTTTATCGTCTACCCAACCTTAATTATAAAAAAAACTGACTCCTAGCTATTATAATTTTTTAATTACACACGTGCTTTATATTAAATATACTTAAAATTCGGTATCTACTTCGCGTTAATAATAACCACATAAATAAATCTGAAGTACCCACATAAGTACTTATCATTTGCTAAAAACAAAATAAGCACATTTTAATGATAGGAAATCATTTAAATATCACAAAATAACATTTTAACTGCATTTTTTTAATCAAATTTTATTCTGCAAGATCATATCCAATTCTTCTTTTAGATGTTGGTTAGAGCTTATTTATTTTTGTCAAGCCTTATTAGAAAATAAAAAAATCAATCAAAAAATAATGTTTTAAAGATTATTTAAGAGCTTTCCTTTTTATTTCCGCTTTATCACTTATATTTTATTCTGGATTTAGAAAAGTTTGCAAATAGACCGCACTGCGCCAGATATTATTAGGTACCTACATATATCGTTTTGTCATGCGCTTTTTGTTAGTACTACCCATTGCCTATTAGATATATCATTACATTGTGGTGAAAAATAAAATGTAGTCTAGTGTAATCGTTCTATTTAGCCCTTTTTTAACGTCCCACTGCTGGGTACGGGCCTCCTCTACTGCAAGGGGATCTGACCATAGTCCACGCCAGCCAAATGCTTGTTGGCGGACTTCACATGTCTTTCGAAAACTTTCTAGGTTCTACCAGAAATACAGGTTTCCGCACGATATTTTCCTTAATCGTAAGTCTTCATATTGAAAATGATTATCACATGAAAATATCATAGGTTCGGGACCTGGGATTTGAACCCGCATCACTCGGTTTTCCAAGCGAGGGTAATCTAAAATAAAGAGCGTAAAAAACTCCAAAGGAGTATAATCATTGTTTAGAGTTTAGAGTTTTATGTTAATAAAAGTTAGAGATAACCTTATATAAGCCTAAATGAGATAGAAAGCTATCTAATTACATATTTAGACAGATACCTACTTATTTTTACTGTTACAAATTACGGCGTATCTAGTTATTTTGATCATATTTAAACATAATATATAATATTAAATACTGTATAATTGTAATATTAAATACAACGTATTATGAAAATAAAATTAAGTAGTTAGGTATATTATAACGTAAATAATGAAGGTATTTGCAGTAGAAAATAAGTTCTAATGTAAATAATAATAGTTAATTTTATCTAATAATATTTAAATAGGTAAATAAGGACGTTTAAGATGCACTTATAGCTAACTAACAGAACCCGCGGCTTCGCTCGCGCTAAAACTATAAAAATTTAAAAAAACTAAAAAGATAGGCTTCATACAAACTTTGATCCTCTATTTTACTATCTTAAGGGACGAATTTCAAAAAATGCTACAACATGTATTTATTTCATTGAATTGAAGAGCATTAAAATCAAGTTTCAAGTAATTCTGATCGTAATTATTTTTTTGAGTTGTGTTTTAACGTCTTTTCCCGTAAGAATGAGATAATCTCCTGCGCTAAAAAGGGGCCTATGTCTCTCTCTAGCCTTCCAACTATCTTCACAAAAAAAATCACGCCAATCCGTCACTCAGTTTTGACGTAAAAAACGGACAAACAAATACACTTTCACATTTATAATATTAGTATGGAGATATAGAAAATATGTAGGTACCTACATTAATATGTATCATACCACATAATTGTGGTATGAGGTATAACAAGTTCTTAACATTTAGTACACCTACAATCTACACACATAATTGTTGAACAATTAACATTAATATATGAACTAATTAGTCTAAGCATTTCTATTAAAATGTCCTTCACCTATCGGAAACTAATAATCAGAATCTACCCATAAAAGTCGTCAATGTCAGCGCCGTCGTCCCCATCTAGCTATATCTATGAAACACCCAAGAATTATCGATCTGATGTGATGACATCATTGGAATGCTTTGGCTATGAAGCTAAGCTATTGAGGAAATTATTACATTGCAAAGGTGGTATACTCGTTTGCAATTCTGTTACTGTTCTAATATAACACCAGATTTTTCAGAAATCAGTTTTTTTATACGCTAGATATAATCTCACGAAACAGGTATTTTAGGATGAATAAGTTAAATCGGATATTTTATTAAATATATAGTTGATTTGGTGAATCGTTAAAACTTGTGGGTGAGCAGTTCGAGTTTCGACTCGCCCAGGCTAGTCTCCGCATACCAACGCACTAAGCTATATTTAGACTTACTGTTAAGAGACCTATTACGCCTGGTGCGTTCGTAATGTAATATTTTAACCTTAATAAGATTTAAAGGAACTCTACCAACACATACAGCATACTAATTAATGTTTATTATTCATTTTATTTTAATATCTAATTAATGTATTAAAATTTCTTACAATTAATATATCCAGTTATGTTTATTAATATTTTACAGATGTTTCTACTGACGACAATCTACAATACCAATTCTTCCCAATATCCAGTGGTTCTGTTCAGTTTAAGATAAGAGCCCCAAATGATGCACACGTCGCTCTCACCATGGGCCCTCAAGAATCTGACCCCATGTATGAGGTATGATTAACTTTTCAAAAACTATATATCGGGTGCGTTCCCAGGTGCTTTTTTTGTTTATATTATATACAGATAGCGCCATCTTTTGGCAATATTTATTACCAATTATAGTAGTCTATATTTTACTACGGATTATACTAAATTTCATCCAAGCTCATCCAGTCGTTTCAGCGTGAAGGAGTAACAAACATATATAATTGTAATAGTTGGTATAATAAGGTACATTTTGTTAAAATTATGGTGTATATTTTTAGGTGATTATTGGTGGTTGGGGCAATACCAAGAGTGTTATCAGGAGAAACAGAACAAAGCCAGACAAAGTTGAAATTCCAACCCCTGATATCCTGAACGGGGGTGAATTTCGCGGCTTCTGGGTGAGATGGGACAGTGGCATTGTGTCAGCAGGTCGTGAGGGAGAATCCATTCCTTTTATCTCTTGGCCTGACCCGGAACCTTTCCCTATTGGTTTCGTCGGAGTTTGTACTGGCTGGGGTGCTTCCGGCACATGGAAAATCGAAGGTATGTAAAATTCTTGTTCATCGCAAAATGTACCCAACTTATCAATTCAATTTACACAAAATTAACGGTACAGATGGAGCCGAGTTCAATACGCCCGACAAGTTAGAGTATAAATTCGGGCCGGTCGCGTCTGGTTCTTTGGAGCTCGACTACCGCGGCCCTCACAACTGCCACGTCTGTCTTACACCTGGCCCTGCTGAAGTTGATCCCATGTACGAAGTCATTCTCGGTGGATGGGAAAACACACAATCTGTTATTAGACATTGCAGGCAGAAACCGGATAAGGTAGTTAGTTGTTGTTTTGATGTTGTCGGTGTACAAGCCCTGGGATATCACAATAAACGATTCTAAAACTTCATAGGTTACCGTTCCAACACCGGGTATTATGAATGCCAACGAGTTTAGGAAGTTCATCTTCGAATGGCGCTGCGGCAGATTGGCAGTTCGTGATGGTGCCTCTGGGGCCGTGTTAATGGAGTGGAAGGACCCCGCACCTTTCCCTATAACTCACTTTGGTGTACGCACGGGATACGGTGCGCGAGGAAATTGGCGCATACAACATTTCTACAAAGGCGGACAGAATCCAAGCGAGTGTCTATAATTAAATTGCTTTGATGTTAATCGCTAAACTTGCATCCATTGTTTTATTTTAAAGGAGTAGTTTAATAAATTATCACTTTAATCGACTAACAAATTAAATGTCTTCATTTTTGGTTCTACTGGATGTGTTTATTAATCGCAACCGTTGTAACTTTGGAGGGCGTTTTGGAATAGTTTTGTGGTATGTTGGGTACATTTTGTGTATTGACTTTATGGTTTTCCGCTTTACTTTTTTATTTCTGCATCATTTCTTTTCATATTAAAATTTCTTATTTCTTAATTTGAAGTTATATATTTGTTATTATTTTATTTATTCTTATCAGTGAATCATGAACAGCTCTATTTTTACCGTTATAGTTACTTTTGAAAATAATCTAATTTACTTATGCTTTGTTTTTAATTACGAAATCTTTTAAATATTTTTGATTTTTGCCTTTTTTTTTAAACATTTTTGCTTTAAAAGTCTCCAAAAACTTTCTGGCATGAACGTATTAACACGCATCCAATTAAATTCACATCATTAGTTATTTTCATAACAAAGGTTTATTTTTAAATTCGTAATAATAAATAATTTTTATAACTTCATGCTACAAATTACAGTTCCACCATCGGCACCAACTGCACAAGCTTTGTACAGCCCGCCCCCCGGTTACCCTGGTGTCGCTCCTGTGGGCGGAGCCGGTGTATGGGTAAACGCGACATCCGGCCAAGTGCCGCCTGGCGCGGTAGCAGGAGGACACGATTGCTCTGGCGAACCCCTATACGTGGCTAGAGCACAACACGAGGGAGCCATGATACCCGGCAAGCTGGTCTCGTCACATGGATGCGCTTATGTGCCCTGGGGCGGCAAGGAAAACGGCAAGAATGAATATCAGGTTTGTTTATTTGTTATTTTAATGTATATGTAAGTATGTATTTTAACTGCACATATAAATAATTATGCTATATTTTTATCAGTAAAATTTAAAGGTTAAATATAATTTGTAGGTGCAATATCGTAAAAGATAATTCAAAGTTAATGTTACTATTTTAGGTGTTAGTTGGTGGACAAAACCGTTGGGTCCCATCCAGCGGATCAAACATTCCTCCAGGTGCATTACCTGGCGGAGAGTCTGAGGACGGAGAGCCTCTGTTTATCGGCAGGGTCAACCACGAGGGCAGCATCACTACCGGCAAAGTGCAACAGTCCCACGGCGTTTGTTACATCCCGTTTGCTGGTCAGGAGCTAGGTTTCCCTGACTATGAAATCCTCTTACAGTAAACCACGTCATAAATTAAACCAACGGGTGTATTTTTGTGTATGGTTCCAGTGTCATTTGTACCTACCTAATTGAATTCTAACCTCAGAAAAGTTATCTATAACTTTTGTAATAAATAAAATGTTTTAAATAAGATTTTTTTTAAACATAAATATTTGTATTCATTAGGCACTACGAGTTGTTGGACAGACTTAAATAATTTTAAATTTACAAATGTCACTGGAACATATGTATGTATGCGATCAAACGCAATGTAGCGCTTATTAATGTTTTACCTGCGCTTTTCATATTTAACGAACTTGTTGTGTAGATACAGTAAAAAAAAAAATTGTTCACAACGTGCCTGGTAATTTTTCAATTTTAAAGCACTGCTACTTTTATAAATATAATAATTTTTACGTAACAGTCATGATATACTTTATTAAATTATTCTTAAATTTGATTGTTTTTTATTTAAATGGATTGTTGACATTAAAATACCTCCAAGTTCGATATTACATATAATTGTTGTTGTTCTGCGAACAGTAGACCTCGAGAGCACAGACTTTTTTGCAATAATTAATATAGCACTAAAATTATTTAAGCAATTTACTGCGTTTTGACGAGCTATTCTGCTCATTACGTCGAAGATCATATTCAGATCCTCACCAAATTTCTATGAGACCAACTTAAAGTTACTACTTAAAAAAAAATATAACCACCGGCATCGGATCTCATAAGGTGGAGAATTCTAGTAGCCACCTTTATTAGACGAAGTATCAAAAATTCCTCTGCCCCTCCAATCAAAAATTCACAACGATAAAAAAATCTATAAATTCGTTAAACCTATACAAAGTTTGGTCTAGTAAAATCGGTTGTAAAATACGATCTGTAGAGGAGTACCAACAAACTGACAGAGGAAAGCAAATTTTGAAATCCAGAAGCAGAGATGAAAGTTCGCTCGCTCGGTCAATAATTAAGAAATTATGGTGCTGATTATTCATAAGCATTCACTATATTCATATTTTTTTATCTCGAAAGAGTTTTCTAAACAAAAATTATAAAATGTCTAAAATACAATGTACAAAAGTGGCGTAGAATAGATCTCACCGTAGTTACTAACGGCACTCTACCTGAATGTGGTGGCGAAATTTATCTTTTCCACAAAAAGTAATCTTTGCAATCCAAATGGATATATGGGTACATTTTCACATAGTAGATTACTTAAAGGCCAACAGTAAGCTAAAATGTTAGGATGTGACAGAAAACGAGAGAATCCCTGGAACGTTAAAGATGCCATAGCACTCAATAGGGGAAAGAAAGTCTTTGATAATTCTCATACTTTCTGCTGTCAATTAATAAAATTCAACTTCCCAATCTCTAACGTCACCTCGAAGCCAAAGATTTAATAAAGTCAAAAAGCTCTGGGGACTCACAGAAGATCTGCGAGATTGGAAACAACAACTCTCCAGGAAAGAACGCGATACATCTCAAAATATTCAGCTTCAGAAGTAACTAAACAAAATAAATAATAGCCTTCTATACTTTGTCTACACAGAGAAAGCCTTCGGCAACATGGGCATTGGGCACCCAGGCTGCTCTAGAATCCATGTTAATATGTCTAGGTGTTAAGATATTTGCAGAAAGCCTAAAAATAAAATAGCCTTTATTACATAAGTCAGAGTTACAGGGTTTACACATAAGATTGTTTTAAAATTTACATAATATCTCTGATTTCTTTGTGTCTCTAAATAAAGGCCTCCTCCAACTGTCTCCATTGGACTCTATCTAGCGCCACTCGTGTCCACAATGGCCCTAGAGTTAGGAGGATTTCATCCTCCCATCTCCTTATCTGACGTCCTCTTTTGCGTATACCATCTCTGGGGTACCAGACCTTCACACGTTTCTCCAGGCTATTTCTTAGTAGGTGCCCAGTCCAGCTTCATTTTAATCTAAGAAAGTATTATAGGTCTTCATTTTAAGATGGATTCCCAGCACTTTGCTCTTCATTACTTCTTGCAAAAAAGCTTCTTTCTTTCTTCTAGGAGATTTAATGTTTTTTCACTGTTTGGGTTTTCTTGTGTTTGTTATGCTGGTTTTTGTTAATTTGGTGAGTTTGTTTGAACCCTATTGTATTTTTCTAGTACATGTATTTCCGATTTAACAATTTCCAGAAGAGGTGTTGTATCAGGTTTATACAATTTTATGAGCTCTTGTTCTGAAGGTAGGTTTCTTTTGATTATGAATTCCCTAGATAGTTTAGGTGGTAACCATACGGTGGTTTGTGTTGAAGTTTAGGTTATGAATTATGTGTGTGTCCTTAGTTTGGGTTTGTTTGTTAGTATAAATTCAATTTCGTTTTTAGAAAGCCCATGAATGATCATCTCAATGCAAGGCATTTCATCATCATTTCAATAACCACAGAATAATTTCTACAATTGAACCCGAAGGCAACCACAAAAATAAGTTTTACAGAAAAATAAGATATAATAACAGTCAAATAATAAATATTTATTATATTAATATGGCTTACAAAATTAATGTAAAAAATCTGTACATAATATGCTCATATTATATACATGGTTGTAGACTTTTCATAGGATCCATTGAACATTTTGACTTACTACTGTGAGCAAGTTCTTTAACATTTCCTCTTACTAATATTTCATAAGTATAGCATTCCACTTCAGCACCTTTGTAGGGAAGGTAGCAGGTTTTATAGAGCATGTGCACTTTCCCAACAATAAGGTCAGAATTAATCATTGCTCTGCCGATATAAAGATGTTCATTGTTCACTTCTGAAGTCCCTGCTACAAATGCATTTTCAGGAATATAATCCTCAATACATTTTACCCACATTCCATCATAACCACAGAGTATCTGTAAATTAATGTGTATGGAGAAAAAAATTACTTGTTATGTAGGTACAGTTTATGTAAATTGTAAACCATTATTATAATTAATGTATAGTTTGAGACATTTGTAAAAAATAATAAAACATTACAAAAAAAGGTCTATATAATTGGATATAAAGTAAGTTTTTAAATTACCTGAAACTCATCTTTCCTATGTTCTAGATGCCCCCAGGGCACAAAAGCACAACCTTTAGATGGCACATATTTACCAGGACATTGTGACCTGTGATGATTTGCACAGGCAATATATATTGACTCTCCATCTTCAAAGCCACCTATAAATGCATTCTGTGGAGGTTGGTCTTGAAGCCCATTGTAACTCACCCAATGCAATGCACCACCCTCGACATGCTTATTACTGAGTGACTTTAAGGGAATTTCAGGATCTGATTGACAAATATTAATATTAAGATAAAAAAATTAGGAACCAAATAAACATAAAATTTTAATATAATTTGAATCAATTTAAGTTCAAATAAAAATAAAACATCAAAAATACTGTTTAAAAAGTATAGTGCAATATGATTTAAAAATTAACTTACTCTCAATGATAAGTTTGGCTGGTGCAGGCAGATGAAATTTTATATATCCAATAATTGTCTTTTTTTGTATTGTTTGAAGTTTATATAGCTTTTTATCATTCAATTTACCCAAGCACAGGCAGTTATTAAACCAAGTTAAAACCAACTCTGATAGACCTGGTGAAATTTCAAAGGGTAACCTATATGTCTTATTTATGTCTTCCGATTGAGTCACCAAGTGCATACCATGACCAAATAATATCTGTATTGTAGCAAAAAAATATATATTTAAAACTTATTTATTCTTATAGCAAATTATTATTATTTTTAAACTATATTGTGCTTAATATATAAAATTTTAAATGCCCTACTGATGTTATAATACTGATGTTATAATACTGATTAGCAAATACTCCATATAATGTAAAAGAGTCAAATGCTCATATATCAAGTAACATTGGGTTTTTCTATTAGAAATTTCTTAATACCAATCCCAGAGCAGAGTTCAAAACAGTCAGTCTAGTGCCTGATCTATCACCAGCCGAGTGACAAAAAATTGGTCATATTGGGCAGATATTATAGTTATTTATAAGTCAAATATATAAGGTAAGGTAGTATGTACAAGTATGTAAAAAATGAGTAAAAAGTACATACTGTAATTACATTTTCGTGTGGACACTTTTTAGCCATAAGGATAATTTTAATAACTTTTTCATTGTAATTTCTACAATCTATCTTAAATGCAATAATTCCACTATCTGCTGAAAATAATTTATACGGTTCCAGTAAACTTCCAGGACCTGAAATAAACAGCGATTTTAGTTAATTTTTAAGGTTTAAGTACTTAGATTACTAGTTACGATTATTATTTTCAATTCAAATATATATAGGCACTTACACTTAGTTATATCCATTTTAAGTATGATAAATTATAATAAATAAGCCAAATAATTTTTACAAATCATTTTTTGTGATCAAGCTATATAGTTATATTTATCTTTACAATTTTCTTGATGATTCATAATATTTATTAATCCATTTGATATTTTTAATTAATATCTCATTTGCTGTCAACTGTCAAGTGTCGTCAAAGCCATAGTCCACAGATAAACGCCCAGTTTATAACTATACTCTTTGGATAAACGATAGCAATTAGCATATATGGATGACATATAAAATAGATGAATTAGTTCCATACAAGCTCTTGGTGGATCTATCTATCCCTTCCATTTGTTTGATAATTAACAGTAATTAGTAATTGATAATTATTAATTTTGTCATCCTGCATCCATCAGTTAATGTGAATACCAAAGACTGCGGAAACATAACTCGTAATTCTAGGTTATTCTATGGTTATGTATATAGAAAGATTTTGACTCACCAAACCTGGGGCCCCAGGATTTTTTTCTCTAATTTTTAGATTTTTATTTACATATACCGTTTGTTCGTCGTTTGTTCTTGATTGTTCGCCATAAATAATGGTTTATAACTTGGCCTAGGTTTAGTGAGCCACCCGGGGGAGAAGCCAACTCCTACCGGGCGCGTCCCCAGGTGGCGGATAGGGGAATGCCACCCGCTTAGGGCGGCGGGTGGTACCGGAGAAATCCGGCGCGGACCAAATGGCTTGGGTGGGGCCGCTCGTCTAGGACTCGAGCCGAAGACGTTGCGGCCACCGGTGGTGGGACCGCTTGGTCCCACAACCGGATGATGGGTGCCGGTTGCGGGACTGTGGTCGCAGGCCCGCATCCGGCGGAGGAGTAGGCCGCGGCGGGAGAGGAGTGCCGGTATTTCGGTGCGCCGTTCTCCCTACCTTCCGCGGCCTAGACGGGGCCGCCACCGTTTGATGGCGGACGCGGTGGGGCTGCAGGGGAAGAGGAGTGTCGGTGTTTCGTTGCCGCTCTCCCTGTCCTCTGCAGCCGATTGGAGGTGGCCCACTTCGGTGGGCGGTGGTTAGGTTTAATGGGGCTGCTCCGGGTACCTCTCTGGCGTAGCAGAGTTGACTGTGGAGCAGCCCCATTGGTTTGGTAGTCTGCCTATTTAGGCAGACCTGCCGCTGGGGCGCCGTAGTAGTTATGCGCAAGCGATCCTGCGGCGTCCCATTAAGGCGGAGGGGAGGGGAATGTCGGGTTTTAGTGGGTAGTACCGGCTCTTCTAGCCGGTGAGCCCCACATCACCACCTGGGGGATCAGGTGGTATGCGTAAATGCATTTCCCGACATAAAAAAAAAAAAGGTTTAGTGAGCCAGAGATTTTACCTTCAGTTTTATCATTTATAATTCTAGAGTCTAGGACCTATAGGGAGTGTGCTCGAACTATAGAGGGCAGCACTTCTGTCGAAAGTAGAGCGCTCTGGTGTTAATAGTATTTAATTATTTAAACTTATTATACGATATAAAGTCACCAAATACATAACAAGCTTTTGGTTTTACATAGATAATAAATGAAATCGTACAGAAATAAAATCTCTCGATAATAATCTTTTATTATATTTTATGAAAAAAAAATTGAATATGTCTAATACCTGCCCACTATAGAATTTAAAATTATACACAAAATAATAATTAAAATTTGTCTTCTCCATTCTACGCGACATTGGCGAAGTAAATAGTGCCCAAAGGCACTCCTAGAAGCCACGAACCTAAAGAATTGAATTGAATTATTAAAATTAATATTTTTTTTAATTAGAAGATTTTACTTACATGTGATTTTTTACTGCGTTTATCCATGTTTGACGTTTAAAGATTATCCACGCAGTGTTCAATGAACTTTGAGGGAAACGATAAAATTTCAACTGTGTATTTTTATACGGCATATTTGAACAGCCCAAAATACAGCAAGATACTTTTGATGAAGACATCACAAACACTTATTTTATTTAACAAAAAATAATTTATTACAAAGGCTGACAATGCAAAATTATCACTGTCTACCATCACTTTGTTTGTGTTTTTTCCCAGCAGATAGCATAATCGTCATCTTTCTCATTCCCTATCCCATGCGAAATAAGTTTTAGAGACAATTTTTTCGGGCTATTTTTGTGGCTTATGGTGAATTTTGTTCACCTGAATGTCAGTAGATGGCAATGATCTGTAAACTCGCAATGATATAATTTATAAATACGTATGGGTTAAATATAGGAAAATACATTTTGCATTTAAATAAAACGCAATGACTTACTGTTTTAACCGTGTCAAACAACTCGTAAAAAGTAAACATCGCCATCTACATACGAATAGTCACTACATTACTCATTACTTTAAGGCAGATTTTTAAATCATCTGGAATTATAATTTAAGAACGCAAAATTTAATATTTCTTTATTTAAAGTATTTTTGGTAATCAGAATTATACCATATGGGGATCTATTTATAAATTACACAAACATCAATTATAATTTATTGACATTTATTTCAGATAGTCATATATATTTACCTGATAAGATCTTGTTCATCGAGACCTTCCGTTTTAATTATCTGCACCATCTATTATAATTTTTTTATATAACTAATATTTATTTCAATATATGGTAAATATAAAACAATATAAATGTTTATGTAACCTACTATATAAATAATTGCTGGCTAGTTGAGTTCTTCTTACTATGCTAAAAAAAATATTTTATTGACATTCCTTGCAATGGAAGCCCACTGAACATTTATGAATATTTAAAATTTAAACTATTTTATACAATTTCTATCAATAAAACTGTTTCTAAGTTGTAGTATTAAAACAGTACATAAATATCAAAAGGTCAAACGATGGCAGAACAAGGTTTAAGCGACGGTCCAGGCGAGGTGCCAGTTTATGAAGGTAGCGCATGTCACCGAAACTTATGTTTTTCAATATTAATATTTTTTCTCAAAAAAAAACTCAGAAAAAGTGCTTATTTTTAACTTTGTTATGTGACACATCTATGTCTGTGTCTATCGGTCTGAAGTATCGTAGTTATCAATGTGATCAATTTGAACACGATTTTTGTACTTAAAGCGTGTCTTATCGATACAACTTTTGTATTTAAAGCTTGTCTTATCGAGAAAATCCGTCCAGCTAGTCAAGAGTTATGAGCCCTCTTATGAAGTGATAATTTTGTTTTTATAATTAATATTTTTTTTTTTTATTTCCGGTCATCATCTCCCTGCCGTCCGCGAAATAGGTCTTCCTCTTTCACTCTCCCCTATTACTTGTCACCTCATCATTGACCAATTTCTCTTTCATATCCTGTATCACACACACAAATTTATAATATAATGTTTTATATTTTACTCTTCACAAGAAAGAGTTAAGCGTAACATATTTTATTGTTTTTCAAATGTTTTATACTTTAGAAGCCAAAGCGACTGCCGCCGAATTTTCTCCGTACCCGCCATATGCTACGGAGCCTGCTCCTCCATCAGTTGCTGACACAATAATAGCAGGCCGTGATCTACGCATCCAGCATAAGTCAACACCTAGAAAATCAGTGCGATTGCCGCCCCGACCTGCAAAACCTAAGTACCTACATAATAAATAAAAATACACCTAAATAATGGACCCATTAAATATTATTATATCGAATTTTATATTTTCAATATCATGAACAAATACTATAAATTGTTTCTTTGTTGGTACAGTGTCGTTGCGCTTCCATTTTGTCAGAAGTTTCTTAACTTTCTCCCAGGAAATTGGAAGCATACACAAATGACGTTACACATATATTTTTATATTTTACATAGTTATGGTTCAGAATTATTTTCGTGTACATATACTACAACTCTTAAATAGGGGTCCAAAAGCAACTGATGTGAAATTGTCGAAACGTGCAGCCCGAGCGCACGCCCGCTGTCTACGCCGCTACGGAGCTGTTCTAACAGATCGTTTGGAATATATGTCGAAGCCGTCACGACGCAGTATTATTTACTTGTGGCGAGAACATGCTCATACGCTTCCAGCTGAAACTGTTAAGTATCTCAATATATAACCAACAATTTGGACTAAGTATCATAGTAATTAATTATTTCGTACCAGTCTTATCATTATAGTTTATTTGTATTTTTAGATCGCAAGACTACGATCAATGCTAGATGCAGATGAACCTTTCAAACCGGATCAGGCTTACGAGTATTTTATCAATCTTAGGAGGAACAAGAATAAAATTGCTGCGTAAGAGCATTGTTCCATTTTTATACTTTACTAGCGGAACCCGCGGCTTCGCTCGCTCTAAAACTACAAGAAAATCTCTAAAAAGTAGTTTTATACAAATTTTCATCCCCTATTTATTTTTCAAGTAATTATGATTTTGTTTCAAGTAATTCTGATCATAAATATTTTTTTGGATTGTATTATAACGTGTTTTCCCTTGCGAATTAGATAATCTCCCGCGGTAAAAAGTAACCTATGTCACTCTCCAGCCCTCCCAACTATCTCCACACAAAAAATCATGCCAATCCGTCACTCCGTTTCGACGTGAAAGAAACAAACACACTTTCACATTTATAATATTAGTATGGATGCTATCACTAGCGTCTAGCGACTTATCTTTGTTTGCTTGTGTTACCAAATCGTAGGTCACATCGTACTCTATCTGTATATTAAATTTGATCCAAATCCATTCAGTCGTGTTATTTTTAGAATATAACGATTATTTTCTTTTTTAGAGCGCGTGGAGTGAATCAAATAAAGAAGGGTGTACTGGCTCTATCTGGCGATAAGAGAATTGTATGGGCGCGGAACGCCACGGTTGCGTTTGCTAGGGGCATACAACAACGACTATCAAGACCCGGATCATACGTTTTAGCTGATGGGTATGGTAACCTATAAATGGATATATTTTTAAATATTTCACAATAAAATATTTGATTTGTTTACAGAATGCTGCGATTGTCTAATATAATTTTAGAAGATTTATGCGGTTACATGCACATGAGAATGCCATCAAGACGTTGCACTCATCCTAAAGCGAAATTTATGATGGAAATGTCAGATAAAGTATGTTCTTAGTTCTTACTAGTTTCAGTATATTACATACTAGCGTTTTCCTGCGGCTCCGCCCGCATAGTATATTAATCACCAACATATCATATACTAAAACCTTCTCCGAAACACGCTGCATCTTATGGTATGAGTAATGAGTATTATTCCGATCGCTTCAGTAGTTATCGCAGTATAACCGAACGAAAAAATCGGCTCTCCATTTATTGGTATACCTAGATTTATTTTTTGTTCTATTGACACTTTTTTTTACATGATCATCATTTGATGATCACGACTAAAATCTTAAGTAGATAAACTGTTGGCTATATTGATATACTTCATTTTTTACATTTGTTTTTTTTTAATACTTATAAAACGAATGCAAAAGCTTTAGTTAGTGAGTTTTAGTTAGAGACGGATTTTAGTGAAATAAGAATTAGAAAGATATTTTATATTTAAGTTTGGCAATTCATCAATTTTATGAAAATCTTTCCAACGAAGTCGTGGACAAAAGCTAGTCTAAGATAATATTATTGTCAAGAATTAAAATAGTTTAGTATAAATATTTAGTATCCCTAATAGTTTACCTATACATTTAGGTAGCAGTTTGGATCGACGAAATTCTTGCGGAAAGTGACGATCGCATGTTGATGATGGACTTCGATGAAGACAATGGTAAGATGATAAAACGATGATAATATTGGCAATATAGTTTTTTTAAAGTACAATTGGCAGCCTTTTCTGCGGCTCATCTGTAGAAACAAGGTAACACTGCGTCAATTGTTCATTTTTTTAAGTTAATTTATTTGAATTTGTTTGAAGCCATTTTATTTGTCTTTACTTAATGACTAAATAAATATGTACTTACCTACCATAAATTAAATTACTTTAATGAACAATTGTCGTCGAATATTTTGAAACGATACGATTTGTAGTCGATAGTACATTAATGCGAGAACTCGGTGTATTTGTTTCCTTTATCGGTTAGAAGTGGAAAAAAGTATTGCTAACACATCTGACGGCGACGACGCTAAATCAAGTGAGACTTCTGGAACACCAACAACTACGCCAAAGACATCGAAGACCAGTATGCCTAAAGAATAGGTAAATTACGATTATTTATTGATTACATTTAGTACAAAATCTACTGGAATAACATCACAACAATTTATTAGATACCTACTATAAGAATAGAAGCTATAGGCACATACAATATAATATGTTTCGCTATTTCACTACGCGTGATTCAGCAGGGTTAGTCAAAACATTCTACAATCTTTTACATCTTACGAATAGCCCTATCCTCTCATAATTTGTTTTGTTGTGTTAAGTTGACGGACTTCATATATATTTCAAAAACTTGCTTGCTAGGTTTCTCTCAAAAGTTAAACATGCAGGCTTCTCACGATATTTTCCTTCACCGTATTAGCGGTAATCATGTTGGAAATGATTCGCACGTAAAATTACCAGTGTATTTAAAATAAACCACAGGCAAGACTTGAGATTTTAACCAGCTTCACTTTGAAAACTATATTATATACTTAGTATATACCTAATGTTAAAACGTAAAGACAGAAGTTTGTACAATTTTTTAAGAATATTGAGCGTAGGAAGAATAAGAACTTTGGTATAGTTAAAGTTTATATGAAGAAGGACAACAAAAACCCATATTTTTTTGACTTAACACTTAACTTACAAATTTTTTACTTACTATTTTTTTAATTGCAGTCACTTGGGGTACTTACTATATTGAATTTATTTGGGTAGTTAGTAGATAGTCAGAGTTAGTTTGTTTTGTTGCAGATATAACAGGAGCGGATGAACTTGGAGACGCTACGTTCACTGATAATTTTCTTAATATGATGGGTGATGCAAGTGTAAGTGTTAATATTACTTTAACTATTTTAATTATAATAAAAGTAAAATTGTTAAGATTTAAAGAATATATGTTTTACTTCAAAAATATAATTATTTTAACCTTTATCATTAGGCACTAATACCTATCATAGATCCTGAATATTTACTAAGTGTCAAAAATGCTGATCATATCTCGATGAAAGCTTCAATTCTAGCTTTATATTGTGGCATTATACAAAAGGTCCATTTTTAGGCAAACTATTTGATGGTTTTTAGTTTTTATATCGTCGCTCAAAATATTCACTGCGACTACGAATCATGTAGACTGTTGTCTATTTTGAGTGAAATGAAATGTTTTTTTTTTTTTAAATAGGACTATGCCGACTTCCACTTAATTATAATCATCAAAGAATACAAAAAAATGAACAAATGTTTTAATAACTTAGAAACAGTATTCAGGCCGGGCATTATAAAAAGACCAGAACCCACTGCACCTACTTGATTTTTTTTTGTAAAATATAAAAAAAAATGGTAAAATATTAAAAAAAAAATGCAATCAACACCGAAAACAAGACGATAAATTGTTTCAAAACAAAATAAACTACTTACTTCATATTGCCGTATTTATTACTTCTTACCCTTCACCTATTAATACAAGTGAGCACGAATAAGGTAAACAATGATTTTTGTTAATTCAAGCTTCTGTAAATCATTCTTCATTTTCCATTTTATATAAAGACAAAAGCTATTATTTGTGTTCGCTTGTGTTAAAGTGGACAATGAAGGATGGTTCTCATTTGTGTAGTTAGTGCATATATGTAATATCTTAAAAGTCATATAATAAAATAAATCGATCTGTTCATTTTCAGGGTGGGCTTCTAAAGGGCCGTAAGTACATAATGCTATATCTACATATACCTACGTACATATATCTTCATTTAATATAAGTACATAAGCCATAAGGCTATATATATACAATAATACATATAATAAAATAGTATAAAAATCAAATCTGTACATAAAATATTTTCTAAAACGTTTGTAAAAAATACTACAAAACAATCGTGGTTGAAATTTTTGTCTGTTTGTCTGTATTATGTATATCTGTATGCATTTCACGCAAAAAGTACTGAACGGATCTTAACTAAATTTTTACTAGGGTACATTTAAGATACCTTCTCCTACAGGAAAATCTGTTATTCCCACGGGAAAACACAATAACATAATTTCAATGAATCATAATACACACAACCATTAGACATAAAAAAATAGAACTTTTTTTATAAACCATAATTGTAGCAATCATTTTTCTTTCAGCACAACCAGCGTATCTGAAATTTATTGGTAAGATCACAGATTATATAATACTAAGTACCTGTATTAAAATTTAATTACTTTTAAAATTTTCATTATTTTAAGTAACAAAAAATTTAAATGCACAGGTGAAATGTTGGAGGCTTTTACAATATTGACAGATTTAATGTATAAGAAAGAAGATAAGCAATTACTTTCTTATGGAAAATTTAACCAAACGTATACGGAAGCTGCGAACGTGTATGTACTAAAATAGTTTAATTCATTAGTCTATTATACTTTGTACTAAAATATTACTTTTTTGCTTAGACTAAAAGAAACTCCCGATTTCGATGCAACACAATTTAATACAACATTAGCAAACCAATTGAAGAACGATTTAGCAGCGGTTGCGAAACCCAACACACCAAATAATATTGCTCCATTTATGAAAGGTGTTTATTAATTTTGTAAAATAAGTCAATAGGTAATGTATAATAATAAAAATTTTCATTTTTTCATTTTCATTTTTCAATTTTCATTTTTGTCGAATATAATCTAATCACAAAAACAAGGTAAAGAAATCTTTTGTTTGACGCCTGTAAGTTAAACTTTTGTTTTCATATAATTATCCTAGCTTTATAGGTGCATACGATACTAGCTTTACAGATTTATAAGATATGGGTATTGTATATTTATAATTGTTCTATTAAAATTATAAAATAATACTAAAATTATAATATTATAATCATTAAATTTCAGACATGGTCGAAATCTGCTCTAACTATCTAGCGCAACATGCTGAATTCAATAGTGCGTATAGTATTCCATATTGTTGTATTATATAAATAATATCACTGATTACAATTACGATATCTGTATATAAATAGGCATTTTTAACTGCCTCGGTGGTGTGCATACACGACTGCACATCCAGAGGCCCCGGGTTCGACTCCCGTTCGGGCCAAGTTTAATTATTGAGTCTTTCTGTATAGTAAACCTCAGTAATAACCCGGAGTTGGGATGTTGGCGGTGTTTTCATCCCTGTGCCTCGAAAGGCACGTAAAGCCGTCGGTCCTGCGCCTTAACTCTCACCGGTCGTGTCTCGTGTCGTCCCACCGGAGTATGAGAGTGACAGGAATAGAGAGTTCACTTGTGTCTGCGCGCACACGCGCAGCACTATAATATCTCCTGCACATCTGGTTAGACTTAATGAGATTGGCCGCCGTGACCGAAATCGGTCGAAAGGACATTATTATTATTATAAATAGGTAAAGACAAAACAGTCGGATACCTTTTTCTCGTCTGTTTGTCAACTGACTTTTTTTTGTTTAGTAGCTATTGAGATATTTTTATATAGGTAAAGATAAAATAATTCAGTATTTATATTTATAATGTTCAATAATGATTATGGTCGATTTTCGACCACTGGACGATCACTAGTATTCTTATATACCTGTATAATTTTACAGAAGATAAAGGTCCATCAATCAAAATACTGTTAAAGGCAATGCGTGCAAAAGGTAATGAACAATTGTATCAAAAAGGAAAAGCTAAACGGACTTACACTAAAGCTGCAGCGGAGTAAGATATACATACATATTATATTTTTTCTTATATTTGTTCATTTACATATAATTTGCTAATGTAACAAGGATTGTCCTTAAATAGATTGGAATGCGCAAGAGGTTTGGAAAGTGATCATGACGATCCTAATTTATCTCAAGAAATTCATTCACGTTTATCTAAATTGATAGAAACTCAAACTCCAGCTGACTTGAAAACAGATATGAATGGTATTGTGGATGTATTAGCATGTACCTAATTTAAGTTAATATGAATTGTTTTCGATGAAATTAATAGTGTTTTACTTTCAAATAGAAATTTATAATTTTATTATTCATTACCTTTAACATAATAATACTAAGATTTCATAAAAATTTGTGTGGATTGTGGAATAAGAACCTATTCATTTCAACTGATTATTTCACGTTTTTGATAAAATTTGAATGAGACAGGCGAAATCACTAACAAAATACGATTTAAAGCAAATGAAAGCAAAAGTATATACTATAAATATTAGATTATTACAGACATTTTGACAATATCATTTCTAAAGCAACAACACAGATTGTAAGATAAATTGTAATTAAGTCTTTTTTTTTCATTACAGAAACCTTAGACGTATGTTCCAAATATTTATCGCAACGTGCAATAGATGAAAGTAAGTGGAAAAATAATCAAAATATTTTAAGAATTTTAAATATTAAATAGTAAATCAAATCAATAGAAATATAACTTACAGTTGAAAGAGGTCCAGCTTTTGATATTCTCATAAAAGAATTGGAAAAGCAAGGAGCTGACCCGTTCACACCACAATATCCATGTGTCGAAACTAACTTTGCTGCGGCTTATGTGTAAATTGTTATATATGTACTTTAAAAGTAACTTGTTAGAATTTATCTTTATATATGATATAATTCTTTTGTACGCGTGTATCACTGAACTCCTCCTAATCGGCTGGACCGATTTTGAAGATTTTTTGTGATTGTCTCATAGTGTTTGTTTTATTGTCGAAATAATTATGGCACCCAAACGAAAAGCCAACCTTCGGGCAGAACAACGTCTGTCGGAACCGCTAGTAGTAGTATAACAGTTTGGTATATCGGTATATATATAGGTACATATATAGTTATTTGGTAATTTTGTTTATTTTGCCAAATGGATTCTCAGTTTATAAATAAATTATGTAACTATAACTGCTTACATCTAAATATTGTTGCTTAACTCTACTTGTTAGTTAAGACATCGGTTATTTTTTATATATTAATAAACTTTACTGAAAAACAGATTAAAGTCAGCACCAGGTCTCTGTGGTGTGATGCCAGATGAATCAAAGACTCAAACTTTTGTGGCAGCTTTGCATAAAGTGGTTGATACAGTTACTCCAAAAGCTCTAACAAAGGACATGCACGGTATTTTTTAATCAATATTTATACTGAAACATAATTTGGATGCAAATTAGTAAATATGATTTTTTCTAATTTTACATATAAAGCTATGATAATATTTTGAAACAAATGTTTTCTAATATGGCCAATGGCAATGAGGTCATACCTTTATATAAATATATTTTTGGATTGTATTATAAAATGTTTTTCCGTGGGAATGAGATAATCTCTCGCGGTAAAAAGTTGTTTATGTCACTCTCCAGCCCTCCATACAAAAAAAAAATACACCAATCCGTTACTTTGTTGCGACGTGAAAGAAGGACAAACAAACAAACACAATATATATAATATTAGTATGGATTTAACGATTCAATTTTTTACACGTTTCAGAGGTAATTGGGCGATGTGCTAACTATTTGTCTGCATTTGTAAGAGATAGAGGTAAATGATTCTTTTTAGTTTTAAATATAAATAGGTACCTACTATCTACAACCATATGCGAAATGCATTATAAACAACGTTCAATTAATTATTTTCTCCGAATTTCGTACAAATTAACCTTTGCAGATAAAGCCTTGCAGTCATTACTAAAGATGATGAAAAGTAATCCAAATGTCGAATTGGCTAAGAGAAATAATTATGCGATGAATTACGCTACTGCAGCCGCTGAGTAAGTGGGTTATGGCTAAATCATGAATCCATACATATCAGTACCATTTTGATTGCACTATTTGAAACGCGAGTAATAGTTAAAACATTAGCTAGTAGCTAAAATTCACATGTGATTGTTTAAAGACTAATTGAGCCTTAAACAAAATAGTTAATAAAAAAAATTACAATTTAAAATAATAGTCCTACTATATGTTCATTTTATATAAAATGATAGCAATGTTAATAAATAATATTTAACAGAACTGAAGCTGCCCCCCTCATTGTACCATTTATGCCGGTAAAAGACATTGCTGATGAGGTGAAAAGTAAACTGACAAAGGATATGGAAGGCAAATTTTCATCTGATATGGAAATACCTGTAAAAGGTTAAATATATGTATATATTTATATATGGTTCTAAGTTAACATGTACTGTTCGGAGAAGTAGATAGCTGATAATATCATATTGATATCATATTTTAAAGCTTGAGTAAGCCTTATTTAAGAATAACTGTTGATCTGCATTCTACTCCAAGTCCTAAACATGATAATTATTTTTATTATTTTTCCTCATAATTATTTTTTGTATTTATATAAAAATTTCAGCTTTAATACAAGACGTGTCAAGATATTTATCACAGCCTATTGCTATGAGAAGTAAGTGTGAAACTTGGTTATATATTAAGATTTAGCTTAAGGAGATTTTTATTCATAAATATCTTTAATTTATCTGTTTGACCTAATAAAGGTGGTGTAGCTGGGGAACGATATCCGATAAATTTCTTGGCAGCAGTTAAAAAGTCACTTGGATCAAGACCTCTATTCAAATATAAATCTTTTGGTCAAACATACGCTGATGCTGCGGAAGAGTAAGAAAATATTAAAAAAATCGTATTTTCAGTTAAAGCTTAATTAAAAAATTAGGTACCAGTAAATTTTAGTTAGAAAGTGTTAGGGCAGTAAAATCTTTTATGGCCGATTTCACCAACGTCACCTAAGTTTGAGGGATCCTCTAAGCATGTTTAGGGGGCTGTTAGGGGACAGTTTCTGTTTCACCGACAGTTAGGGGTCACCTAAATGTTAAAATGCCACCTAAATATAGGTGCTAGAAGTACGGGCTCTGACGACTGGTAAAACGAAATTTAATTTAGGGGCTAGTTTAGGGGAACTTTTAAGCTAGGGATCCCATACGTAGGAGGTAGCTTAAGTGATATTGGTGAAATTGGGCATTAGTATTTTATTAAAGCAATCGATTAGAAATAATATTTCATATATGTACTTAATGACTCTATTAACTCAGATTAAAATACGCGGGGCCGCTAGAGTCAGATCCGAAATGCGAAAACTTGCAACATGAAATATTTTCGGAAATGAAACGAGGTGTGCTAACCAGATTAGCCCCGACTATTACAAGCAATTTAAATGGTATAATTTTGTTTGTTTGAGCTATTAGTAAATTATAAAGTCCGATAATCAGAGCTAATTTTATTATATTTAAATTATGAATGGCATTTCAGATACAATGGAAGATGCTTCTAAGCATTTAGCTAAAGTTGGAAGTGAAAAAGGTATAACGAGACTGGTTTGAATTTATGATTAATAAACTTTAAGCTCTTTTGAGAATACTAAATAATTATTTTTATTAATTATAGTAATGTAAACAAATAGTGTATGGATTAAGTACCTTAATGGTTTGATTGTGTCGTTATCATCATATGCATATACTTTAGTATATCCGTCAAAATTAGAATACTTATTAGACTCTATTTTTTTTAATTAATAGGTGAAGCTCTGCAACATTTAATAAATTTAATGAAAGAGCAGGGGGAAACCCCTCTTGGTCAAATACAAGGTTATCAGCAGAGTTACTTGGACGGCGCTAGGAGGTTATTTTTGTTGATATTTCTAGACAATATTTCTAAAGATCGACCGTTCTTGAGATAGAGCGTGATGAGTGAAATAACACTTACACCATAACAATAATTTATGCCTTATTGTCTTTGATTTCAAAGTTATATCTCTATTTGAGTAATTAATAAAAGAAACATTACATAGAAAGCGAGAAAATCGAGAAAATAAAGTAAAAAATAAATAAAAAGTAAATAAATTAAATAATTAATAATTTTATATACTACTATAGTAATTAAGGCTAAATTGTTTTATTACTAACAAATATGGATGTAATATTTTGAATTAAAAATTATTATTATTATTATTATTGAAAAAAAGAAAAAAAATATATAATATTTTTGTTTTAGAATAGAAAATGCGCCTTCCTTAACAAATGAAAAAGTCGATAAAGGAGTGTATGAATCTGTTAGAAGAAAATTAACAACCTTATCTGAAAAAAAACCTGCTTCTGAGTTCGCAAAACAAATGCCTGGTACAAATACACTTTAAATACATATTTCTTAAAATAAATTTAGGAGTTGTAAATTATAAATACTTTTCTTACCATCATGCTTTAATTAACGTTACTAACGTAACTGGTTATGTTTTAAGGTTTAGTATAGATTTCTCAGAGATGTGTTATTTTCCCGCTGTAAAAAGTATCCTATATGATGACTAGGATAACCAGCCATACTAAATTTCATTAAAATCTGTCCAGTGGTTTTTTCGTGATGCGGTCACAGACAATCAGACAGACAGACAAAAAGTCTAAAAACTGTAGATTCGGCCTCTGTATCGATAATAATGACTATAGCAATGAGATTTTCCAAAAAATATTTAATGTACAGATTCGACTCAGAATTTTATTACTATGTATAGATAACAAAAATATACAAAAAATTTTGCAGCAATTATCGATGACGTTTCCAAGTTCCTGGCAGCTCCATTCCCAGAAAGTAAGTTTGCTTTATTCTTCTTTAGTTAATACATTTTATAGTTTTTTTGTATACATTTAAGTATTTATTAGGTATGCCAATGTATATAAAGTATGTAATAACTGTTTTATTACAGGTGAAGCTGAAAAACGGCGTGTTTTGGCCGACTTAATGGCACGGAAAGAAAATGAAATACTTGGTAAAGAAGGGATTTACAAGCTAACTTATGCCGAAGGCGGAGAAGAGTAAGCCAAAAAATATTGTTTTACTGAACTATAAATGATTACACTACATTCGAATAGGGCTGAAGTGTTTATAATTAAATCTTTAGGTTAATGAAAGCACCAGTGGGCATAAAGGCCCAAGACGAAAATACGAAAAAACAATTACTAGAAAAAGTGAATGCTGTTATACCCGAGAAAAAATTACAGGACGTTTTAAAAGGTTATTTTTGAGATTATATATGTATGTATGTATAATACTTAGACAATTTAATAAATAAACATACCTAAATAAGTATAACATTAATATTACATATTTCCAGTATCCGCAAACGAAGGAGCAACTTACCTAAGTGAAATAATTAAAGGCAGGGGTAAGTTAATGACTGCCGCCGAATTAATACCGCCACGAATTTAATATATGTATATTGTTTGTTTTATTTAATATGTAATTTAACGTTTAGGCGAGGCTATGCAAGTGATACACGATGAAATGAAGAAAGAAGAAGACAAAGACTTTATTTCTGTCGGTAAATTTTCTAAAACTCACGAAGAAGCAGCGAAAATGTAAATTGTTTTTATTTCAAGTTTATTCATAATTTGTGAAAAGTATTAAGCAATGATTGATTGTTTTAATTTGTTAGGCTTGAAACAGCTCCTCATTTTGGCGGACAGCATCCTTCACCAGTCTTAGTAGATAAAGTAGCTGAACAAGTGGAAAAACTATCCACGTCTAGTGTAACAGAAAAGGCTAAGCCTTTTATTCCAGGTAAAATAGTATTCAAAGCCTTATAGCTTATCTATATAATATTGAATACTGACTGTTAGTACTGTATTGAATATTTGAGTACAGTACTCGTATATAACAAAAGTTTGACTTTTTACTGCATATTGGCGACATTAATATATTTATAAAGTATCTACCTAATAAATAATTATCTTTCCCTTCATCCCTGGCTGTTGACACGAATTAATTTAGCACTAAATTTGAATGATTTGCTTGTGATTAACTAGGTAAATGCAATTTTTTAGATGCTTCTTCAATAACAACTCAGTATATTGCGGGAGTGGCGACAAAGGAGAGTAAGTTTTGGATCTTAATCAACTTTGAATGAATATTTATTGTTTTTCAATTACATTTTAATTGTTTAAATTATAATATTTTTGTTAACAGGTGGATTAGACACAAAAGCTCTTGCGGCCTCAGATAAAAGTAATGTTGGTGGGGTAGATGTTCCAAAGACAGATGTTCCAAAGATAGATGTCCCAAAGATCAGCGAATATAGGTGTTTGATTTTGATTTCCTATTATCCTGACCGATTTCGGCCAGGGCTATCAAGATTTTTTATTTAAATATTAGATTTATATATATGTATATAGTTTCTTGCATGGAAACCAAGCGTAAATTCATCACTTAGACTGTAACCAACATTTTATATTATAGAGTGACACCTCCAGTACCTCAAGTTCCCCGGACATTGGTTAGTGACGGTCCTGGTACTAGCTCTAGAGCAGCAAGGCCTAGTTCGTTTGACGAAGATGCTTTTAGAAAGCAAACGGAGAAAGAAGAAAGGAGGAAAAGAGAAGAGCCTGAAAGGAGAAGACGTCTAGAAGCTGAAAAACGCGGACCTGCTATTGAAGGTACCTTATGTAACTTAGAAAAATAATTTAAGAGACTTCTGTTAATAAATCTTAATTACTAATAGATATATTAAACATAAAATTAAATCAATCTCTCGCCAAACTTTCTACATGCTTAAAAACTCATCCATTGTCGCACATTTGCTTTTTAATATTATTCAAAATAGTATATTTTGATTCAATTATTTTAATTTCAAATTAAATTTCTTAAAAATACGATGATACTTTCTTAGATTTACGCGAGACTTTTCGGATTTTTTCGCGGATTTACTTTGATTTTTGAATCCCGACGTTTCGAATGCTTTATAGCAATTATGGTCAAGGGAGAGACAGTCAGAATACAAAAGTATAACTATCTTTAATTAAATAAGAAATATTAAGACGATTTATGGTAAAATATTAAGATGATTTATAGATATTTTGCTGTTCCAGATGTTGATCCAGAACGGGAACATGCCTTGCAAATTCTCCACAGTCAGCTCCGCGCGCGCGGCGCTGAAATGTTCTACAAACAGCCGCACACAGAACTTACACATGCAGAAGCTTTTCAATGGTTAATTTGTATTAATGTGTTATATACATATACGTTACATGTATTTATGAAATTCGTGAAAAACTTCATGTTGTGTCCAAAATAATCGTGCATACTTATTAGTTATTATTGTGTTATAAACGCATGATTAGTTTTTTTTACATTAATTCAAATTTAATATCATATCAAATATCAAATATTCTTTATTGTACACCATTAATTTACTTTACGTAGTTGTAACACATTAAAGAGAAATAGGCGGCCTTATCGCTAGAGAGCGATCTATTCTAGGTAATCTTTGAGTAGAGAGAAAGAAATAGAGAAGGAAGGGGTGCAAACAATCTGAAGGAGACCTATAAATGAATAAATACGTAGACAAATATATACATACTGTCGGCGCGTCTCCCTCTTACCGGGCGCGTGACGTATGAGCTGCGCGGGCGGGGGACCCTCCCCGACCGCGAGCGCATCTGATCGCGCCACTTCGCCTACCTGCGCGCTGGACTACGGACACTTTCCCAAAACTCTTAATTTGATTATACGTACTTTATATACAGTCCACTACTTTTATTAAAGTCCCGTTACGGCCTACACACATACACACATACATACGTACATTTTATATTTATTTGTGTACATGTTATGTGCCCTTTTCATCGTAGGCTTTCTGCGGAACCATCTATAAAAGTTGACAAATCTATAAAGGAATGTAGTGACACAGCTCGCCTTCATAAAAAGTTTGAACGTAAACTAAACCACGTGGTTAGCGCCAGTACTCCAGCAAACATGTATGATACAATGCAAGGTATCTTCATAATTTAAAATATATTTGCAATAAAATTGAAAAGCTTGATTGTTACTTAACAATTAAAATTGTTTTTAGATGTTATTATTGAATCATCAAGAATTCTTTCGGAATACTTCGTATCCAAAAGTAAGTACCTCTTGAGAGCTTATACTATTATACTTACCTGAAGGTATTATATAGTAGATTGACAATATTTAAATGGACAGTGGAATGATACAGATGTATTACAGGTTTCAAAGTTCTTGTGAGAGCAGCTCTAATATCGGAAATGCAGAAACGAGGAAACGAAATATTGATTGAAGTAGATGGGGCCGCTGAAACTTTTTTCTTTGCCGCTCAAAGGTTGCTTTTTGAGATCATTTATTAAATATAACTACACGATTATATTTACGAATGAATATTATAAAAATACCTTTATTAATATATTTAAAATATAGCATCTATATTACAAGAGTTAAGTTTTTCTACAACAGATTAAAAAAAGCAATTTCATTGGAAGTTGATCAGCCATGTTTGGAAGTATCGTATCGTCTTACAAAAAAATTAGAAGATATTATAAAATGTCGATCAATGTCGCGAAAGTTAACATCATCCATGAAAGGTACCATAATTTAAAAAAAAATCTCCAATTTATAATTCAAATTTCTTTTGATCATATGTATATTAGTAGGTACGAGTAGCTATATATTATATAGTAGTAATGTTAGATGGAATATATAATGAATAAAAGACTGCTCGAAATACCTACCATTATCTTTTCAGATCATATCAAAGACGCTGCAGATTACTTGTCAGCTCATGTAACGAAGCCTGGTAAGTTCCTTTTGGTTTTTCTAATGTTTTCGGGTTTTTGCGCGGACTTTTGATGTTTGGTTCCCGATAAGACGTTTCGAATACTATATTTCGAATGCTATACAACAATCATGGTCATGGGAGAGACAAAAGTTTATTTTTAGTTGTTTATAATAGCACTTTAATTATATTAGACATATATAGTTTTCATTATTATATTTGGTGTTTTTCTTAAAGATGAACAAATTGAAGCATACGTTGCTTTATTAAGTGAAATGGAAGTTGCTGGGGATAATCTCTTAATTGAAGGAAATATATCTAAAACTTTTAAAGAAGCTGCAACCTAGTAAGCCAAAGTTTTTTTGTATATTTTCATTTCATTCCGAACAATCATTTTATTCAACATTTTTCCGAACGCATAAAAAGAAATGCTTGAGAAATTAGTTTTATAAAAAATCCAACGATTTTTTTTAAAATATGGAAAAAATGTGCTACCGAAAGAGTTATTCATTTTTGTTATACTTTCAAATATTCGGATTAGTAAACTATGCCTACGTTAGCGTAACAGGCAAAGCTTACTTACGGTCGTAATATAGAAAATAGACTAATAATATTAATAATGTCCTTTACAATTTCTTCGAATTTTTACATCTTATACTTAGTTTATTTTATATTATTTCCCAGCCTTCGTCAATTAACAACATTTCAAGACTTAATATCGTTACCAAATTCATCTTTACAATCGAGTATAGAAGGAAAACTAAAGAGTATAGTGGCTAATGTTAGCAGAAGCGGCTACAGCAAATCTGCTATGGATGGTAGGTTCTTAATTGATACCTAGTACCCTTATATTTAACCTACAACGTAAGCTTATATTTATAGTTATTACTAGCTGTTCACCCTCGCTCCACTCGGGTTTCTCCCTAGTTATGTTTTAAGGAGTCTGCGGTATGAGACGTTGTAGGGGGCAGACCTTTAACGGTTAGTACCGATTTCCAAGAGTAGAAAATAATGTAAGTATAAATATCGCTATTGAAAAATAGGGGTTGGTGGTATAAAGGTGATAATTTAGATTTGTATGTATTTTTTAAATCCGACTCATAAAATAATTTACGTCATATTCACAGACCTGCTGAATATACACACAAAATTTCATAAGAATCGGTCAAGCAGTTTCGGAGGAGTTTTGTTACAAATACTGTGACAGGAGAATTTTATATACTTATTAGATTTTCTTGTATTTTAAGGCAACTAATATAGATATACCTATAGTCTATTGAACCAATTAACTGCTGTTAAAACATATGTGCACAAATTGAACTTAATAAAAAAGGTGTTTCATTTATAGGGTGATGAGATACTCGTCACTATATAATTAATAGTTTTATTTACATAAAATACTTTTTTGTTTTTAGACGTTATACGAGGATCAACGAAGTTGCTTGTATCTTACATCATGTTACAAGGTACTTAAAAATATCGTCTAAATTTATACTATAAAATATTTTATCAAAGAAAGTTTTAGATTATTGTAATGTAATTTTGTTAAACGTAGGTATTAAAACAGAAGCACTGAATATATTAATCGAACAAATGGACATCGAAGGAGGTAACGTTTTATTACGGCATGGTAATATTAGAAGAACTTTTAGTGATGGAGCACATGCGTAAGTAAATGAAAAAAAAATAAACCTAAATTAAAAAAAAAAGTTTTCTTAACGATTTGTCATATCTTAGATCTTATACTGTATGTACTATTATTTCAATACATAGGTTACGCACGAAGAGTAGTGACCAATTAAGTGTCCCAAGTGCCGACCCAGTAGTGGCGAGGAAAATACAAATTAAATTACGTAATTTAATGCAGTTACATACACCTGATAAATATTCATCTCTAATGGACGGTACGTGTTAATATTTTATAGTGACTTTGTCCTCGACACCATATGCGTAATTCTACTACTAACGGTCGTAGTCTAATGTTAGGGTAACTTTAAAACCTATAACATACCTAAAACTTTTCTGAATAGATAGGCTATTAAAAACAATTTGAGTTTCTCAAATCTGATGTAAGAGAGTTGCAGAGATTAGCGCGTACAAATAAACAAACGAAAAAATTGAGATTTATTATATGATTATAGTATAGACTATAGACAATAGTTTTTGTCCGCATCTCCAATCACGTGGTCGATCGATGGTTGATCGATAAAAAATACGATGAGCCTAATTGTTAATCCAAGTTATATCAGATACTATGCGATGTGAATTCTGAATTTAGCTCAAATCCGTTGAAATATGGAGAAATAAAAAATATACCCAAACATAGAAACTTTCATGTTTATAATATTAGTGTCAATGTTCCTATTTTTGTATAACTTATGATTTTTTATACAGACGTTATTGAAGATGCTACCATGTACTTGGCTGTCCACTTTTTACAACCACGTATGTATTATCTTATTAAACTAGATATGATTGAAGGTACTTAAATACTATTTTATTCTTCCTCTTCATTAGAAGTTTACTTTTTAATTAACGATAAAAAATAACTTATTAACGAAATTAATTAAATCTAACGAAATTAGAAATGCAATATTAAGAACAATTAGTAATTACATAAAAGGATTTTACCCTAATAAGTATAATTTATTCAAATAGAGCTTATGATCATCGTTTATCATAGTTATTCTTTATCTATTTTCAGACGTGGTTCAAGTCTGCAAGTGCATGAAAAACGTGTTTGTTCAATGCGAGCTTTGGTGTGATGAAATACTGCGTCGTGTTGCAAAACCGTGTTGCAACTGCTCCCGGCATATCTCTTCACAGGCTTTGGCCGACTTAGGCCCTGGAACTTCCCAAGCGTACACTCACGGGCTTGAAATATCAATAACACCCTGTCCGTCGAAGCAAAAGAAAATATTTACTAACCAAGGCGAAAAGCCGTACGCTCAGCCTTGTCCAGCCAAAAAGCCTTCAGACCAGTGCGAAAAAACTACTACTTCATACCTTTTATACTCTTCCGAATATCAAAAGAAAGTTCCACTTCAAACAACTTCACTCACTCAAGAACTGATGATTAAGTCCCCAATGTATTCGCCGAAACAATCGGCTACTGTTGAAGAAACTAAAAGTAATCATGGAATGAAATATGTAGAAAAACGGGACATTTCTCTTAATCCTGTAGAGAGAGATAAAAAACAAGAAATTGATACATCATCAGGATCTTTTCAAACTCCTAAAAATGATATCTCAGAATCTCCAAAACCAGCAGAACATGCTTTTTGGCAATCACCTACAACAATGTATGCGAGAGTTCAGCTGAAGAACAAACAGACAAGAGAGACTGAGCCGGAACAACGTACATCTCATACGACAAAGAGTTGGGATACGAATCTATCACGAAGAATGACATCAGTGAAGCGTGGATATAACACTCGTAACTATCATACTTGTGTAAAACTAATTTTTTTAACTAGCGGTTCACGGTCGCTCAGGGTTGGTTCGCTTATAAAATATATAAAATAAAAACAGTACACCTATAAAAATAAAACAAATCTATCCCACAGAAACCGTATACTTTTCTTGGATAAAAAGTAGCCCATGTGTTATTCTGATGTATAAGCTATATTATTGTAAAGTTTCCTTAAAATCCATTCAGTAGTTCTTGCGTGAAAGAGTAACAAACGTCCATACATGTATCTACACATCCAGATATCCATACATCCTCACAAACATTCGCAATGTTTATTATTATTATATTAGTAGGATTTGCTTGAATTTGCATTTTGGTGAATGCCCCATTGGTCATGTTTTTTTCTTCATTCTTTCTAATTCTTAGTAGCAGACGGAAATTGAAATTGGAGGTGTTCGTAAAGCGACGGATCTGATGGTCCACCGGCTAGGAAGACATTATTTTCACTTTTACGAGCTTTGAATATAGCCTAGTGAAGCACCAATGTATCGTCTTATTTTTATATCTATATTTATTGCTATGAACAGATTTAAATAGCTTTTGGGTATATATTCTCGTGTCTAGGATAAAAATCTCTTACAGGGGCACCAATTATCACAACAGATCAAATGGCGGATTGGCACGCCATGATGGTGAGCCTCACGTGGAATGTTCAGGCTTGGCGAGGTTGGATACAAGAAAATATAGATCGTGCACTGGACTATCAAAACAAAGGTATTCATTTACATTATATAACTACTAGCCACTCACCAGCTTCGCTCGGGTTCACCTCTAGGAAAATAAAAACAAACCTATCCCATGGGAACCGTACCTTTTTCCAGCATAAAAAGTAGCCTATGTATTATTCCAGACTATAATCTATCTCTGTACCAAATTTCATCCAGATCTGTTCAAGTGTTCTGGCGTGAAAGAGTAACAAACATCCATACATACAAACTTTCACATTTATAATATTAATAATACGGATAAAATACATCCTTACTGTGTCTCTATAAGCAAATGGCCTTCATATACTCATGTAATTAAATCTAGATAGAAAAACGAAAATGTATTGATCTCATTGATTATCACGGTCAGATATAGTGTATATTTAATTTTTTTAAGGGGAAACAGAGGAGACCTGGGCAAGTTTTCAAAGACAAACTTCTACAGAAGCTCTACAATGGAGACAATATAACAATTTCAGCCGACAATTAACGTATCGACTCGCCCTTAGATATAGGGATAAAAAAGTAAAGTGTTAATTTTTTATCTTTCTTTTAGGAAATATAATTATGTTTCATTTTATGATTTCCATCTGCAGATAGTGTCTCCTACGAGAGCTACTCTTAAAACTGATTTATACATGAAATGCCAACAGGAAATGTTAGATATCATTGATATGTTCCATCGTTGGACGCGGTGGTTGAGTGTTGTTGTATGTATTACTTGAATAATATTAATACAGTATACATAATATTATTATCAATACACATACTTTTTTCCGTTTCTTTCTTTCCGATTGATATTTCTGATTTGGCCGTTTGTTTTTGTATCTAATAGATGAAAGAAACTGATGATATTGTTCAAGAAGCTGCCATTGACACGAGTGTAAAAAGTCCGTAAGTAAAAATGGCTTTTCAGAAAAACTTTTATCTTTAAATATTTATTATAATTATAGATTTTATGATATCAGTACAGAATCAAGTTAATCTTTCTTTAATTTCATGTAGTAGATGGAGACAATTTAAAAAGAAGGTCGAAGAATATTTAGAAGATTGGAAAAGATATAATATGCACGTAAAAGTATGTTGGGAACAGAAATATAAAATGCTTATCACTGGTGACTATCTTATAAGTTTTTATGATATTTTTTATGTGTTAAAGTTATTAATGTAGCTGTTTAAAACTTTCAGAATCGGATCAGCATCTTTAGAGATTACCCTCTACTTACAAACTTTTTAATTTTAGTGTAGATAATTACATTACAGACTGGTTGCCCGAGTTAAGCCAGTCGGGCGCGGTGTGGGTGGTGAGCGCGTGCGGCGCGGTGCCCAGCGGCGCGGTGGCCGCCGGCGTCTACGAAGGAGAGGTTATTTGGGTAGCGAGGACTACGCACAGGTACATAAATTAAATAAATATTCAATTATAAAATTTATTAAAATTATAAAAATGTTTAAAATTAGAATTAGCAAATATTGTAAGGTACTTTGATGCCATTTTTGAATTCTTATTGTTATTTTGTGGGTAGGCTGTCTGTAACAACTATATAATGCCTCTGAGACATCTTAAACCTTGGTCTCTTCCGTGACCATGATTGCTGTAAAGCATTCAAAACGTCGGGAACCAAAAATCAAAATAGGTAAATTCGCGAAAAGATCCGCAAAAAAAAGATAATTTTATTTAAAAAGTAGCCTATGTGTTAACAGGTCACGGAGTATTTGTGTACTAAATCTCATCTAAATCCTCAGAGCCGTTTCAATGTGAAGGAGTAAATACATTCAACATTCAAACTTTCCTTCTTACAATTGTAGTTTAAAATGTTAAATTGGATAAAATAATTCTGACATTTCCCAATTATCTTTATCTCTTATTTAAATATGATGATAGAAACAACGTGTTACCCGCTGCTTTACATCCGTCTAAACATTGCTGCATCGTGTATAGCGACGGCGGAGTACATCATTATACTAAATATCAGGTTATTAAAACAAGTTTCTAATTGGATTCTACATAACAATATATACTTGCACTAAAACCTTAGACCAACACTAAACTGAACCGAATGATGAAATCGAAAACCACTATCTTCGACGCAATTATGATACGAGTTTAGGTTATTGTTACGGAGTCTGACAGTGACTAATAGAGAGTGCGCCTTGTGTTCGTACGCGTACTTGTGCACGATAACATCTACTACAACGGCTAGTCCCGATGAGCATTCTGGACCACAATGTTGAATTTGCAAAATGTTGGATTCTTACGATGTTGAATTCGCAAAATGTTGACTCCCAAAATGTTGAATTCGTAAAAAGTTGAATTTACTGGACCCACAATGACAAGTTCCTAAAATGTTGAGTTCGCTAAAAGTTGAACTTGCAATATGTTAAATCCTAAATTTTGAACACAAAAAATTGTATCCTAACAATCCGAACAACAATATACATATAAATACAATCTGAATTGAAATTAATTTTTATCTGCGATATTTATAGTTATTGTTCGTTACCACCCCAGTTTGGAAAAAGAGCAATGCAATGTCACTTGGTCAAGAAAATATCCTCCAATAGTCTTGAATATAAATATGATAGAAATATAGTAGTACGATTGTGCTCTTATTTTGTGTTACTTTCACCGACGTATATGACAGAAGACTGGCGGCATATTGTAGATACTGCCCCTGATTTAGAAAATTAGCACAATTTTCTACAGTATTTTGAAGAGCAGTGGTTTAACATGATCACAATTTGATAAGTAGGAAGCATTATTGTTCCTTGTTGTATGAACATGTCGACATAGTGAAAAACAAAAGTCGAAAAACAAATAACATCGAACAAAAAAACAAGTTTTGTGTTACATTTTCATTTATTAAAGTAAGTACTAAACAAAAAATCTCGTTAGTTGTAAGTTGTAACCCTTAAACTAAAAAAAAATTCCGCAGAATATCACCTAAACGAAAAATTGTACTTATCATTCTTAACTAATAACAAAACAAAAATAAAATATATTTAAAAATTCTGAAAATATAATTAGAATCCTAATTTAAGCCTAATATATATAATTTTTGTTAAAAATTGAAAAGGTTGCAATTTTTTCTTTTCAAGTTTTTTTAATAACTGTGAATACCTCTTGTCGAATAAAACATCTTTTTCTCTTCTATTTTTCTTGTATGGAAAAAAGTAAGACCGTGCAACTTGCCGATCATAGTAATTAGCTTCTTTTATTAGCGTTTTAAAAACCAAAAATAAATTAGGCGTTTTTGGGAGTCGTGAATTTATTTTTCGATGATAGCCCTCACACGAATTAGTTGTTCTGTGGGTATCGTCTGCACAACTAATCAAATTGTGATCCATATTGAACCACTGCTCTTCAAAATATTGTAAAAAATTGTGCAAATTTTCAGAATAAGGAGCAGTATCTACAATATACCGCCAGGCTTCTGTCATATACTTCGGTGGAAGTAAGACAAAATAAGAGCACAATCGTACTATATTTCTATTATATTTATATTCAAGACTACTGGAGTATTTTTTCTTGATCAAGTTACATTGCTTTGCCCTTTTCCAAACTGCCTTGTTAAAATGCTGAAAGCATCCTGTCACTTTAGCGTCTGTATATACCTTCCTAATTGCGTTTATATTAGCTTGTTCGTAATCGCATTTGAAACTTGCAATACGGACTCCAAGCTCATTCTTAATTAATTGAAATAGCCTTGTGTAAGTTTTCTCTGCTTTATTTGGCAAAAAAGCGTAAATTACTGGATAAATATTTATGCTTTTGTCATTAGAATAAACATCAAGGTGTATTATGTACAACTGATAGAATGGTCGGGGGCACGATCTAAAAGTACCATCCCCATAATAGGAAATACTTTTCTCAGTTTTCAGTAATTTTAGCATCTTCTTAGAACACAACAAAATAATTTTTTCCTTCTTTCCATCTTCAATAATCTTGAAAGTTTCGGGCACACCTTTAGGAATTACGACATCTTCAATTTTTTTAAAAATTAGTTTATGTGATCCTAAAAACCTTTTCCGTGCCCTATATAAAGAACTTTTCACTGAGAAAAATGTTGGTAATTGGTTTGCAGATATATTAGGGTTTTGCTCAAGAAAATCAGTTGACATGTCATCGAAAATTTGTTGAACAGGATTTAAATTTGTGCAAACTTCTTTTTTCATTGCAGATAAAAGCCCTGCAATTTGAATCTTACTCTGGTCGATCAAGCACTTATGGTTACTTTCACGTATTATTTTTGTTTTATCCGTGCTTAGGGTTACGGTAGCTGTACATATTTCACGATGTGTGCACTTCCACCGTGTCGTACCGTTATGATTCGCCTTACCGTCTTGAGTTAGTGTCCACTTGCCTTTTACAATTAGAAGATCTTTATTCTTATGATTTTTTGAAAACACAATTTCTTTGGAAGGAGCCATAATATTTTTATTTTATATTTTACTACTTCAAATAATGTTTAATTTCATATTAAATGAACAGGAAATTATAAACTGGATTGACAATAGCAAAGGATGACAAATTACTTATAACTTTATTACAAGTGGCCACTTAGATACTACTAGTAATCGATGCACAGAGAATTTATAAAACGAAAGAGTTTTGTTATAATAAATATAAGTATGCAAACTTGAGATGGGGATTTGTCTATCGGTGGGATGGTAACGAACAATATTCATAAAAATCACATTTCAAAAATTCATTTCAATTCATTTTTTATGCAATTCAGATTGTACTTATGTATATTGTTTTTCGGATCGTTAGGATACAACTTTTTTGCATTAACGTTTTGGGATTCAACATACTTATATAATAAAATATTCTTTATTGCACTTACAATATACAGACATTTTAATATAATAGTTGTATGCAAAGGTGAACTTATCTCTAGAAGAGATCTCTTCCAGCCAACCTTTGTTCATCAGGAATAGATTGTTAAAAAAACATATTGCAAGTTCAACTTTTAGCGAACTTAACGTTTTAGGAATTCAACATTGTGGGTCCAGTAAATTCAACTTTTTACGAATTCAACATTTTGGGAGTCAACATTTTGCGAATTCAACATCATAAGAATCCAACATTTTGCAAATTCAACATTGTGGTCCAGAATGCCGATGAGATTGGTTGCTGGAGATCATAATCTGTCATGAGGACATACTTATTTTTTAATATTAAATCTATACTAATATTATAAAGAGGTAAAGTTTGTGAGTTTGTGACGTTGTCCCTACAACTACCCTACCTACCCTACTTACCCCCTGGTAATCTGTGGATCTACTGTACCGATTTAGATGAAATTTAAATTTATAGTTTGAGACTCTTGAGACCCTGAAAAGGACATAGAATACATTTTATCCCGGAAATCACCCCTTAAAGGGGTGAAAATGCGGATGAAAGTTTGTATTGGGAAGCAAGCTAGGGACGATCCTGAGTGAAGCGAGGGTGAGTCGCTTGTAGTTAAATAAATTGATGAATAAAGGCCGAGTCCACTTCAGGTTTTAGACTATAAGCATTATGTACGTTACACAGGTAATGTGCAACGCAGAGGTATCGTGGGTAGCGTGTCGCGCGACAGAGATGCACGCGGGCGCGCGCGCGGCGCGGGCGGCGCGCGGCGTGCTGGTGGGGCGCGTGCTGTACCGCGGCGCGCACCTCGTGGGCGCCGTGCACGCGCCCGCCTACCACTGCCACGTCGTCATCTTTGGACGACCATTCGCTTTCAGCTGCTATGAACTACTAGTCCTCTCTGGTGATCGGTAATTTGGACTACAGAGGTATTTATAGATTGGTAAATTGTTTGCGTTATGCTGTTGGAAATCCTTAGCGTAGCTGGTGTTGTTATAAGCATTTTTTTGATGGTAAAAGATTATTATTGTGTGTGTTAATAAAGACAACTCTTTCTTTATGCTTGTTTTGACGATTCTTTAAAAGTATAGCAACAAAAATTTGATATAATTTTATTAATTGCTTATGAATTTGAATTTGTTTGTTTAACGTATTGTGTAACTTTTTGGTCGTTTATTTCTTTGTGCTATCATTTTGAAAATAATAAAGCGTTTGTGATTTGTATAACTTTTTGTAATTTATTTAGCTATATTCAAATTATTTGGTCCTATTAAAGCTATAATTTTAAAATATTCATTGTGATTCATCCTTTACTTCTGCAATGCTGACTTTCTCTATGAACCCTTCAGTTCCGGAAAGGCGCACCGTCTCTCCCGTAGAGAACATTTCAGTGGCGTGCATCGCGCCCACTATGCACGGCAAGCCGTACTCTCGAGCTATTACTGCTCCTGTACAAACATTTAAAAGATAATAATAAAAACATTAAAAGATAATAATTTAAAAGATAGTTATATGTAATATCATATGTAACAATAAATACTTAAACAAATAAATATATAGAGTATGAGCACACGACGCGATGTCTAAAGCTGATCTCAATAATGATAAAAACAGGATTTTGAACAATGGTTATAATTGTTTTTTTTCAACATTTTTATGTCAGTATACACAAAATTACAACGACAGTATTTATTTCAATTTGATTATTACAAAAATACGACTAGACGTTCTAATACTAAACTAATTTAAGCTTCTAACAAAATTAATACTATAATTTAATTTGAACTGAATATAAGTATAACAAAGTATTTAATTATTATATACCTAAAGAAAAATAACATAAAAAATTACCATGTGAAATTAGTCCTCCAAGTTCTGTAACAATACCAGCGAGTAGAGGGAAGTAAGGAGACCAGCCGATGTCTGTGGAATGTGTTACCAAAACGTCTCCCTGCTGCAACTGATCGATCTGTTTACGAGATAGTAGTTAAAACGATAGTAGGTACAGTCATTTGGTAGTTTTACTTGAAAAGTTTTCCGGGAGTTTTGAAAATTAGCGATTTTATAGATTTGTACTGGCTCATTCGGAATTTCTACTTTGCCACCTCGTATCGTTGCCGCTCACGCCGCTATTATTGTATAAAATGGCGCCTTAAAACAGTTTTTTGCTAATATATCCTTTCCTACTCATTTAACGATGAAAAAAGTTACATAATCTATACATATAAATCTAACTCAGTCGAATCTGTACATTAAATATTTTTTGTAAATATTTTTGAAATAGTCGTTATGATCGATATAAAGACAGAATCTATAGTTTTTAGAATTTTTGCATGTCTCTCTGTTTGTCTATCTCGGAACGAAGCACGAAAAAACCACTGGACAGATTTTGATGAAATTTGGTATGATGATAGCTGGTTATCCGAGTCAACATTTAGAAGACTTTTTACTGCGGGAAAATATGTCATATCTGAGAAATCTATACTAAACGTAAAAATTTAATATAGTGTTCGAGAAATATATAAATTCGTTTAAAATATTACTATAATCTTTTTCATCTTTATGGACCAAAAATCTCTCAAGTCAAGTTGTAACATCTAAATCACAAATCAAATCGAACCTCAGACAGATCTTTTACGACGCAGACTCTCGCGATAACTTCGCCTCCGCACACTGAAGTAGCCTTTAGTTTGACTTCGCCGCTTGTTATCTTTGGACCTTCCACTCTAAGAGGCTCAACCCAGCCTTTATTCATTTCTGCGAACTGTAATTTGGCCCAAGTAGGATAGAATTGGTGACGTTGCATTGCCCTATAAACAAAAAACGCTTTTAATCCTTTGACTACAAAAATCTGTCATAAATCATTATTTAGTCATCAGATTAAAACTGTGAGTCCACAAGAAGATATCCATCCATGAAAAGGTAAATGAGTATTAAATATTTAGTCCTCCAATATATGTATTTTGTTTACAAAATTGTAAAAACATGGCAGAAAACATGGCTAATATCATACATAGTTTAGCGACACGTTTCGCTTGTTACTTGCTGTGCCAGCGCGGCGGTCGCGGTTCGAGTCCCGCTGGAGGCATTCCTTAGCGTGATAAGCACGAATGTTTGTAGTTACGCCAGTCATGGGTGCTTATATTTATAACATGTATGTATTTAAAGTTACATATGTGTGGTGTATCAACTATCTGGTATCCATAATACAAGCCTCGTAGCTTACCATGGATCTAGATGGTGTTGTTGAATAAAACGTCCCAACATATTTATCTCGTCCCACATTATTAAAATGAAGAATTTTGGAACATTTTTTTCGAAAACTCAAAATTTTTTTCTTACTTTTTCAGCAAAGCTGGGTCTCTTGTCTCAATGTACTGTTTAATTTCGTTTGCTCTGAAGTAGAATACTAGCTCGCGGTTTGGTAGAAACCATCGCTGTACGAGAAGGTCACCGAGGCGCAGCGCCGCCAGCCGCAGCTTGTGCACGGCCAGTATAAGATGAGATTTGGTAACTTCTCTGTGACGAACTGCGCGGTGACAAAACGGGACAATCCAACGTAATGCTTTCCTATAAATAAGTGTTATATTATTGCATAATTTAAAGTCATAACTCAATTATTTCATTAATATATAATTTTATTTTGGTATCTTTGATAGATTCTCTTTAAACTCGGAGCATTATTTATGTATTAATTAGAGAAGAGATGTAGGAAAAAAACAATCCTATCCCACGGGAACCGTATATTTTTCCGGGATAAAAAGTAGCCTATGTGTTATTTCAGACTATAATCTATCTCTGTGCCAAATTCCATCTAGATCGGTTCAGCCGTTCTGTCGTGAAAGAGTATGATAGATTATAGATACCTATTTACTTGTAATGCATAAGCAATGGAAGTGAATAAAAGTACAGTTAACTAAAAGTTAAATAATATTACTATCATACTAATCAAATATATCATTATCATATCCATAAAATAAAATCTTTTATCGGTATTTGTTCTTTATAAATAGGTAGTCAATAGTCATTTAAGATTATTACCTCGTATTCGCTTTTTTGGGAGTTTTTAAAGAAGCAATAACCTCGTCGTTAGATTTCTGTTGAACATCTCCTTTTGAAGCAGGCACATTCATAAGCAATTTCATAAATTCTTCTTGTGCCAATATCCAGGGTTTTGCCGAAAGATCTAGCTAAATTAATTGTGGATCTTTTAAAAAGATTAAATATTGACATGTATCTATCTAAACATTATACAAACAATTCATTTAATTCAGTTTATAATATAATGTAAAATATTGCCAGCCTGCAAGAAACAATCACGTTCTTCGAAGAATCACAATGTTTGGTGAGCACAAGTACTTTAACTGAATTTTGCTGAATTTTTAAATTAAAATTTTAGTTGATATATAATATGTTACTTAAGAAGGTAATGAGCTAAAGGTAAACAAAAATGTCTTTTCCTATTTCACTCACTTAATCTCTAAACAATTTCAAAGTAACAGAAATTACTTACTTCCATTATAGCTCTATGGCCGTGCTGGTCCAAAAACGTACAAACGTCGTTATAGATACGTGGTACATTATTTTTCAGCCACATCATAGCTAAGTTTGGATCTTGTTCACGGAACTCTGCGAGTTTTCCAGAATTTTCCAAATTTCTAACAAGTTTAGCTAGTATATTTGGAACTTCAGCCGACAAAACATCGCCAGAACTCAATAATGTACTAATTTCATTGCATTCGTCTGGTGTGAAATCTGTAATTTTAATAATATAAAATGATCTTTTCGATTTATTCGCGGATTCATGTTGGTTTATGGTTTCCGACGCTTCTAATGCTTTACAGCAATCATGGTCAGATCAGGGAGATCAATCAGGGAGAGACGAAGGTTTAGACGTCTCAAAGGTCAATATATAGTTGTTACAGACATAACCTTACCAATAAAATAGTATAAGATAGACCAACAGTCGGTGCGCGGTTGATAACGAAAGTGATCCTCCAGCAGCCCATTAAGTCAAGGCAGGTTCCATCACGTTTTAGTATAATAGACAACTGGCTAGGCAGTCGTGTTCGCGTGCAATAATATAGGTACACCATAATAACTAGCTATCTCAATCTGTCTAGTCTCAGTAAGATTGGCCGCGGTGGCCAAAATCAGTCACGAAGAGATATTATGAACTGTATGTAGACAGGTAGTAAGCGTAATTGCACTGTAAACTTACGGGATATAACAAGTATTTTTATTTACTGGTGTTTGTCCAGTGTGCTACTAAACAAAAAAAAAGTCGGTTGTTAAACAGAGGAGAAAAACTTTTTTTTTGTTTTCTTAGAAAAATTATATATTACCTGATCTTCCCTCCAACAGGACAGTCATAGCGATGAACTGAGTGAAGGTGCTCACGGTGCTAGTATTGGCGTGGCTCTTCATGAATTTGAACATGTCGCCCTTCACAGACATCAGCTTGCTCAGAAGTTCTGACGGGTTTTTTGTGTCCACGTTTAGGTTCATCACATTGATCTCCTTGATTGTGTTGTTCATGCGCGATTTTGATTGTATTAACGCCTATAATAGGTAATTTTAATATTTTATGATAACTAATGGCTTAACGATGGCCGCGTAGAATAAATCTACACGGACACTATAACTACCATAATTTAATTAAAGTGTTAATAAGTTTCATTGACTTTTTGTTTCAATTCCAAAATTTCTTATTAAAACATAAGACTTTTTCAGTTTCTTACATAATATATTTTTAGGTTAAAGAACATAGTATACTTTTAAACTAGGCTCTTTTTTATTACCATTATCATGTCGAATAAAACAATGATTTTGTCAGTTCGTCGAGGCTGTCTTCTGTGTAAAGCCGTGCTCATGATGGCGTCGTCCGCTACTTTGTGACCGTGTATGGATATTTCTAACATACGGATATTGACGTCAATGTCTTTGGGAGTTCTCCGATATACCGACTGTAAATAATAAAATTAATATTAATTATATATGTACTTCCATATATTGTATGCGAACTTCAATATCTAGTATACCTCTCTGTTACTGGAGAAAATAAAAAAAATATTTATTATACTAATTTTATTTGGAAAAAAAGAGTAAAAAATGATTATATTTTATTACTGTGCTAAGTTAATCATCAGCAATAAAATACAAAGATAACTTTCAGTTGAATCAGGCGGGTTAATCTTTACATGTAACTTGAGATGCATTTTACAAACTGTCATAAAAAGTGGGATCCATGTTTAATCATTATAAATTAAATAGAAACAAAGACAGTGGTCGCCCAGTGGTTACGCGCTCGCTTGGAAAACCGTGTGAAGTGGGTTCAAATACCGGGTCTCGCATCTCTGTTATTTTCATGTGCGAATCATATCTCACATGATTACCACTTGTCTTAACGGTAAAGGAAAACATCGTGAGGAAACCTGCATGTCTGAAAGAACCTAGTAAGTTTTGAAAGACATGTGCAGTCCGCTAACCCGCACTGGCCAGCATGGTGGCCTGGTCCCCCTCGTATTGAAGGGAGGCCTGTGCCCAGCAGTGGGACGTTAAAAAGGGCTGAATACATACATACAGATAGAATTACAAACGGAAGATAACCGCGGGTGCATAGCTAACATATAATTTAGAAAATATAACTTACATTGTAAAGTGCTAATGCACATCTGTTATGGGTTATGACCATGTTTTTATCGTATCCGTCACCATTCGTTCTCATCATCGCTGATATGCCTTTCTCCAAGTAGGCAATGACGAGATCATGTGTTAAAGGTGTTATTGGTTTCGGAAGAACCTACAGGTATAAAAATTAAATTTAAGGGTCTTAAATATTAATTATTGACTATTAGAAGTAGAACAAATTATTACTGAAGTATTATTTTTATTTACTTGATAGATTTAAGTATAAAACGTATTCATATAAGAATGAAACATTACATACATTGTGAGCTATGGTCCGCAATATCTAAGTAAATTATAACTGGCATAAAAAGTAAACTATATTGTACATACTCTAGTAATATGTTATTCAGCACTTACTTGATAGGCTTTGTTAAAATTACATTGATTCGTTACTCTATTGCTAATATCAATACGTTTTTCTAATAATTATATTAATAAGGATTTTATGTGTTTATAGGTACATAATTAATTTTCAGTTTTCGCATTCGAGCCATCACGTCGTATTAGAGTGATACAAACAAAATAAACTTTCTGAAAGTTATATATATGTAATCAATTTACCTCTCCAGTATTCGCGAACGTAATTAGTTCATCGTCAGACATGATCGGTGTGTCCAATTCGTGCAGCAACTCTTCTTCCGTCCATTGATCGAGAGAAGTTATCGGTCTCGCTTGTAGCAAAAATACGTCGTCCTATAAACATGAAATACTTAAAAATAATAAAACGTATACCAAGTAAAGTAGTAAGAAAAAAAAAGATAAAACTCTTCTTTCTTTTTTTAAATTTTATTTTGCTTTTTAGTTTGAATTTGGTAAAGAACCAAATTTTTTTCAAAAGAACCGATTTTATTTAAAATGTTCACGTAAATCATTTATTGACAAAACGCAGTCATAGTTTAACCATTTTGTACAAAATATTTACAAACTATATACGTAAACCTTCCTCGTTTGTAGCTTCTTCTATTAGTGAAAACCGTACCAAATTGCTTTGCGTGGTTTAGAAGAAGTAAGCGGAGAAACAGACAGAGACCGACAGCGACTTTGTATAAAGACCGGACCAGTTATTGTGTTTTCCCGAGAGAATAAGAGATTTTCCTGTAGTAAGTGAAAGGTATCCTAAATGTAGACCCGAGTAATAAATTACCACTACATAAAAAATAGTTAAAATCCGGTCAGAACATATGGTGTGAAATGCACACAGACATGAGACAAAACGACGAGCAAATATACAGACAGACAAACAGACAAAAATTTCAACAACAATTGTTTTAGCGTCTATATTCTGTACATAACACGTAACAGTCATTGTTTTCAAAAACATTATGTATATTTCATGTACAGATTTCGCTTTCTTAGTAGTTTCGTTTGATTATATGCATAGGTAATATAATCAAATCGTAACAACTAATAAAGCAAAATCTGTACCTGAAAATAATAATAAGCTATAGGATATAATAATGAACCTTATATATTTCACAAAAAATAATACTTACATCGTTTATAGCCCATTCAATGTCTCTACCGGCACCCCAAAGTCTTTCTTGGGATACGCCCAATCGAGCCAACTTAAATATTTCCGATTCTGACAAACAAGGCTTATTTCTTTCAATATCTGCAACATTTTCTGAAGTAACACCATCTTTACTTGTTATAATCTTATGGGTCTTAGATCCAAGATCAATTTGTGCAATCGATAATGTCCCATCAGAATTTCGTCTTACAACGATTGTGTCCGGTTCTACAGAACCCGAAACGACGCTCTGTAAATGATTATTTACTTGTAAATAATATGCGTTACCTAATTGAAAACGTGCTTGTACAAATATATTAATTTTACAGATCAATTTACAATTTTTTCTTTGAAATATTATAACAGAATATATGTTTTCTGTATGTGTACAGTTACGTCACAGAAATGATGACACAATGCTACTACGTAAATTCAAAATTATATTTTTTTCTAATACTCTGTTAAACATACATTTGTTATTGTGAAGCTTTAACATAGAATATCACCTCTCCCAAGCCATAGTTAGCAGTTATGAGGATCCGAGTGGGGTCTCCCTGGTGCGGGTGCGCGGTGAACATGACGCCCGCAACGCGCGCCGCCGCCATTACTTGTACCACCACGCCGCCCTCGCAAAGACACGACTGTCCATTTTGTCTGCGTATGATGAAATATATAAATTACAGCAAATTATATTTATTATTCTTCTTTAGATTATTTTAGGAATGTATTCATTATCCTTTATCTGAATTTTCTTAAGTTGAAAAATACTTCTTGCGTAAGAAATATGAACCAAGCTCTCTTGCCTTTGACTTTTTACGTCAGGTCGAACCTCTTTATGGTCAACTAGCATTGTCCGCGGCTCTGCCCGCGTTCAGATGACCAGAAACCAAATTCTTAGGTTTTACATATTAGTACTCTTACATTGCAGTTTTTATATTTTTTCTCAGAAATGAGTTATTTTCCCGCGGTAAAAAGTATCCTATATGTTGACCCAGATAACCAGCTATCACCATACCAAATTTAATCAGAATCTCTCCAGTGGTTTTTCTGTGATGCGGTAACAGACAGACAGACAGATAGACAGGCAGACAGACAAAAATTCTAAAAACTATAGATTCGGACTCTGTATCGATAATATTGTTTATTTCAATAAGATTTTCCAAAAAAAGTTTAATGTACAGATTCGCCTTAGTTACAATTTTATTATATGTACAGATTTAGAAGAATAGATCAATTGCATTCTGAGTTAGTTCGTCAAGCGGATTAATGAGCAGGAATGAGTATAATTAACAAAAAAATTTGGTAAACTAAATTTAGTTACTTGTAACTGAATTTAGGTGATATTAAATCAGAAAATATATTAATACTTAAAAAGAAGACAATCAAGTCTGCTATAATGAAAACATACTCAAATATACATAATGAAATAATAAAAAGATAGTACCTCCGATAATAGACGCTAGTGAACGCGAACATGGAGGCCCAGCAGGCGCGTACGGCGCGCAGCACCGCCTCGTCGCCCGCGCACCCCAGCACCGTGTCGTTCTGTCCCGCCGCCGATAGAACCTCACTATCCTCGCCCACCGCTACATTATTACAGAAAATACATACTAGTAATCCACAATAACTGAGTATATTTTTGGGTTAAACTGTTTGTATGTATGTATGTATGCATGTATGTATATATACTGATTCCTCTACCCTAAGGTTGCCTGGAAGAGATCGCTTCTAGCGATAAGGCCGCCTGCTGTGCATCTTTTTTTGTTATATTATTCACTTGTTTATTTATTTCTTGTGTGGTGTTATTATTAATAACATTACTAATATTATAAATGCGCAACCGAGGAACGTGATTTTGTATAGGTTTTTGCATGAAGTTTATAGTTCACAGAGAAACTCAGGCTATTTTCCTTAGGAGGACGCAAACTTGATAGCTTAGCGCTGATAAATGTGCTAGTATCCGACGGTTCGAATTAGAGACAAGATGAATTTTTATTGATCAAGATAAAATGTACTCATACGTATTTTAAAATGTTAGACTATAGTGGAAATCGCACCATTCTCTTTTTTGATCTTGCAAAGCACCGCAAGAATATATTATGTTAAATAGAATGAATTCTGTATTAGCATTAACAAGGACAGAAATTTTTCCCCATTTTCTTTATCAAATATTAAATAAATGTGAACCACAATTACCTGAAGATCTAACTGCGAATCGTATTTCTGAACTATAATTCTGTGCACTTGCAGTCTTTCTAAGATCATCAAGTTGACTCAGTATAGCATCTTTCACGCTTTTATCAATTTCAGTGGCAAGGAACAAATCAACTGCACTGAAAAATAGTGTTTCATAGTAATTTCAAATATTCTTTATAAAAACACTCTACAATAAACTTTTATCACCATTTAAAAAATGTGTACATACTTTTTGCATTTTTCCTTGAACTTGGCTTCGACATAATTTTCATTGGCAGCTTCAATTTCAGAAATAGCCTTCTTTAGATTATAATTAACTTCAATTTGCTTATTCAAAGCTTTGGTAGTTATACAAAATCCAGGAGGGACACGATATCCCTGAAACAATACAAATAAAATAATAATGATATAGCGATAATAGCGATGTATTGTAATGCAATTTGTACTAACAGTCGGTTTACTATTAGTGATATATATACGCGAAAATGTACATGTATTTATGTATGTCTGTTACTTCTTCACGCTAAAACGGTTTGATAAAATTTACATTTAGAGGAAATAACATATAGCCTGTTATTAGAAACTGTAATGATACATACTTAGTATTTTAATTTAAACTTTGTATTTTAAAATAAGCACCTGTTCCTTCTGTACAGACGCCAGTAAGGCCAATGAAGCGCCTTTTCCGCCAACATATTCAGTACACGCTGCGGCGGCCGCTTCGAATGGCACACAATAGCTAACATCACCCACTTCTTTCTTATTCAACCACTTTAGCGTTGGTTTAGGGATAAGAGGGATAGGTGATTCTAGTTTATCCTCTGAAATATATAAAATAATAAATAACATAGGTAAGCAAATATGAAAACTGTACAAAAACCAGATATATATCGATTTATTTTACTATTTAAAAGTCTATAGGTACTAATATTGTAACATCAAATAATTATAATTTGTCTACGTGAATGCACTAATCTCCAACGCCACCAGTCACTGCCTTTCTACACAATCATATAAAGTGACAACAACATCAGAGCTTATAATAAATTAAATGAGCAATTCTTGTATATTCATTTTATTTCGAGTATCTCGAAAACGGCTGTAACGATTTTGATCAAATTTTGTATTCAGATAAGGTTTTGCTTTTTAAGTTTATTAATAAATAAATAAATAAATAAAGAGACAATTTTTATATCTCTTGCGAAAAACGCCGAGTGAAGCTTGGTCGCCAAGGTACTGTTATATAATGTACACGATGTCATGTATTTTCTTGCTATACGTGCGTGCAGTTATGGTATGCATGAGTATATTTTGAATTCGGACAACGTCGTTTATATTTCTCGATTTGTTTGTATTTTTAAACGAGCTCTCGTTTAGTCATCGTTTAGTTAACTAGGTGAGTGTTATGATTATTTGCTGGTTCAAGTCCCAAATCAAACATAAACAACAAACAACTGGATTTTTATATACTGAAAATCTCAATAGCATGTCAAAGCTAGACATGTGGATGAGATACTTTGGTGTCGGATTGCAATGTCAAGGTTCCAGTGTCAGGGCAATCTGTACTGTGTAATATCAACTGCCCCCGCATCCTGCGTGGTATTATTAATACTATGCAGTACTCCTATATCTAAACAAAATAGTATCCAACCATAGTTACAACCATAACAAAAAAAATATATTGTCACCTAAATTTTCGTAGCCTAGTTCAAGAATACCCGTGCCATGTTCACTGTCGATGGTGACATTGAACGTGTGGTACAGTTGTTCCTCTCTATGCACTCCAGAATAAAATTTACCTCCATCTTTATTTAGTCGAATAATTACTTTAAGAGTTCGATCATGCGCTGGAAAAAAGATAATTTATGATCTGACAGCTCATGACTTCCTGCGAGATATTTTCAAAAATACACACACAAAAGATGAAAGACACACATTTCTTCTTCAAAAATTAATAATATGAGGCACATATAATAAAATTCCACTAACAGTCTTGATTTAAAGATAAAATTAAGTTGAATAGAAAACTCAGACCAATAAAAAAGTACTTTTTTGTTGGTCTGAGATAGAAAATGACTATATTCGTCAATTCTTGAATGTTTTCAAAGATGATAGTCGAAAAAAAATGTTTAATTCAAACCAAAAGTTTAAATTAATTATTTATTTTAAAAATCAGGGGGCCACCTCGAATTGTTGAGTCATGAACAAATTAGCCATTCATGTGTTGAGTATTTCTTTATTTCAATACCTTTGTTTTTTTTATAAGCTACAAATGCTACCCCCAAGGTAAGAAAAAAAAACATATTTTTTTTCGCTCCACCCTAATATATATATTACTGAGTGATGCATAGTACAAGAATTTGTTATTGATGAAAATGTGTGGAATTAACATACGATCACATTGACTTGTGACGATTACATTGATAATGCGGGATAGCTATCATGTTATATTAAATACGGCTGCAGTTTAGAATATGGGACATTACCCCTGGCGGAGTGGGTGGTATTTCTGGATAGGGGACGTGATAGGGCGTCGAAAAGTTAAATAAAAATTTTTCCGAAAACGTACGAGTAAAAAGTTATTGAGACTTAAAGTTACAACATCTCCATACATTATTTTGACATTACTACCATTTAGACACTTGGAGTGAAAACGTCACTTTCAATTGTCAAAATGATCTCCAGATGATTGTCTTTATTTGTACTTGCTTGAAATTCGAATTTTCTAGTTTTCTAGTCATTTATGGCACTCGCCGGCCGCTACCGCGGCACGCTCGCTTCGCTCGCTCGGCTCGTGCGTTGTGGCAACTGTTCTAACCTTTTTTTTTTTTTTTTTTAACGTTGGGAAATGCATTTACGCACGAGGTGTGGGACTCACCGGCAAGGCCAGTACTACCCACTAAAACCCAACAAAACCTTCTCCCGTCTTAAAGGGGCGTCGCAGGATCGCTTACGCATTCAACTACGACGCCCCGACGGCAGGTCTGCCGAAGCAGACCACAACAACCACGGGGTTGCTCCACAGTCCACTCTGCTATCAGAGAAGTACCAGGAGCAACCCACATGATACACTGCCCTCCGAAGAGGGCCACCTCCCACCGCCCACCGGAGTGGGCCACCTCCCTGTGCGTTTCTTGGCTTCGCGCCCGGTTGGGTTGCCGGGCACTACTGAGCCCCCCCACCACGACAAGGTGAACGCACGTTGGGGGGGGGAACTGTTCTAACCTAACCTAACCCAGATATGAGGAATAATAAATAAATAATCTTAAATGTTCTAACCTAACCTAACCCAGATATGAGGAATAATAAATAAATAATCTTAAATGTTCTAACCTAACCTAACCCAGATATGACGAATAATAAATATATAATCTTAAATGTTCTAACCTAACCTAACCCAGATATGACGAATAATAAATAAATAATTAAAAATATTCACAGATAAAAAATGTTTTTTTTTACTAAATGTACAATTGTAAAACAATATATTTTACATAAATCAGATAAAAAAATCATAAATGTATTTATGAAACGAAAATAATATTTTTCTTTTTATTTATTTGTTTATTAATATTACCAACAGAAAAAGCAAAAATAATCAAATATAATCTGTTATCATTTAAGCGGTAATATAAAACAAAGTGTCAGTTTTGCTTTTGTCAAAATGTAAGATCATTTTGTTTGTGTTGTGAAATTATTAAAATATTAAATACAATAAAGCATTAATTGTTGTGAAAATATGTCTTGTACATAAAAAAGGATGCGTACTATTCGTTAAAGGTATGTTTATCTGTTGTAATCACTTATTTAGATAAAGAAATGTATGGAAATGTGTTAGATATGTTATAACTTTAAGTCTCAATAACTTTTTACTCGTACGTTTCCTCCAAATATTTTTAATATATTTTGACTCTCTGTCACCTCCCCTATCTAAAAATACCACCCACTCCGAATGGTGGAAAAGAAATATATGAAAATGTATGGAAATGTTGTAACTTTAAGTCTCAATAACTTTTTACTCGTACGTTTTCGGAAAATTTTTTATTTAACTTTTCGACGCCCTATCACGTCCCCTATCCAGAAATACCACCCACTCCGCCAGGGGTAATGTCCCATATTCTAAACTTGTGCCTTAAATACTGTAACTTAGTTTCTAAAAAAGAGCAACTGTTAAGTTTCTCGCCGGCTCTTCTCAGCAGACCTGCCTTCCGAGCCAGTAGTAGCTTTAAGACGGACCGAGTCCACTGCCTATTATTAAATTTAACGGGTTTAACTGAATAAAGTTCATTTTCAAAATTAACTTTATTCACTTAATTTATTAACTAATTAAATTTTATTTCATTACATAAATTAACACAGTTCGTCGTTTGGGAATGGAACATATTACATACGACGAGACAATAAATTAAAAATTATAACTTAAATATTTCTTACCGCTCACATTTATAGTATAAGTATTTGGTAGGCCGTTCTTATTTTCACAAAAATCAGACATAATAATATCTGTAGAAGTAATACTTTTGACCATAAAATTCGGCAATCTGATACTGCCTGAAATACACCTACGGGAAAAACACAGTATCATTAAATGTATTATTATCATATGTTTTCAAGTTAACCGAATACTTATTTCTCTCTCTCTTCTCTTCTTCTCTCTCTCTCTCTCTCTCTTTCATTAATTTAATAAAAGAAAACTCAGAAGAAGAAAATATTTTAAGAACAATTTGTTACCTAAGAAGAACAAAATCTTTTCAGGACAATTAAGCTGCGTACGTCAAAAGACGGCAAGAATTTAAGTTAAAGCTGTACTTACTGGGTAAAGTTTTTATGATACGATAACCCTCGAATTTGAACGGCAGTCCCATCTTTAGTTGCCGCAGTTAATGTGAATGATCGTCTTATGTTGTTAGAACTCAACCCATAACTTCGTTCTCTTACGCCTCTTACACGCAAATACTCGCTCACTTCAGTAACCCCATTTGGATCAAAAGTTTGAAATCGCCCTTGAATTGCGCCCCATTGCATCCAACTTCCGGATCCTTTATCACATGAGTGTCTATAATATTAAAAATAATTTTAAAAGCGTTTTCAAGAACAAAATTATCTGAAAAAGTCATTTAATTTAAAATTGTTACCTTAAAACAAAAGTTATATGCTCATTATCATTTCTCATGCTCAAACTTACTTATATATACAGTTTATTCAACAATAAAATTAAAGGTTTTTTTTTCAATGCAATACGACATATTTATTGCCTTCATTTTGAATATTAGGCGTGCAGTATGGCAGTTAATACTTACTTATTATAATACCATTTCAAATGTACTACTACATACTTTCTGAGTGCTTATCTCATTCTTTTTATTTAAAAAACGAACGTGTCGAGTCACTTGAAAGTACGTTTTTTTGAATCTAATAAATTAAATGTTTATGACAAATCCTTACAGTAAAGAAGGCCAATCTCCATCTCGCCAGGGTTCCAAGGAAAGAGTTTCCGCGGCTAAATGCTCGCTCCAATCTTCGGGGTATCTTACTACACTCGTTGCAGATGCCCAACTGGAATGAAAGTCATATTTAAATATGGTGCCCGCTGAAATATGGAGTAACCATATACAATACCATTATAAAATTAGTAAACCTATACAACTATAGTTAGTAATGTTTTCGTATTTTCTTTCCAATGAAATCTTTTTTACATCTATCAATACTAAATGACATAATATCTGTAGGACATTCATCTATAAAAATATTCTCAGCATGCTTTTATAACAAACTAGCGAGCCTCGCTTCGCTCAGGTTCGTCCCTAGGTACGATTTGACGTTTAGTGTGGAATAGATTTTTGTTTCAATTTTTTTTCCTGAATTTTCCCGATGTTTTAATAACTATTCTGCTATTCGGGGTAAAAATAAATACAACGAAACAAAGATCATAAAAATCGGTCAAGCCGTTCTCGAGTTATAAGTGTTGTAACAAACCCGACTTTGTTTTATGTATTTATATAGATTATAAGACCATGATGTATCTCTATTGAATTTAATTAGATCTATTTTATCTAATAACTAGTAATTTTTTAGAATATGTTTAATATTCATATTATAGTAGTCTATCCTTTAACAGCACACTACCTATTAATTAGGTACCTACGTAACATTATTGTATATATTATTGTATAGACTACCTATTAGTAGAAGGCACTTAAAAAGAATAATATTAATTACGTATGTTGTACTAGGTTTCAATAAAAATGTATGAAAAATCATGATTATGAAGTAAATAGGTAAGTAGGTACTAACAGTAAATTAAACTTAGCATGCTGTGTTTTTTTATCTTCAGTTCCAGTAAGGAGTCCATTGAATACAATTCTCAATCTTTGTTGCTCTTCTAAAACTTGTATTTTAAGACCGCCAGCACTCCATCCTCCTTCGATATCAATCCATTCACTGACTGCCGTCTCTGGGTGCTCTAAGCATGCAAAATATTAAAATAGAAATATAACTTTACAACTATCAAAAAATAACAACTTAATTTTGTTAAGTATACTTATAATAATTATACAAGTAAACTATAAGTAAACAATAATAAAATTATCTGAGCAGATTGTTGATCTAGTATCTTCCCTCCACGACCGCGGACACGCCGGCGTTACAGTTAACAATAGATTTCTTAAAAATTTAATTAATTTCTTAGAAATTTACCTGGAGGTGTTAATGCTAAAATTCATAACTAAGTAAATTTAAAAAGTCAAAATAAAGTAGGTACTTACGCACTAACTTATAACTTCTTCCATCTGGTAGCTTAAGAAACACAGTAACTTCCGCAATAGATTTTGTATCAACGCTTATCTTTTTAATGCCCAGCAGAAGTGCTGAGCCGTCTGGACTTGTCGCTCGAAACGCAATACTATCCCATTCAGATGACTCAAGTCTTGGAGTTTCGTGCAACTGTTGGGGAATTAGCTGTGACTTCCATCGTTTTACAGCGTATCGTGCCAATATTAGCTTTAATGTGTAATTCCATCCTGAAAAATATAATTAATATCCACTTAGAACTTTACAAGCAATAAAGCTTAAAGTTTAAAGTAATCGACCGTTTAAACTTTATTATGCGGTGTGGGATCTTATTCTACCACAAAAAAGAATGGGGAGCAGAAGACCAAATCAAATTTTCAAATCATACCTTTAAATGAAATTAATAATATAATCACCATTTTTATTAAAATTTAGGAAAGAGTGTTTATTTAGGAAATCTTTAAGATAATATTTTAAGGAAACCAAATCACATCTCGTACCTAACTACCGTACCGTACTTTCTACTCATTGGAGAAGTATGTTTTATAATATTTTATATAGCATTATCATATAAATAACTTTTAATAATTCTAGTTCTAGTTGTAAAATTATTAAGACTAAATTAAAAATCATTAGAATAGAAGTAAAATATTCTACCTTCTAAGGCCGATTTTTTTAATTTTCCTTCGAATGTCCTAGTCTCTAATCTATCTCTCAAGTCTAATCTGCACGAAGACATATCGTCGTTGATACTGCAATACCGCGGAACCAACAGTGGTCAATACCGCGGAACTACAAAAATATCAAAAATGAGATTTCGCGCGTATAAGCTCTTGATAGTGGTTGGCTTCGCCCCGTGTCGTCAGATGAGCGCGTTATCCACTCAAAACGCTAGAAACGACACTAGCCAAAACCGCGAGAGCAGTTCTCACACGAGAGTGTAACTTTAATACCGCGTACCTGCGCCACATGTTATAGAACGCATGGTCGTTTTGTTTGCGGTTCGTAAATATGAATGTTATTTTGAAGAAATATTGGACTTGCGGGTAAGTAAATATTAATTTTATGTTGATGAATAAGTTAGTTATTCACTGAAAGTACTGGTATTTTCAAGATTATAATATTATTTAACTTTATTGATGACTTGGATTCGTTTCCGGAACAAAATTTAGAGGGAGATGCAGCAAAAGCACCGTGAAACTTGGAGAAGAGAATTAAACAAGAAAAATAGGATGTTAGGAAAAGTATATATTGAGTTTAGAAAAGTTAATAATAAGTATGTTCAAAAACAATCAAAACCTCAGAGGGCTATGGGCCCTAAGTGCAGTTCGTCATTTTGTGCTCGTAGTAAAGTTCTATTTTGTTCCAATTTGACTGAGGACATTCAACAACAGATTTTTGAACGTTTCTGGAGCATGGCGTGGAAAGAGAATAAAATGTATGTACGGTCGATGGTTGACATAGAAAGTGTAAAAAGGAAGACGATAGGAAGTAAATCTAGACGGTCGGAAACAAGATTATATTACCTGCAAATACACGGTAAGAAGGAAAGAGTTTGCTTGAAAACATTTCTGGTGACACTAGCTATAAAGGAGTGGACTGTTCGCCACTGGCTATGTGGAAGAGCAGATGATAATTCTGTTCACACAAATTTGTCTCCAAGTTCGCCTACTTCTAAACGAAATTCTGTAATAAGTTACCCGAGCTTATTGCCCAAATTGCCGTCACATTATTGCCGCCAAACAAGCACAAAACAATACGTGGAACCTATAATACAATCCAAGTCACAGTTGTATAACTTATATGTCAAATATGCCTCGTCAGCATGTAATCTAGTAGCTTCGAGAAAGCTCTTTTTTGACATATTTGTGGAGCAAAATATCGCCTTGTTTCTAGCTGAAAAAGATGCTTGTGACTATTGCTGTTCATACAAGGCAGGTAACTTTCGGGAGGAAGATTACCACCGCCACATCCAGCTGAAAAACTTAGTTCGATCCGAAAAGACAAAGGACAAAGAACTTGCAAAACTTGGGCAATATCATACCATAACTGCTGATTTGCAAGCTGTAAAACTATGTCCTTCTCTATCGGCTAGTGCATTATATTTTAAGACCAAGTTAGCGGTACATAGCTTCACTGTTTATAATCTAGGTACATTATGACGTTACGTGTTATTGGTTCAATGAAACAACCTGTGATCTAAAAGCTACAACCTATGCTTCGTTTTTCGTAGATTATCTGACAAACTTGTTAAATGAAAATCTTAAAGATGTAGTTATATGGACTGACGGATGCACTGCTCAAAACAGATACACTGTTGTTTCTAACGCTCTTCTTAGACTAGAAATGGACAAAAATGTTACAATTACACAAAAATACCGCGAAAAAGGACTCACGCAAATGGAGGTAGATTCGGTCCATTCACTTATTGAAAGAAAACTCAAAAATATTGAAATTTTCTTGCCATCACAGTATGCTTCTTTGACTAAAGAGACCAGAAAAAAAACCTTTTCCTTATAAAGTTATACAACCAGATCATAGCTTTTTCAAAGACTACAGCGTCAAAGAGTGCCAAATTTATGACTTTATAAGGCATATCCTATTATAATTGATGTTACTAGATTTTGATATAGTTTAATTTTTGTTTCTGGAGTTTAATAATTTAAGTTTTTAATTTTGTTTCTACAGTTTATTTGTATGTTTTTTATTACGTGGCTGTGATCATTATTGGTCCAAAAGGTACTTGTTCTACTTCTAAAGTTAGTAAAAATGTAGTTCATAACGATTGACATTTGAGACTGAGGTATCTGAGATATAATAATTATTAAGTAAACTTAAGTAATAAATGATCCTTATAATACATAACTTTTATTTTTATGCTTTTTGTAATTACGCGTAACTACTAAAAATGCTCAACTGCGACTCATTTTTGAACATGCAATAGCGAGAAAGTGTATTTTTTAATCGAATAGTGAATTTAACAACTTAAGAACCCTAATAGAAAATAAAATACATAAATTTAAATACATTTTACAGCTCAGTCGGCCAAAGATGCAGTAATAATGAAAATATTAAGTTTTTTCTCTCTCCTGTAAAATTTATCACTACCAAGTTACGCGGTTTTAGCCACTGTTGGTTACGCGATATTGCAGTATCAACGACGATATTACACTTTCACCTCGTTTTAAACATGGCATACAAATATATGTATATATGTAAATAATATCTTCTTTTTAAGTTATTGCAAAAATTGTAGAGCATGAAAACAAATTTAATCATAGCAATCCCTAGTTCCTGAGATAGAAATACCACATTTTTATATTATTTAAATACTAATACTACTAATCGCCGATTTCAACTACGGTATGTGATTTCGACAGAATTGAAAAAACGTGTCTAAGACGTGAAATTTAAAAATCGACGAGACTGCTAAAGAAGCGTCTAAAAAAGTAAACATTAGAGATAGTTTAACATACCTATCGCTTGACCTCTTGTACAGCCAAACGCTTGATTATAAAAATATTATAATACATTATCAATTATTAAATAGAACTAAATGTATATATAATGATTATTTTATAATAATTAGATATTTACCAATTAGTCTAATCAGATTCGCTTTGAAAATGAAATTTAAAAAAAGTTTTACTTTTGTTCTAATTCTAAGCAAATGGTTTAATATTTTAAAGAAGGGTTAAAAGTAAAAGGTATTGATTAAAAATAAAAGTTGATTTTCAAGAACTGAAATAAAGTCCACTCTTGTTACTATACTTTTTATACATCTTGGAATTAAAGTAATTTTGAGTAAATAGGCTATTTTTTTTCTAATGTTATTTATTTCTAAATTAATAATAATTATTATTTTGAAGACAGAAGCCAGACAAAGTACCTATTTGGATATAAAATTGGAGAGCATAAATCTTAATCATATAGATTTATGGCTTAAAATCGATGAATGGATTTTTTGAATTACCTAAAAATCTGTTAGTCAAGATGAAAATTCTTTTAAAATGAAAAAAATTAAAGAAATTTTCTACTTAACCAAAATTACAACAAAACAAATTGTCATAAATCTAGTTTTTTCGCTTTTTTTGTAAATTAAAATTCAAACTTCAAGGTCTTAATTTTTTGTGGTTCAACATTGTTAAAATTCACATTATTTAAACATATTTATAATACATATAAAATAATTGTAGAGGTAAACGATATCCAGGTACTTTTGCCTAAAAATCTTACTAATCTTTCTAACATTATACCTAAATGTAAAAGTTTAGATGTTTGGATGTTTGAATGGATGTTTGTTACTCAATCACTCCAGAAAAGCTGAACGCCAAACGGATCTGGATGTAATTTGGGACAGGGATAGATTATAGTCTGGAATACCACAAAGGGTACTTTTTATCCCGGAAAAATGTACGGCTTTCGCGAGATAGATTTGTTTTTGTTGCATAAGCTAGTATAATATACTTCCAAAAAATGATTATTTACTCCACAAAAATAGTTTTATTTAAAATGTCATATAAATTTTCGCGTAAATCTAAGAATTAAAAGTAGGTATTACTCGTATAATTACATAGACATACTTATCTATCAAATGTTAAAATTGTAAACGATTAGTTTGATTTCTATAAAAGGGATTAATAACATTGTATTATTATCAAAATATATCAACAATAATAAATTGTTGTTATCTATAATTAGTTATATACACCTTCTGACCTGCCTTATACCTAATACCTACCTTCTTACATAAATTTAAAGAATCTGTTTACAAACGTATCTCTCTAAATCGAACTTTAATATAACATTTAGGATTTAAAACTATATAAAAAACAAGCTTGATTTTATTTGTCCGAAAAGCTATATTCTGTTAAATCACTTTGACCATTATTCCCGCAATTCACCTACTATTTATATTATAATATAATGAGTAATGTAATCCGACGTTGGTTTATTTACTAATTTTTTTATCGTAATGATATACCTATTTATTACGAAATCAGGATTTCCAAGATAACACGAAAATCACTCACCCGGATCTCGATAAAACCCTCTCCGTTTAGGTGATTTTTTTATAAATATCAAGTAAAATATTACAGCTGCGGTGAATAAGCCGACTTGTAGTAGCACATCTGTGAAATCCATGCGAGATTTTAATGATGTTCCACGTTATGGAAACGTTTGGCCTACACTGAAGGTCTCCGACGGCTCTACAATTAATTCAATGAACGTGCTCTACACAACTACTCAGAGACGACGTATGATTTACAATATTTGACCGACACGCGATCGCTAATCACTTTTTATACAAAGACAAATAAATGGCTCAATATGATAAACTCAATAAGCTACTAAGATATAGATATTATCTTGTTGTTAAGTGTTTGTAATTTTATACTTACACTTATTGATTTGAAATAAAAACTTTGAATGAAAACAAACCATTCTTATAGGTAGGTGTTACTTTAAAGGTTCGATACATTCGATAAATCGAAATTCTTTTAGAATGACTCACGTGAATGTCTGTTTGTTACAGGATATTTTTATGAATTTCTAGGATCGAAAACGTTGATGGAACCTACTTGTAGTCCAATAAATTAATATAATATTTAAATCCAAATCATATTTAAATTAAAAACTTACTTACAACATATATGAAAACTACCATTCACTATCCTGCAGGTGTTTTTTTAGTTCGTTATAAACGTTTCTCGAATACTAAATGATTAAATAATAATAATAATGTTAAATACTTCAGCTCCATGCAGTAATTTTCGCAGTCACAAAAAAAACATATACATCTTTTTTGATATAAAAAGTAGGTATTTACTTAATATTGTCATGGTGATGTTCTCCTGACCGATTCCGGCCACGGCGGCCAATCTCATTGAGAATAACCAACTGCGCAGGAGATATTATAGTGCACAAGTGTACGCGCAGACACAAGTGCACTCTCTATTCCTGTCACTCTCATACTCTGGTGGGACGACTACTCGACACGACCAGTGAGAGTTAAGGCGCAGAACCGACGGCTTTACGTGCTCTCCGAGGCACGGGGGTGGGACACCGCCAACTTCCCAACTCCGGGCTGTTATTGAGGCTTACTATGATGATGTTCTCCTAGCCGATTCCGGCCACTGCGGCCAATCTCAATGAGATTAGCCAACTGCGCAGGAGATATTATAGTGCACAAGTGTACGCGCAGACACAAGTGCACTCTCTATTCCTATCACTCTCATACTCCGGTAGGACGACCACTCGACACGACCGGTGAGTTAAGGCGCAGGACCGACGGCTTTACGTGCTCTCCGAGGCACGGGGGTGAAACACCGCCAACTTCCCAACTCCGGGCTGTTACTTAGACTTACTATACAGAAAGACTCAATACCTAAACTTGGCCCGTCCCGGGACTCGAACCCAGGACCTCCAGGAGTGCAGCCGTACATGCTAGCCACTACAGCCACTACATGGTAATTAAGTAATAACAATAAACATATAATAAATGACGGAGTTCTGAGGTAACAAACATAAAAAAAAAACAGTCGAATTGAGAACCTCCTCCCTTTTGAATTCGGTTGAAAAAGTATATATTTCTAGCCGAAGGAAACCATTCAATCTTCGAGATAAAAAGCGCAATAAAGAATGACTAGTCTACTAATCATGAAAAATAAAAAAAATTGCAATTTTTTCAGATTTCTCATTCTTCCCACTGCCGGGAAATTCTTTTTATATTCCTTCATGCTTACATACAATTATTGCACAAAATGTTATCAAAATCCGTTTTGTAGTTTTTCGGTGAAGGCAAAACAAACATTTTTGAAAAGAAGTATCTGTTTCGTGGTCTACGTCGATAATAAACTTTTTTCAAAAACAATTTTCAAAATATACTACAAACACAACTTCTAAGTAAAGATTAATCAGAAAACCGTATTATAAGGAATAGGGAAACACAAGGACAGAACATAGGACATGCTTGTATGTATAGGGAAATCAATAAAAATATCATTTGTCCTATGTAAAAACCAACGCACTTTAAACCATAACGTGTTAGGTCTTTACCTCACAGCGATAAGATTAAAAAATAATAAAACCAATTCAAAATGAAAATATCTTTATATTAATTTGAGCATATTCCATTTGAAAAGGAATATAATACAAAAATTTCATGGTATATGACAATAATTTATTATTAATATTACAGCAAAAAGTCATTTTTTAGTCCCCAATATATATAATAAATAACAATATCAACCGTTTTTTCCAATTTCGTAAAACTAAAATAGTGTCATAAAAATATTCCATAAAGTACTTAAAATTAAAAATAAAATCAATAATATTATTTATAAATTAATTAATTAAATTAACTAGAAGTTGATGTAATAGTTTAAATGGTTATAATCACAAGAAAGCATATGGAATGTTTGCAATCTTTTAGCATTAACGATTCTACCACAACATGTAGGTATAACAAATACAAAGTCTTAAAAAACTGAATATATTTCTATATTATATATTACTGTTATATATCTTCATACACTGTAAATTTCGAACAAAAACAACAGTGAAATAAATTTTAGTATTTTATTGTGATGTTAAAAAATCAATAATATATTCCATAATAAACAAGTATTTACAGTAGAACTTCATTTTAGACACATATTATCTAATAAGAACAATTTATCTAAACAAATATAACAAACAACACCTGACATAAATAACAAGAAATGAATAATAAATAAACAAAAATGATCAGAAAATCCTAATAACGTAATAACATTTTAGCCTCAATTGATAAAAACGATAAGTCACACAAGTTTTCAATGTATGCCAAATTTCGTTGAATTTGCTGAAAATTCTTTCACTTACACATAGTGAATATTCTCCCTCTTACTTTGAACAAATCATTAATAGAACGCACCATATTAATGTCCTAAGTAAAAGCCTCAATTATTTAATACCTCTTTAAAACATGTTTCACAAAATATACCATAAGAACAAAAAATAGAAATAGGAATGTTCGGTTTTTAAATATCAAGAAACTATCAACTACTAATAAAACTAAAACCTATACACGTTAAACTATATTATCAATAGGAAATACGCGTGTTTTTTTTTAAATTTTACACATATATATCGTTATATATTTTTTTTTAAATATCCATCTCCAAAAGACTAAAATTTAGTATAAGCAATTTTTTTTAAAATATCATACCGTTACGGATACTTCAAACGCATGCCATTTCGCGCGCTCGGCGTGACGTCACAGTATTATATACACCAAGAAATGACGACTCAATTTGTAAGCGACCAAATCGCTAATCGCTCTGTTATGATACACTCTGACGTCATATTCGGTCTGACCAATGGCGTGCGTTTCAACTACTTTAAATTTCCACCTGTTTTTGCACTTGTTAATAATTATTTTCTTAATCAAAAAGAAACTAGATTAAAAATATTAATATAGTCTTAATTCAAAAGCAATAAATTTAATAAAAGAAATATTTCACCTTTATTTAAATCACACGCATATTCCCTATTATGTGTAGTTAAATAAACATATTGTAAATTCATTTACTAAGACATAAAAAAATATTATCAATTAATGTTTTAAAACAAATAACAATGTATGTACAATATACATACATCATAGGTATACTATATGAAATAATATGTGGGCGAGGAACTTACAATGAAAACCGATGACAAATCGGATATTGGGAACAAAACTAGCGCTGATATGCTATAAACAACTCAAACGACTCTATCTATCTGTGGAAATTTGACGTTACATTGTTGGATGGGTTATAAATTATATCATATTCCCACCGCTGGTATCAAATATTGGGATTCCATGGTCATACCAAGGTTAATGATAAGTTAACTGATGGTTCTAAAACATCTAAGAGGTCATTTTATCCTTCCTAATTTTATCACCTGTAGAGACATTCGAGAAAGCCAAAATCGTGACATAAGAGAGCAAAACTAAAGCAATCATGGTGTTATATAATTTTAAATACAGTGCCTTTTACATAATTAAGAAAAAAACCAATCTTACTGGGAACAAAATCTTGTAGAGAACAAAAGATATTATAATGCATAAGTATGCACGATGCTCTCTCCATTCATTTACTCTCAAACTGCAGTGGGACGGCAATTCATCACAATCGGGCAATAAAATAAAATAAAAATCAAATAATATTAATATATTAAAAACAATAGCATATAGCATGAGCAGATATGCAGTTCACTGGGCATAATCCATACTAATATTATAAATGTGAAAGTTTGTGAGGATGGATGAATGGATAGATATTTGTTACTGAATCACGCCAGAACAGCTGAACGGATCTGAATCAAATTTAACATGGAGATAGATTATAGTCTGAAATAGAACATAGGTTACTTTATATCCAGGAAAAATGTACGGTTCCCGTGGGATTGATTTGATTTTGTCCAGAGACGAACCCGAAGCAAAGCAAGGGTGAGTCGCTAGTAATGATATAATAGTACATATTTAGAAACGTACGAAACTATCTAATATCTATACTGTATCTAAATTATTTATAGGACAAGGGCACTGCAATAAAGAGAGAGAGAGAGAGAGAGAGAGAGATAGTTAGGAATTCAACACAAACAACGTGATAATTACTTAATTAGACAAATATTTAACGTTTACAACAACACAAAATACAATATTTTTATTTAGATACGGTATTGATCGAAGAAGGTCAATAAGAGCAGCGGCAGATAATGTTCCGAATATACATAATAAAAGCACACCAAATAGGAAACTATCATACGAAAACTTACGTAAATTGCTTGATAATTACTACATATGTATTTGTGTAACAAACTTGACGATAACAATTTAGGAAGCAATTACGGATTTTCATATATACATATATGTATATAAAAAAGTATTCAATCATTCAACATTACATTACGATAATAGAAATATTTTAAGGTCTAATTTTGTCAGTTCATTCATTCATTTAGTCAGTCAGTTGAATTCGTTAAAATCGTCCGCTTAGATTTCATTCAAACGATCAGTATAGTTCAGTCATTCAGTGTAATCTATAAGTACCTACTTTAGTCAAATGTCGTGTTGTTTAAACGGATAGCATGTTCAGCCGCAAATCAAAGGTCCCGTGTTTGAGTCCTAGGCCAAATATAGTTATTGAGGTTTCTATTAAGAGTTTGTCAGTGATATACTTCCTTGATGAGTGAAAACACGTCACTCCTGCGTATGGTCTCTCACATCGGATGTGGAATTATAGCCCCATGAAATATTACCCACTCACAAAACCGGACTATAAAATAGATAGAAATGGAGTGTAGGTCTGTACACGCACACTCGCCTGCATGGATGGCTACTATCAGTGAGACAGACCTTGACCGGACTCGGTCAGGACATTCATACTTTAGTCAAGTCGATAACAATCTGTCTGTAACAGTCAATAGTGGGCTAAAACAATACATTCTACAATAGCTATCGCTAATTATTGACCAAAAAATGTATGTAAGGCACATATCTAAATGTCATGTCAAGTTTTCATAATATGTCATTCCCATATATTTTTTCGTTTTCTATTAACGATATCGATTGTAGAAATTAAACTTGTCTAAGGTGAGTGTTAGTTTATTTACAAATTAATACAATATAATATTTAATAATTCAAAGCAAAATATGTATAAATAATAGTTTTCCTTAAATTCCAAGCGCCTCACATAGCACCAGCCTCGTTAAAAGGAGGTTCATGACTGAAGAATTTGTCGGATTTTCTAACATGTGTTTATTTTTAAATCTTCTTGTGGCATAAACCTAAAAAAAAATCTGTATGCAAATACTTTATCTTAAAACATATGTAAAAGCAAAATTCTGACAAATGCCCCCATTTTTAAAACAGTATTATGAACAGTCATGGACCCCATTAGCTAAAGTATAATAATATTTAATTGAATACTACTCGTTAATATAATCAGTCGTCCTTATTTTTGAGGGGCTCCATCTCATCCGGGTTCTCCTCCATACTTGACGCAGTATCAGTGCGAGATTTGTCTACGGGATATAGCCTGTAAAAAGTTAGAATAATAATATAAAATAAAACTATTTTACGGGATATTTTTCGTGTTATTTTTTTGAGTTTTTTTTTTGTATGAAATTTTGAATGCTTTCCAGCCAAGTCACAGTAGAGACCATAACCATGTCACACTCGGTACAGACAATGACGCGGTCAATGAGTAAATTTAGTTGAAACTTTCTATAGATACGAGTTTTACGATTTTAGTTTTTTACAGTAATGCTATGAAAAGCAAAATTATTTTTTTCCAAACTGACTGATACTTTCTGAAACTCTTCAGCTTTATATATTAGTTTAAATATAGTTTAAAAGTCCAAAAAGCCATGTTGAAACCCACATCAAATACTTTTCAGTCATTAATTTACTCATAAATAAAACAACTATGGAGGCTAGATGCAAGGAGAACTATCTCTATAATGATAAAGTGTTCATCCAAAAGCGTTCAATTAGGGTAGCAATTGAGTAAATTTCGAAGAAATCGCCAAAAGTATTATTAAAAGTTCACAAAAAAAAACATTATCTACGTTTATATAAGCACAGTTTTTTCGGTTATATTTACTAGCTTATTTTGCAAAGGTCTCCCATTTATGATGGTTCTCCTTATCTCCACTCTCCATAGTAAAAACAAATACAATTTTTAATATAACTATCTTTTCGGATTATTTCGCGGATTTATTTTGATTTTTGGTTCCTGACGTTTCAAATGCTTTACAGCCAACATGGTCACGGGAGAGATTAAGGTTATAGACGTCTCAAAGGCGTTATACACTTATTACAGACAGTGCCTACCCACAATTTAACAAAACGATTACTAAAACAAAACGTCTAAAACCTTAGTCTCCCTCGTAACCATGATTGCTGTAAAGCATTTGAAATGTCAGAAAACAAAAATCAAAATTAAGCCGCGAAATAATCCGAAAAGATAGATTTAAAATTTCAAATATCTGCGTTTCAAATCTGAGAAAATATTATTACAAACAAATGAAATTACCATCTCTGATACAAATAAACCAAGAAGACCAGATCGTCTCGGAAGCAGGCCACGCGGTGGGCGGTGGGCATGGTGATGACGAAGGCGAACACGTCGTCTATGAACGTGTTGAAGGCCTTGTACATGAAGGCGCGCCACGGCAGCGCCGCCACCGACCGCAGCCGGTAGTTCACGAACAGCTGCGGCAACATGAACAGGAAACCGAACGCGTACACGCCGTTCACGATACTGTTTAGCGCCCATGAGTACCAACTGCGGAATAAACCATGTTTATTGTTTACGTTCTTTATAGGTAACTTTGATTTCTTTTGGATGGAACCCTAATTCCTTTTCTAAAATAAAAGTACTCAGTACGCCTACTCAGTCGGAAGAGTAAGTTAAAGTCCCGTCAAAATCAGTCCAGCCGTTTTAGATATTATCCAGAACAAACAGACAAAAATTAAAAAAAAAAACTTACCGTGTATAATTTCATATGCATTAAGTAAAACACTGTTATTTTGAAATTACAAACAGACACTTCAATTTTATTTATCTGTATTGTAAATATTGTTTATATGTATTCGGCCCTTTTAACGTCCCACTGGGCATGGGCCTCTCTTTACTACAAGGAGGATCAGGCCATAGTCCACTTTAAGTCTTTCAAAAACTTGCTAGTTTCTCTCAGACTCGGTGGACAAGTGGTAATCATGTTGAAAATGTCGGAAATGATTCGCACATGAAAATATCAAGAAATACCAAGTGCGAGACCTGGGTTATATCATAATTATTTATTATTTGTATACACATTTGAAAATACAAACACACAAAATGTTTTTACATTCCATCATTGTAACTAAGTCCACCATATATAAAATAGAAAATGTTAATAATATCAATTTTTTTATATTTTTTTTATAAAAGAAAAATATAAAAAAGTATTATCCTAGTATATTCACTAGTTTTTCATATTGATATAATTTATAACCGATAATTCTAACTGACCGATGACAGCACAATCGCGGGGCTCCTGTTTTATATAACTAAAAAAGAAGACAAAAAAACGCAGCAGCATTTATATATTGCATATAGTGAAATAAAAAAGAAAATGTTACCTGGAGTCACTCGATTTTAATAAAACACTAGATATTCCTAATCTTGGCATTGAATTAAAAAACTATATTCACATATATATAATAATATATGTATGATCTATATAATATATATATATATATATATATATATATATATATATATATATATATATATATATATATGTATATTTTATTGCACTAAAGTCTAAATAATTTAAGCAAAAAAAAATGAGTGCGTGAAACCGTTACGCGCGGTTGAAGTGAAAATTCTTTAGCGCTGTGGCAGATGCCGCAAATAAAACAAATCAAACTAATCAATAATAAATGTTAATAATAAATATTAAATATACATATTATAATTTTTAAATTATCAACCGACTTCAAAAAGGAGGAGGTTCTCAATTCGACTGTATGTTTTTTTTATGTTTGTTACCTCAGAACTCCGTCATTTATTAACCGATTTGGACAATTTTTGTTTTGTTTGAAAGTGTATACTTCCAGATTGGTCCCATTTAAATTTCAAAAAAAAATACCACCCCTAAGGGTGGAAAAACAACTAATGATGAATTTAACCTACTTGTAATTGTCATATTAACTTGAAACTTTGCAAGTATTTCTATTTCCGTTGATAGTACAGTGGTTCGGTGTTGTTGACCTGATCTGATGGCAAGGCCAAAAGGTGGATAGGTGGAACTCTTCAACGGCTAATAGTAGATACTTTGAGTTAGGGCTTATTTTGTTTGATTTGACAAGCCTAACACGTTAGAATCCTTACTTTGCTACTACTGTCTACACTAAAAAGGGAAAAATAAAAACTTTTTAACAAAAAAATAAAAACCGACTTCAAACAAAAGCACTAAAAAGTAAAAAATAACTGATTGGTAGTTTTCATTTACTATACATACCTAATCAAATATTTTCGAAGTCGGTGTGCTTTGGCTAAGTAATTAAAGCCTACCTATTAAATAAATACCTAATCAAATATTTTCGAAATCGGTGCCAGCCCATACAAAGCAAAGCACACCGACTTCGAAAATATTTGATTAGGTATGTATAGTAAATGAAAACTACCAATCAGTTATTTTTTACTTTTTAGTGCTTTTGTTTGAAGTCGGTTTTTATTTTTTTGTTAAAAAGTTTTTATGATTATTATTAAAGTATAAATATGATATTTTTGAAGTTTCTTTTGGCACGTTTGGAAAAAATTATGAGAGAAAAAAATTTTACGATGCGCGCGCACAACTACAGTCAAAGAGCGAAATTATGAATTTAGCTGCTGTTTGTTGCCATGGTAACCATTGTTATTGTCTGACAAATGATATATTCTTTCCTTAAATGATATTCTATAAATATATTATTGTAATATTCCTAATATGACTTATTTAATTATTTTATTAATTTACAAACAGAGAGTTGTGACATACGGGACGAAATCCTTAGCTATTTTTGATCTGTTACGCCGAAGAAGTATAACTTCTTACGTGCGTACATAAGTACACACACACTTTTTTTTAATTATTAATGACGGAAAAAAATCGATGCAAACTCTCGACACCGTATAATAAAATCTAAAAATAAAAAGACAAACAACGGACCTCTTGTGCGGCTCGTACAGCAGCGAGTAGACGGCGCCGACCGCGCACAGCGGGTACAGCAGCAGCGCCAGGTAGTGCATGGCCTCGGCGTCCGCGCGCGCCGTGCAGCGCTCCGCCGCGCCGCCCGCGCGCGCGCGCGCCCGGCACCCGCGCCACGACACCTCCACGTGCAGCACCTTCGTCCCCTTCCATAGCTGTCGACCAATGTGTCACGGTTGATCTATTAAATTATTTACTAAACAATAAAAATCTACAAATATTTTCATCTGAAAATTGTTTCGGCCAAAAAAAATTACTAATGTGTTACTAATTGATAAAGGCAAAAACGTTTATTTTATCGATAATTTGAACACGGGCGGGGCCGCGGGTAATTTAGCAGTAATTCTAATAAAGTCATCATAGAGAGTATGTCTGTAAATTCAATTTTATTGAATTAAAACTATGTATTTTAGAAACACATGGCGACACCTATTGCCGAATATCTGAATGACACATAAATAAATATATTTAGAGTTATTTTTTTAATGAATTAAATAACGCTGTTGATATTTTTTTCAAGATCACTCAGGGGCGGATCTATATACAGGCTCCCTGTTGAATACCATGGATAATATTGTGCATTTATAAAATAAAAAAATATCTAAAATAAAATAATTAAGGCCGTAAAAATCATAACAACACTGAGATCAGTTAAAAACCAAACAATTATGTTATCTAAATTTCATCTAGCAATATCTATCATTATAGATTCTAAAAAGACAAAATGACAATTAGTTTAGAAGTAGTTAGTCTAGGGCCCCCCAATACAAGGTCCACCCATAATCACACTTCTCCAGCTTCCTACTAATATTATATATGCCAAGCTTTGTGATGGATGATGTTTTCGATGTGTTTGTTACTTGTTCAGGCAAAAAAACAGATTTACTTCTTACTTTACAGACTAAGAACAGATTTTGACTTTACAGTAATAGAACCTATACCATATATATATCAGAGTAACACATAAGCTAGAATTTATAATGATGTAGTAGCAGTAATACATAATTGAACTACGCGGGCGGAACCGCTGGATAACGGTAATATATAATAAATAACGTTAGACACGCTCATCAGACTACTATACTAAATGCGATTATATTATTTAATTATATAATATAATTCCTATAATATAATTATTATATAATTCTAATTTAATTTTATGGTTATACTTTCATAGGTAGATTCGAAGGTAATTGATGTAGGCAATGCTTTCCGGAACTCGAACTTTTCCGGGGAATCTGGAACTCGAACCCAGGTCCTCTCATTCTGCAGCCATACATGATACATGCTAACCACTAGATCTACGAGAGAGCTATTTTTTTTATTATATTACCTCTATACCAGCGCTAATTCCAGCCGGAACCAACACCAGAAGCGACGTCTGCTGATCCATCAGATAGAAGAAGATAACGAATTGAGAGAACGCTCGCCAAAGCACTGTGCGAGTCGACAGGCCTGCGAGAGACTTCTTACCGCGCCAGAAAGACACGTCATTCTTGAACGCCAGGAAGTCAAAAAGCAACTGAAAAAATACCATAAAATTAGTGTCCAACCCAACTTAAGGCTTCTGCAATTTTAGAATTACGATTTTATATATTCAGTTGCTTAGCTTACGAAGTACCAACAGAAACGATGACCCATATTTCGTTCATAGTTTTCTTACTTACTAATTACATTAATAACCAATTTTATTATTAGCAAATTTTATTCATAGGGGATAGAACCTTTGTGGTATTATGAAGCATCACCAGTTCTAATTTTGTTCCATTATGTATTGCATAATGAACATTGTGTAATGTGTATACAGAAAAACAAGAATATGATTTGCAACAAAATGAAAGGACGTAAAAAATAGCATAATTACTTGAATTATAGTACATTTTATTTATTTTTTTATTTTATTTGGGAAACAAACAGTACAAATTGATACAAATTAAAAAACAGAACATAAAATATAAATCATTGACCAATAAAGTTTCCACAATTAAATAGTACATAGAATAATGCAAGCAAATTAATTACAATTAAAAAAATTTAACACTAAATAAAATAATAATCATATGAATAGAAATAATTAATGTTTTAGTAATAATTACATAATTATAGTTAATAGAGAGTCGCAAATATAATTTAATACAAATAAAAATAATTTAAACTAGGTCATTTTCTTAATTTGTTGAGTTAACTTCTGTAACGAACCCGTAAAGTAATCAATTGAACAGTATTCTTTGTTATATAATAAACATTTTTATATAAACCATGAGGTAAATAAAGAAAACATGTTGACAGTGCTAGTGAAATTAATATATCTAAATGTAAATTAAATACTAATACATAGGGAGTGGCTAAAGGATAACACAGCGACTATTCTTGGTCTATTGTAATCAAAAATACAAACATATAGGTACTTACATGAAAACTAGCAATAAGAACAGTTGCGGATAGTAAATAGAGGTTGGTATCTGCAAAAATTCCTTTTACATCATCCACATCTTTATCGCTAAATCCCAGGCCATGCAATTGTTGCAATGCTAGTCGCACATGTAATGCCAGTCGCAATGATCCATATGATGCTGGCGACACTTCCACAGTAACATTCACTTCAGATGTGCTACTGTTCAATAATTGCAAATCAGATATGCGTGATTTCAAAACATTATGCTGAATGATTGGAAGAAATTTTTCATTACGGATTCTGTAAAAAAAATTATGCAGATGGAGATTCCATATATATATGTTACTTAAATTGTACCTACCTGATTAAAAATTAAGTAATAACAACACTTAACTTTGTTACAACATAATTTAACTATAGTGAAGTAGAACACAAAGACTGAAGAAATTTTCAGTGTACATTATTATTTAAAATCTAATAGTGATCATGAATATTACCTCATGTAATGATAAAGCTCATCAGGAATTTTCTTAATAGGTAGGTTCAAGTTATCAGTTAAAATAGACAATGGTGCTTTAGTAAATATATGTGCATATGGTCTTAAATGTTTTTCTTGTTGTACACTATCTTCATTATTCTGAAAATAAAAATAAATTAACACTTGTTAGTTCAATCAAGATGCTATAGCTACTTCAATATTCTATTCTATATATCTAATATACTTATAATCTATACTAATATACTAAGATTATAAAGAAACAGCCTGTTTTTTATTTGTTTGTTTAAATGCACTAATCTCAGGAACTACTAATTTGATTTAAAAAATTCTTTTTGCATTAGATACTTGGTTTATTAAGGAAGGCTCTATGCTATACATATTTATGCTACTACCATGGGAGTAGAGCAATAATTATAAATAAAATAAAAATTTATAAAAATAAATATCATCAAATCAGGCAGACTTCCATACATAATTGTAAAACTGATGTTTATAATATGTTTAAGTGCTTCATGCCCAGAATATATAAAATATTGTCTATCTATTTCATACTAATGTTTAAAACATACCTGCTAGTATGTTATAAAAAACTAAATTCTAATTGATTTTATATTTTTTTCTTATTGAAATATTATGATTTTATATTTTTAATGAAATATTTATAATAACTAAAGATGTTTTGCTTTTACATACATTTATCTCTGATTCTTAAATGTATTAATCACAAATGTATTAATGTATCTTTTGTTAGTTATCCTAACAAAAAATTAAAAAACACTTTGATTAATAAAATTGCTGATTGCCTTACAGTTAATAAAATTGCTAATTGCCTTACAGTTTGTAATAATTAATTTCAATTTATAATTTGACAAAACTATTAAGTATATTTAACGAAATGTATATACATACATGAGATTGTAGAAGGTTAAAAGTTGCAGCTTGAGGTTCAATATGAGTCACTAAAGGTAAAGTATGTACAGATTCTGTACTGAATATGTCAATAAAGTTATCATAGAGCCTGTTTTCATCGAGTAAAACTGCATGCATGAATAAGGTTCCATTATTACGAGTCTTTCTGGGTATTTTTAATGTCACAACTCTGTAAAAAAAGAAATGTATTATACATGTTTACCATACCAAACTGTTAAATAATATTAATTTATATAGTACACTGAATTGTAATACTTACAAAGTAGCTGAATTCCTGTAATCAAATTTTAAAAAAGTATGTACTTTATTTACGGAACCTTCGTACATTCCATTGCGGTAAGGATGTTCTTTAACAGAAGTGTATAAAACAAGGTGCTGTACGGGATTTGATGCTAAATAATTTGAAAAACATCGTTCGCCACGACTGCATTCTGGCGGTATAAAAATTTCAGCTAAAGTCCAGATAGTGTTAATAATATAACCAGCAAAAATTAACGATAATATTAAACTAAAAGAAATGTATTTCATATTTATATATATTTTTATGGAATAATAGTCAAAATATCGATTGAAACAATTGTACGATAATAATTTTACGCTATAGACATTAGAATTTAGACATTCTGACATTGACGTCTAACGCGGGGTCTGTGACAAATTTTTTAAGTACCTATTTGACATTTGACAATAATGAATGAATGCGTTCCAACCTCGAAGGTTTGAACCTCCATAAACAAGAAAAGATGATACTACTACGTTTGAATAATAATTTCATGTATAATAGCTTATTTGTTACGAATTATCATAAATAATTTTTGGATATACTATTTAACATTTACGTTTGGATTTTAATGTTATTACAAAAAACATATTTATAAAGAAATAGTTGCCTGTATTTTTTTTTATATAGACAACACTAAACTTCAGGAAGTCGACGGCGTAGGAACGTATTAAATCAGTGTCTCCAAGGAAATAATATTGATGTTTTATGTTTATTAGAATATATTGTGGGTGAGTTCATTATACTCGATATCTAAAAGCTGTTTCTACGTAATTTTTCATTTTTAATAATGTATAGCATATGTGGCACAGTGTTTTGACAGTTGTCATCTATGATGTTTGATATTTTGTTTATATTTCAGAATGGGCGATGTATTCAATTCTTGGAGATTCACTAGTCACGAAAAATATAATAAAACATAGAAAATGTTACGAAAACTGCTTATAACTTATTCTAAACGAGGTAGTCATGGATCCTAAAGAATTGAGAAATCCGTCGCTGAATGTAAACGTTAGTGATGACAGCACAAAATATGTCCACAGCAGTTCAACACTACCACAAAACAAAAACAAATCATATAGCGATATTGGATCTAGTTCTATGGGAAAAGTGGATGCGACAACTGCACGGCCGTGCGCTATTATCGGTCCAGACCGAGTGCTGCCGCATGCACCTGCCCAGAATTTACACTTGAAAAAAGCACCTACAGAGCCTTGGGCTTATCCAGAAAATGTCTATCGTCAACCACCGGATTACCCAATTAAAGTATCAGAGTATCAGCCCACCAGAAACATATCGCCGAGACAAACATTCCAAGAAAATATGCAGCGGATTATGGTTCCGCCTATTTATAGTTCCGTAAAAAATAGTGATGATTCTAATTTAAAAAACTCTAAATTAAATATGCCTCAAGAGGCGAAGTACTGTGATGTGCCTTATAATATGAATACTGTGAATAACGATCATAAAAGTGTTAGAAATGCAGACATTCCAATGTCTAGTGTAAATCCCGCCTTTTCTAGAAATGTTCCACCCTATGGATGGCCTGCCAGTGTTAATATTCGACCTCCAAGACCTTATGGTGCTCCTGAGTTTTACCAATATCCTGAATATTCTAATTGTGGTGGCCAAAGGTCTATGACAATGATGAGGCCGCATAGAACTCACAATGAAGAAACAGCACAGCTTTATTCTGAACGGTTATATCAAGAAGCAAATATCAGGTTTAAACCATATCCTATGTCCAAAGAAAAACCACAACAATTAAGGTATGATTATATTAATAATTACTCAAATACATTTCATCCACCAGTTCCAATCCCACCTCTTAAATATGATTTGCAAAAACCTCTACATGGTCATCCATATCCTGTTTATCCTCAAATAAAATATTTAGATAGAAGAATCCATGAACCTTTTGCCGAAGGTTATCAAAGAAACAATCAAAATAATTTGAATGTACCGTTTCGTAATCAAGTAGGTCCACCTCCATATGGTCCCATACCAGGAAATTGTGTGCAAAACAAACCATATACTGATATTGCGTCCAAACCCATGACAGTAAACAAACATTTACAATTTGATTCTAACAATAAAATCTACCTTGACTTAGAACCAAACCATAATAAAGGCTATCCTATGCCAGAAAATATGTATTATAATGAGATGAATCATATGAGAGGTGAAATGATCTTACCTAACCACTCTACATTAAATATGCATACTATGCCTCAACACCAAATTTACAGACGAGATAATCCACATCTAAAACCTTATGAGTATAATGTGCACTATAGAAATGTAGATCAATCTGTACATTTAAATTATTCTTTGCCAAGGCTTCCATTACAATTTTCACCAAATGCCATAGCTATTTCACCATCAGATTCAAATACTAGTATTGATACAACACACACTGTAAGTACATCTCAAGAAGATTGTGGATATGTCAGTCAATCGTCCACAGCAAGTGTAAGAAGTTTAGATATGAATAATACTATGTTACAAAACAACTATTATAGAAGACGTGGTGACTATCATGGAATTGTAAGAAATTCTTTCCATGGAAATGATCTCATCTCCCAAAATCATAAGAATAAAGAGAGCTCTACAAATAAGAAAAATCTAGATGTTAGACAATTTTTAGAAATGTGGAGTGAAGGTGAAGATGAAACAAATGAATCTACAAAAGAAATTATAACACAGATAAAACCTAATAATTTGCCTGCCCAATCTGAACCAAGTAATAATCAGGAACAGCTTTATGTTCTTGGGTTAGTTAATGTTCCAAGTGAAGAGTTGAGTAAATATGAACACATACAAAAAATTTCAAAATTACCTGAAAACATTAAAGGTTATAACAGTATTGAATTATTAAATCAGTATGAAAGACTTGTAGAATCATCTAATCTAAACCGAAATAGCTTTACTTCCAAACAAACAATTTCTAAAGACAATTTTATGTCCAAAAAAAATGATAAAGAGAAAGAAAGAAATCCTATGATGACGCGGCCAGTTTCACCTTTAGATGTTGAAGCAAAAATTAGCCAATCAGTTATCCATAAAGAAGTTGGATGTAATTTTGAAATTAAACCTTGTAGTCCAGAAATGCTAAATGTAGAAATTGCAACACCAGTGCAAACCATATTAGGAGAACGAATAATTGAAAAGGTAGAAAATCCTACTATATCAAAGTCACCATTGCTATACACAAGTAATGAAAACAAAGCACCAAATTTTTTAAATAATCCCACAAAGCTAACAAATTGTAACATGATTAATAATAACCAGTATTCTCTCAACAATTATCCAAATTTAAGTAAACCTAACAACTATAATGTGCAAGAATTTGATACCAACTCTGGCATATGTTTAGCATCTCTACCAAGACTAGACAATGATATTGAGCTTAATTTTCCAGAAATCAATCAGCAATTTATAACAGCTAATAAAATAGAATCACATATAGTAACATCTGCTAAGGATCTTCCTCGACTTGATTTAGAACACATAAATCCACCTTCGGAAACTATTAGTTTTCAACAACAGAACCTTTTATCACCTCAAACAGGATTTTGTCCTAGCGTGGAGAAAGAATCCTCAAAATTAAGTAAATACAGAAAAAATAAAAAGTGTGAAGTAATTTCGATAGAAGAAAAAGTAAGCAAAGAATTAACAGTTTCAGTTCATCAAAGAATTGACAGTGTTATAATAAAAAATCCTGATAACACTAAATTACAAGAAGATAATATTTCTTTGTCAGCTGTAAATGTTATGGAAGAAAAGATAAATAACCATCAATCTGAAATAGAGAGAACAGAAGAAAAGTCACAGCTCTCTCTAATCAATCAAAACAATAATGATGTGTGTAATCTTTCCTTTGAAACGGCTATCGATTTTAGTTTAGGTAAAAGTTATGAAAGAACATCTTGTGATCAGATTAGTGCAAATCAAGTTAATGACGATGACACAAATCATTTAGAAACTGACTGCAATAAACCATATAACCTCAATAATATTAATGATATAGAAAATAAATCAAATTCTATATTTATTGAAACCAAAGATATTGGGTCCAGTGATATAGAAAAAGAAGGCACTGATAAAGAATTATTGGAAAATACAACATTTCCGATAAATGAAGATATTCCTATCTTATCTAAAACCTCACTTATTGAAGCAATTGAAGAAGGTAATGTTCCTGTTATAAAAGAACTGGCTCTCGAATTAGAAAGTGCTGAACTGGAAGAACACACTGAAAATAGACAAAATGATGTTAGTGTTATACAGAAGAATGAAATTACACACTTAGATTTTGTAATAGCAGAATCGCATAAACAAGATATAGATAGAGCAGATGAAGAAGATGAATTACATAGTGCTCGTAAGGAAAATGTTGAAATTTTGCAACCAGATACAAAAATAATCCTTGACAATGATGAAACAATAATAGCTTGTCAAATAGAACATAGTAGTAATAGTTCCTGCAGGGATGAAGTTTTTTTAAGTAACAACTTAAGTTATGAAAGTGCAAATAAAATAGAAAATGAAATCTTTGAAGAATCAGCAATTAACATATCATATAGTAGAGAAAATATTAATAGCAAAGAAGATGTGATAGGAAATGTATTAAAATCAGATATAGAAATGACTCTTAAAATAAATAATAATATATCACCTATTGTAAAAAGTGACCTAAATCAAGCTCAAGTGCAACCTGGAACTTTTATTAATAATAATGAAATTGCATGTATCAACAATATAAATGATGAAGAAAATAAAACCTTACTGATGCCAAATCTAATAGGTGATATTAAAAAGGAGTCCACTATAGATAAACATGATGAAGCCAATGGTGAAAACCTATGTTACACTTTAGAAGATACAGTGCAGGAAAATTCCAATATATCCATTAGTCAACATTTTATAGCGAATGACATATCCAAAGTGCACATTACAAAAAATTATGACAACAACTCATCTAGTATAGATAATATTGAAACGAATGCAAATAGTAAAGCAAACTGTGAGACAGTTGCTAAAAAACCGATACAAAAATATACAGATGAAAACAAACACCTATGTGGAGAATTTTTTGTAAATAATGCCATTAAGAATTCCGATTTTATAGTTCAAAATTGCTGCAGTGTACAAAATAATTTAATGTATAAAACACATTCATTCTCTTCTAAAAAAAATACTCCTGTACCTCACATTTACAAAGAACTTTACTCACCTTGTATACAAAAACTATATATATTTAATGAAGGCTATTGCAAGAATTTAAGAACAGAAACAGTACAAGAAGGAATATCACGTGACCTACCTGTAAAAGTATTTGTAGAAAGTCATGATAAGAATTTAACTGAACCTACAAGGACAGACAATGAAATTTTAGATTTAAAAGATAAAAATCTAAATGAAAAAGAAGAAAATAACTCAACTTTGACTGAATTAAAAAATGATTCTTTGTTATTTGACATAAGTAAAAGAGAAAATTTTGTAGATTTATTTAATAATGATTGTTCTACTGTTAATCGACGAAAACCTTTGAAAAGATCTTTATCGGAATCTGCATTACAAACTTATAAAGAAAATGAGGATTTGAATTCTGTAGCATCTAGTAAACGCAAAAAAATAGATCATAATATTATAGAATCCCATATAACTTCAGAAGAATTTTGTAATATGATTCAAAGTAACCGAAGGAACTCCGTATCAACATTTTACAATGAAGATAATTTATACATTGTTATAGATAATGATTTAATTATAACAGAAGAAAATGAAGAGACTGACAAGATTTATTTCTCGGAAATGTCAGAAGACTGTAATATTCTACAAAATGAAACAATAGATGATATAGATGGACTAGATACCAGAAAAGAAATTGAGTGTGAATATTCTAATACTATTTATTCTATAGAAAAATCTGTTGAAGAATCATGGGTGGAAGATGTGGCATGTATAGAAACAGTAGTTTCAGAAGATATTACAGAAGATATAGAGTATAGTGAAGAATCTCCAAAAAGATATAACTTTTCAAATGAAGTTGCTAGCGATGAATCGCTCATATGTTCTGATAGTGAGCATATCGATACAGTTAAAAATGTTTATGGTAGTACTTTATATAGAACACCACAAACGGACGTTACCAAAACTCTTGACGATATAGAATCTCGTAATTCAGACGAAGATAATCAATGTTCTAAAAATATTCAATTAGAAAAAAATGTTACACAAGACCGTCATAATTTTACTATAAAATTAGACGCCAACATTCCATCTTATAATTCTATAACAGACGAGAAAGAAAACATAGCAGAGAATATAGAATTCAGTAACGTACAGATTCCACAAAATAATTATGCAGATCTAATTGAAAATAACGATTTTAACATACTTCCAAGTGAAAACAACGAAGAAAAAGAAAAGTACATTATCCATTCATGTGAATCAAATAATGAAAATTTCATAACTAACACTCAAAAAGACAACTCTAACTACTCTTATTCAAGTTCGCCTGAAGTGTCGTCTACAACTTCTGAAGAAAAAGGTTCAAGTATTTTGCTAAAAATTACCAATTATAATGGTTCTAGAATGTCGCAAATTAATGAAATTAACACTGACTCGGTAAATAGATTAAGTTATAAATTAACGGAAAAGAAACAATATCGAAATTACAATTCCAATTTTAGATCATCTCGAACATTAATTACCAAAGCGGCGCAAAAATATATACCACCTTTGAAAGAGACAATAGGCGATCTTAAAGTTAAACTCCCTTTACCTGAACACCGTCTTCATTCTCTAAAGCAATTAAAAACATCCAAAGTAGAACCAAAGATAGATGATATTATATTAAAACTTAATGATAAAAATCCAAAGCGGACGATACCAAAAAAACAAAAACCTAAATTTGAAGACGTTCTTAAAAGTATAGATGAAATTCAATTTAAAAAACATAAAGATAAAATAAAAAAGACCAAAAATGAAATACCAAAAGTTATCATTAAAAAGAATGAAAACGGCGCGCATTATGCTAGTAGCGATGCGCTAAATAATAAGGAAGCGTATAACCCTGATTTAACTGGAAGAAAATGGCAACCATGGGTATTTCTAGAGAAAAATAATTTCATTGACCGAATGGCTATTAAAAACAAAGTTAGGGCTGTATATTGTCATAGAAAAAACACGTACGTATTAGCTGAAAAGTTAAAAAAGTATCAGTCAATTTATAACGCTAATTTTGTAATTTCTCAACCTAATTCGACCAATTCGAGTAAAGGTAACCTGAAATATACAATAAGACTAAAGCATATTTGATAATGAACTCTTGTGATTACAGTTCCTCGGTAGGAGGATTCTTAAGACCTACTTGATTAGTTTTCTTTTGTTAATCTCACCATGTGACGGTCTCATGTTCTTCTGTTGCTTACATTCCTTCATTAGCATCAAAGATTTTTATTTATAGTTACCTGTGTAAGTTCACTATTTAGTTTTATTTATTGTAATCTTAAATTTAACTTTAAAATAAATCAAAGCCAAAATTCAATACAAAGTGATAAAATGATATATTGTTATAATTTAGGTACGAATACGAGAAATACGCAATCTGAACAGATCTGTGTTTCGTTAATATGTTTAAAATTCTATTGTTGTTATTTAATATTTTTCCATTCCATTTTTATTATGTATCATTTTAAAAGAATATTTTATTTCATATTATATTTGAAATTGTTATATTTATAATACATATACATATATAGTAGTTGTTAACGCACTTAGGCAGCCATAACGAGTATTAATTTTGTTTATTTTTAAAATCTTATCGTGTAATAAGTATTTTCAAATTGTAAATAGATAATTGTATTTACGTTAGATAACTAGCTATATTTAATTGTAGACGTAATTTAATCTATTGTTCGATGCTTTATGAAAATTTCACGAAAAAAGTTTATTATTGGATATTTTAAAGTTATTTAAATGAAAGCGTTATTATTGTTTATTCCATGTATGGTGTACACATCATTGATTATGATGTTTTCTATTGCTCACGTAACTTTAAGCACATTATTGTAATATGTTTTCGAGATACAGTTAAAGTACAAAATTTCGCACGAGTCCTTGTAATAAAAGACGTGTGTGTATTTTATAAAAATATCCATTAGAAAAATTAAATTATGATTACCTTACCGTGACGATGCGAGAGCATGTGAAGTTAAAAATTAAATAGCAAATATTTATTTTATAATATCAAATGTACTAATAATAATTGGTTGCAAAAATTAATATATTCGAGAAAATATAATATTATCATCTATATTGGTAATATATTCGTACATATGTATACATTTATTGAGAATGAACACAAGTGCCTGTTTTATTACGTGATCATTATATTGAAATATTACATGATATAGATATTTAATGAAAGATTTAAAATATTATAAGTATGTGAAGATTTGAATTCAAAGTCGTTTAGTAGTGTCAGTGCCTTCGAACAGTCGAACTTCCAAGATAATCATAATATACCAGATAATCATATTCTACATATTTACACTTTTTATTTTGTCTCGAAAATGTAAATGTTTTGAGATGATGCATTTGCTCATATATTTTTAGCTTTTTAATATTTGTAAGATTTGTCGACAATCTTTTTGCACTCCTTTATTTAGCAGTGCAAGAGTAGATTTCAACTTATAAAAGTCCTAAACATCTAGTGATCTCAAGATGACCTGTTAACAGTTATGGCACTATGGTGCCGCGACCATGTTTCTATGAAATAATATTTTTATATTGTATACAGGGTGTTATATAAATATACCAAAAATGTGCTTTTATGTGCAAGTGTTGCCTTCGTAGCGTACTGGGTAAGAGAAATATAATTGTTAGTTAAGTATAGGTTTATTTCAGAAATATATGTTTAATGGATAATTGGACTGTTTAATTTATCTTAGATTATATAAATATTATTATTGTAAGATAGGTGTTTGTTTGTAAGTGAAGTAATTTAAAATGTACAAAGATAAATAAATATTGGTGACGTAACATTTATTGTACTATGGAGTTTTGAATTATTATATTTGCATGTGTATCCGATACGCAAAAAAAATGTTATCATATCTGTTTATTGCTACTAGATTTGTTTACCGACTGACAGTAGGGTCGATGTCTCCATTCCTACAGTCCACGATATATTTGTTTAGTTTGTATGATTGAAATGCACGTTGAGTGGATTGTTGTTTAGCACTTGTTGGACTTTTGTTATTGTATAAATATTTTACTGCGGTTAAAGCACTGTTTAATTAAGGGTTACGGTTAAAACTAGTTTTAATTAAACTAAGTATTTGTTTTGTCGTTTAATGTTATGCATATCTTATTATGCCAGTAACGCACGTGATAGTGTTTAAACGCAGTCCTAAATATACTACTGAGTGATACATTGTGTGCGAAGGTGAATTTTAAAGGGAAAATTTTGAGTGGTACCTAGTTTTGAAAAATGTTTTAAAATTGACCAAATAAATGTGTTCTAAAGAAAACTCAATTTTTATTACAGTACACCTTTTATTTGTGTAATTTATACAGGTATGTTCACTTTAACTGATTCTTGTCTGATGGCGCTGATTAAATCTTGATTTATTAAGAACACGAAGCGTAGTCCCGCAATCTGTGCAAAAGAGAAACATGTCAATTATACACACAATGCAAAACCGCAGACCGACAGACAGCTATTTGAACTTAATTTAGTTTTATGATATAAATATACATTGTACAAGTTATTTTTATTGAACAATAATTTTTGCTCTTCGGGTAAAGTTCAAATAAACAGTTCTCGTAAATGTATATATATTATTATAAACATCTACTTTTATTTATAGTAAGATAAGTAAAATAGCATTTTTTTGTAAACTTTATATTAGCTGCTGTTGCTTAAAAACAACAAAGTATGCGTTAGACAATGCATCGGCGGTAGACAGTGCGCAGCACGTTCTTGACGCTGATTGACGGTCTTTTTCTCGTTAGTCGTTAGACATAATAATAATATGTACAACTGACGATTTCCTTTATAATTTAAAAACTTATTATTTATAGGTTTAAAATGACTTAAAATTTGTTTTACTATACACATTCGGACTATTAACCTCGATCTTCAATCAAGCTAATTGTTTTTTTTTTACTAAAAAGAAAAATTTACTTTTAAAGAAAAACTATTTATTACTCGCATCTATGGCACATTATAAAAGTACTCGAAGTCATATTTCAAAAACTTTAAAATGCTATCTTTCTTTTTTTCTTACCTTCTTGTCTATCGCTATTTAAAAGTAGCGGACGAACTCCAATGTATTAAAAGAAAACTAGTATGATTTTTAGTCGATATTAAATGACTAGTTGAAACGATATGCCACCTACTTGCTATTACGGTATTTACTAAAAAGTATATTAAATATGATTATCATATAATGAATTAATCTCAATATAATTAAATCGATTTAGTATTTTAAATTCAGTATAAAATATTTCTTGAAACTTCCATCCTTGGTCCATCCCAAAAACCCCTTTCTTTTTTACACAAATGTAGGACATTCGGGAATACATTTACAGAACGTGTAAATATTTGTGCCAAATTTTATCAAGATCACTTGACCAATTTGGCCGAGAAATTGTTACTAACAGACAATAAAAAAGAGAGGCAAAATATCTAAAGAAATCTTTTTGGTTTTACATATTGTGAAAGTTTAAAATTAAATTTTACTTCGTATTTTGATGATTAAAAAGTTATCATACGACTAACATGCAAAATATATTTCATAGTAGTGCCGCGTCCGTCTGTGCGTTCTACGTATTTTTGTATAAGTTGATGTGTCAGCATAAAAAGTAGCCTGTTAGTTGTTACTGTCCGGCCAATAAATTAATTATTTTCAAGTAAAATAATCACATCGGCCCGCTGTACCACAGTCTACTAATTCATATTACATACAGGCGTTTAAAGTCTCATGCGTCTGAGACGCGGGTGAGACGCTCCCGATAGCCATACTTACTTTTATATAACAATCGGGAAACGGTTTTTTTAGGTTTTACAGGTATAACTGTAACTTACCATCGTTCTCCATGAATAGTGTTTTTGACAGCCCTTTGCATTTGGCAAGATTTCTGTTAAAATCTAAGGTTGATCACATGTGGTTGGAATATCGTTTCGTGAAAGGGCAAACCAACAAACACTATTCAAATTTATTCATAATATTAGTAAGACTTTTTCGAAAGAGCATATTGCGTAGTTCGTATTAAAACCCTCAAGGTAAAAAGTTTGATATTATCTGATGTATAATCCCGTCAAAATCAGATGTTTAATCAGTTTTTTTTGTGATTTAAAGATCAGCCCAGGTGTTGAAACATTTTTAAAACCTTCATATTATTATTATTTTGGTAATTTTTATATATATAATTCTTCTGTGAGTGTGTATGTCACTGAACTTATCTCAAACGACTGGACCGATTTTGATGAAATTTTTTGTGTGTTCAAGGGGATCTGGGAATGGTTTAGATTCACAATTTGAATAATAATTTTCATCAAAAAAATTATAAAAAAAAGTTTGAAATTTTCAAATTAAAGACGTGTAGACAGGACAACGTCTGTCGGGTCCGCTAGTGTCTTATAAGTATTATGTTTTTATATTCAAAGTTTTTAAGAAATTTTCCAGTCTATATATTTAAATGAAAAATTTAGGATAATTATTGTCAAATCCACATCAATTTCACTATAATCTGTAAAACACGAAAAAGTTTTTAAGAAAAAAGAATTAAAGTATATTACCTCAATAACAGTGTTATGGTTGAGTTTAACTTTATTCCCTTGTAGTATCGGGCGGCCATCCACGAATATGGGCCGCTTGCCCTCCGAAGACATGAAGAAATCTCCGCTATTTCTAAGACGGATTGTCGCGTGCTTCTTTGACACTTTTGCTGCAGGACCCTCTAAACTCAAATCTACGTCGATAGTGTGGTCTCTAGTACTACGTCCCACCGCGATCTATAATAAAAATTTAACTAAATACATATTTTGTTAATTTTATTTAAAACATCATATTATTGACTGGTTGCTTATCGCTGAAATTAGAAAATCGATTAAATTAAACACATTTTATATACGAGCAACAACAATATTTAACAAATTATATATCATTCGTGTACACAACTGCTAATTAAAATATTTAAATAAAACAGCATTGAACCGACGCAAATACGCGACAAATTCCTTTATCGGACGTATGTTCACCACAAGGTCGAGGAAAGATCACTACTGTACTGATAGACCGAGTCAAAAGCACATATTTATTGATTATAATAAAAATCATATTATTATTGTTATTATAATAAAAAACACAGTTATATGATACATAGATAGGTACTTAACCGTTCAAACTGTTACTTGGCAAATTAAGTTTCCTAATAAAATAATATAATTTATTTAAATATATTGCTTGTGCTTACAATAAAATAATAACAAGTTCATACATTTAAATTGACATTGTAATAGTTTTAGAGTGTTAGCTTTTATTTGCGCCCTCAGTATGTTCTTTGAGGTTTTTTTTCTAGAAGAAAATTTTTGTTTAGGGCAAATACTTGCCCTTTTTATTTGTAGGTATATAATTTCTATACTTATTAGAAGTTTAATATTAAAAAGACGAAAAATTTTGACAAATAAGCAGAAAAAATAGACATACGTGGTAGGTATATTTCCTTAGAATAGTCATTTATCATCAGCATATTTTAAGTCTAACAATGCCCATATAGAGTACGCATTTAGCTCAATAATATTTTATCTAGTAAATATTATTTAATATTTTTATGTTGACGGTACCGTATCATAATTTCACATTTACAATTTGCATTTATAAAACAAACATGATAAGTTGTCAACGCGCCAATACCGCTGATAACGTTATCAGCAGTTACGTATAACTAGTTGAAGCGCTTGTACTATTGAAACCGTGTACCTTTTTGTTTTTTGTGCCGGCTATTCCTACTATGCACATATTATGTACATCTAAAATATATATTTTGAATTGCGTGTTAAAAATTTCAAGCATCGAGGTATTGTACGTTATTTAAATTACTCGTGATCGTTCCATTTTTAATTTTATTATAAGTGCCAATGGGTCAGACAATAAAATTTAATTTATAATGTATCAGTAATGGTTAAATTGTATTACTTACTATTGATTACTAGTAAATTTTAGGTTATACGTAAGTTAATATTAATAACTAGCAATGCCCGCGGCTCCGCCTGCGTTCAGATGACCAAAAACCAAATTTTTATGTTTTACATACTAGTATACTCTTATATTGTACTTTTTGTATTTTTCCTGGGAAATGAGACATTTTCCCGCGGTAAAAAGTATCCTATATGTTGACCCGGATACCAAATTTCTCCGGGGCAGGGGCTGACTGCTACCGGACGCGTCCCCGGGTGGCGGATAGGGGAACACCACTCGCGCCTGTTTGGCTCCAACAGGAGCTTGTGGTACCGGAGCAATCCGGCGCGGACCAACAGCCAGGAGGGGAGGTTGAGGGAGCGGCGTTAGAGGGCGCCGTCTCCTTCTTGGAGGTAGCGCGGTGTCTCCGGCCGTTTTGCGGTAGGAGGTGCTGCGCGGGCCACACTGCCGGGGCTAGCCCGTCGGTGCGGCGGCTGGAGCGGGGCCATTTCGGTGGTCCTGCGTATGGCGAGGGATGTCGGCAGCCATTTTGGTCCGGAGGTGGGCCGACGGTAGGGGGGCCGCGGGGGAAGAGGAGTGTCGGTATGGCGATGCGCCGCTCGTCCCTATCTCCCGCGGCCTAACGGGGCCACCACCGTTGATGGTGGACGCGGTGGGGCTGCAGGGGAAGGGGAGTGTCGGCGTTGTCGCGCCCTCTTCTCCTGCAGCCGTTTGTGTTTGGGCTCGTTCGCGGGCGTCTTTGGGGGGTTTGCCCAATTTGGGTGGGGTTTATTATTTTTGCAGGTTGCCCACTTCGGTGGGCGGTGTTTGTGTGGTGTGGGGCTGCTCCGGGTACTTCTCTGATCAGCAGAGTGGACTTAGGAGCGGCCTCACATCTTCTTGGGTTGAGAGTCTTCCCATAATGGGGTTGTCCCGCTTGGGGCGGCCTCATGGTTGGTGGCTTCGGCCAACCGTCGGGGCGTCGCGGTTGTATGCGAGAGGGATCCCGTGGCGTCCCACATGACGGCAGGGGGGGAAGTTGGGTTTTAGTGGGTATGCCGGTCTCATTAGCCGGAGAGTCTCCACATAACCACCCCGGGGGAAGTCGGGTGGTATCCGTAATAGGATTTCCCAACTATAAAAAAAAAATACCCAATTTCATCAAAATCCCTCCAGTGGTTTTTCTGTGATGCGGTAACAGACAGACAGACAGACAGACAAAAAGTCTAAAAACTATAGATTCAGCCTCTGTATCGATAATAATGTTTATTTCAATAAGATTTTCCAAAAAATATTTAATGTACAGATTCGACTTAGGTACAATTTTATTATATGTATTGATTTAACACTTCTGACTTCTGATAGTAGTAAATTCGACACTAATACAAGATTAACATTCGATAATCAGAAGTTTTCTCGATCTCAATAAGAAGAGAACGCCGTTACGGAAAACGACACCGGTATTTAGCGAAATGTGGAGGAAGGAGTGGTGTCTTGGTAAGGCCGTATTTGTGTGTTAGGCTGCTTAGATTGTCGCCGATACGAAAGTGTTAATTTTTATTAAGAAATTGTCTTGTTGCGGATTTTTAGTACGGGTGGTTGTCATCGCGTATTATATATATATATATATATAATAGAAATTATTCATAGATAGAATAGTAACAAAATTATTATTTTACCTAACTACTCGCTCAAATAACATCTTATCACAGGATGACGTCAAATATTTAGTAAAATTATCAAATGAATATATAATTATAAAGTAATTGTAAAACATACATTATAATCAAGGTGAACGCGCTTACAAAATGAAACAAAGCATCTTTATTACTTCTTAAATAATATATTACATATTCAAAAACACGATTATAACTTTAAATTTTATTTTTCAAAATGATGAAATTTTGCAAAATGCCTCATAAATAGTGTACCTACCTACACTAATATTAACGTCGGTATACATTTTCTCTACATAATATAATTAATTGTAACTGAGTCGAATCTGTACATTACATATTTTTTTTGAAAAGTCTTATTAAAATAGTTATTATTTTTGATACAGATGCCGAATCCAGTTTTTAGAATTTTTGTCTGTCTGTCCGTCTCGGAAGTCGGAACTCATCACGAGGAAACCACTGGACAGATTATGATATTTTATATGATGATGAATGAATGCTGGTTATCTGGGTCAACATATAGGATACATTTTACTGCGGGAAAATATCTCATCTCTGAGAAACCTATGCTAAACGTTAAAACGTAAGCGGAGCGAGGGTGAGTCGCTAGTATATTATAGTATTCTTTTTCTTATATCTCAAAAAAAGAATAGGGTATTTTATAAAGGCGGCAAATAAGTAATCTCTTATGTTAAGAAAGTAAGCAGGCATCGTCGGCAATACATTTAAAAGTAAAATAGTAAATATAAATAGCGTTACTAGAGAGTGGAGAGACAGTGAGAAAGTAGGCAGAGAAGGAAAGCAGAGTAGAGAAAAAATATAAGGAAAGGATGGTGGGGTATCTGGCTCTCTCTCTCTTTCTCTCTTTCACTGAAAGAAATGCAACAGTACGGCAGTGTATTCCGATTTCCGGATTGGGCCGGCTTATTCATGCTAACTCTAGCTAGACTCCTCTACTCAAAAATATGAATAATAATAATACTTAACGGCTTTTAACTCAATTTTGTGTAACGATTAATTAATAATAACTAGCATTGCCCGCGTTCAGATGACCAAAAACCAAATTCTTAGGTTTTACATAGGTATTAGTATACTCTTAGAATGCAGTTTTTGTATATTTTCTCGGAAATGAGACATTTTCCCGCAGTAAAAAGTATCCTATAACTGTACTCCGGGCCTAACACAACTGTTTAGTTGAGTAGTGTGCACGCTAGCAGCCCATAGAACCTGCGGAACTTGACAGTAATCGTATAGTTTCCTCTAACTGTCTAACACAACTTCAGACTATATCCCTTGCAGGACAGGCTGTATATTATGTTCATTGCCTTATTATTCCCAAGCTCTGAAAGATAAAAAGACCATCGGTTCTAATTGTTATGCATTGTCTATGTCGCAAACCCATAGACATCACGCACTCTTTTTTACGCTAGAGGTATCACTAACACATTCAAATACTATACTTCAAATACTTTGTTTTTTATGGGCTGGCACCGATTTCGAAAATATTTGATTAGGTATGTATTGAATAGGTAGGCTTGAATTAGGTACTTAGCCAAAGCACACCGACTTCAAAAATATTTGATTAGGTATGTATAGTAAGTGAAAACTACCAATCAGTTATTTTTTACTTTTTAGTGCTTTTGTTTGAAGTCTGTTTTTATTTTTTTGTTAAAAAGTTTTTATTTTTCCCTTTTTAGTGTAGACAGTAATAGCAAAGTAAGAATTCTAACGTGTTAGGCTTGTCAAATCAAACAAAATAAGCCCAAACTCAAAGTAACTACTATTAGCCGTTGAAGAGTTCCACCTATCCAGCTTCTAACCTTACCATCAGATCAGGTCTACAATACCGAACCACTGTACTATCAACAGAAATAGAAACACTTGCAAAGTTTCAAGTTAATATGACAATTAGAAGTAGGTTAAATTCATAATTAGCTATTTTTCCACCCTTAGAGGGGTGGTTTTTTTTTTTTGAAATTTAAATGGGACCAATCTGGAAGTATACACTTTCAAACAACACAAAAATTGACCAAATCGGTTAATAAATGACGGAGTTCTGAGGTAACAAACATTAAAAAAAACAGTCGAATTGAGAACCTCCTCCTTTTTGAAGTCGGTTGAAAACAAGCAAACAATAATTTAGTATGACGAAATAAAAC